ACAATCGCACATTTAACGTGTGCCGTGTAACTCACCAAGTAAACACCGTTTACTAAACAGTGGGCCTATTATAAGCCACGCTACCACGTATATCCACAAAAATAGGCCAAACTGTTACAATATTGTAAATAATTATAAATTATTACTGGGCCTCTAGGAAGACCAGTTTTGTACTGATAGAGCTACCCAGAATATAGTTTTCAAATCAAATCAAATTAAATGATATTTTCTCAAATTTTTTTAGTTTTAATCTTTTTCTATGATTATCACTGTCTTGATAAGAGTTCACCATAAGAAAGAGTGAACATAAACTTACAGAAACACCTAAAAAATCCAGTGGGACCCTTTACAGTTCAGTAAAGTTAGAAAATTCCATTTTATCATTGAGAAAACCTCTGTCCTTATCAAGTATGACAATAAATTCAATTGGTCAACAGAGTAAGCCACAAGACTACAATCTTTCTCTTAACACCCATGGTCTGGCATATCTGAATAACATGTGTTTTGGGTGAGTCTACTTGCCAGCAGACATAAGGACTTAAGGAGATTCTTGACAGTAGACTGCCCACAGCTGGTTTTGTTGCACAGTCAAGTTGATTCATGCTTTTCTTCCTGTATTTCAGGCAATTGTCCACGTGTCTAACCTGATCTCTACTGGGGACTTTGATAGTCTTGAGGGTCTTGTTACTGATGAGGTGAGGCTTTCAGAAAACATCTACTTAATGTTTTCCAATTTTCGGATGCATATTTACTTTTCTGTTTTCTAGTTGTCTTAAAATGTAAATATTTACAGCAAAATGGTAATGCTTTTGAAAAAAGTTTTGGATTTTTAGTTAAATAAATGATGTTTTCCATTTGCTTTAGAGGCAATATGAGTACACTTTTTGTTTTTCAGATATTTTATGTATAATGTAAGAGGCTATTGTTTCCAGGCTATTGCAGAGATAAGACGTAACTATGCTGACCTGAATGATGACTGCAGGGCAATGATTAAAGTGGACCCGGGGGACCTATTTATGCGCTTTATGTATGAGATAGGAGTCGTAATGAATGACGAGACAGGTTAGATAATAAAATTGTACTATCTCATATATCATGATTCAGTTTGCTCTTGTGTGTTCGGTTGTCATAGTGATGGATGTCTGTAGCCACAAGTAATTAAGTTATTGTCCCTAAAGAAGGTCAGATAGAAAGAAGGCACTTCACGTTTTTTCAAAATACAAAGTTCATGCATCTCTAAACAATTTACTGAAAACAAAGAACTGAAAAATAAATACTGTTGCCAATTGAATAATTATAACTTTTGTTTCAATTTCAGAACATTTTGGGCTTGATTGTCATGTCTATTTTTAAAAAAACACAAATTGTATTGAGAAAAAATAATTTTTTTAGAATAATGCATTCATTTATCTATAAAATAAATACCATATTTATTATTTTGGAGACTTAAAACAACTTCATCAAATAATAACATGATGTTGATTTTTCAGAAGATAGTATACACTGTATTTGAGATTGTAAGGAATACCTTATGTTGATCTGATTCTGCTGTTAAGTAACTAACTGGACTTTATATTCATTTATCATTTCTTTTTGCAGAGCAAAGGTTTGTTGAGATCACTGTTGTCTTACATGGGCTACAGGGATGGAAGTCATGGAAATCAGAAAATCAGAGTCCAGGGATGACGTTTGATCTTGCTGAAACTGAGAACTTATATGTATGCAACTACAGGTCAGTGTTCTAGAAGCCCTTAACATATATCAATGTCAAATAATCTGCCCTTGGTGACATCACAATGGGTTACCATAGTAACCATGAACCATCTACTAATCAAATAGAAGAAGCTTTATTCATGACATATTGATTCAATATACCCTTTGCATTCGTTTGACTTCACTTCCTAAAAGAGAGCTTCGTCCTCACTCTTTCAAACTAAAATAAACCTGTGAACTCACCGCGCCAATCAGTGTTCGTCAGCCAAATTTGACCGACGTTCTATGGTCATTCCTTCTGACGTCATCGTTGAGCCCGGAATTGAAAAATGACATGCGCATATTTAATTTGAACACATTTGGCGTATGTTGGTGGAAGAAAGGTCAGCGCGTAGGTCAAAAGTGAATTATTACCCAAACTGTCACCGATACCCGTCGTGGGGGCGGGGCTACTTAACTGTTATATGGTCTCTACTAGGCAGAGTGTTTTTTAACTAGACTCTGCACGCAGGGTAGATTCAATAATGTTTGGGGAACATCTGCACCAGTGTCAAGAACATTGGTCCAGTAGTATTGGAATGGCTTCATCTTTGACATTACTTCTTGTATATCATATTCTTCCTCTCCAATCAAATGTGATTATAAATAAGTAAGGTAGTTGCAATTGACGAGAAATGAAAACCAAATATATCATTTATCAGGTGTATACCATTATAAGATTCCCTTAATCTTGTAAACTTCAAATCAAGCTCTTAAAAAATAAAAATAATTGTAACTATTTTGTTTCAGGTTTAGAAGGGAATACACAAAGGGTGTAGAAGATGATTGGACAATTAACAAACTGAATCACTTTACGCCATCAGGTCACACCCAGAGGAATCCATATGGTCCTCGATGACCCTAAGCAAATGCTAGAAATTCAAGGGCATTTCTAAAGAAAATTCAATGAAATTTTCTCATTTGGCACACCATTTACTGGTCAACAACTCGGTGCATGTCATAACAAAATATAAATAAAACAGGTTTTGCTTTGAAAATGAATTTGATTTATAAAAATATTTTGTACATGTAGATGGGATCTACACTAAGTTTGATTACTTGATTTCTACAAGTATTGCTGGCTGGCAGTCAGTTCAGTGCTCCATTAGCAATAGATTTCCCAATTCCATTGCCAAGAGCAACACTGAATCACTAACACTGGTATGTTTAAGATGTACCCTTGTTACACATTTGTTTGGACAGTCAATTGAGGATCTTCAGCTGATGTTATAACATGAGGTTGTGAACTTTAACCAAAGAATGCCTAAGTTTGCTGACTGCAATGTCAAATATTGGATAATATTAACATGGCTGACTTATGTAGAATCAGAATTAAAGATTAATTTCCAAAAGATTTCAAAATGAATTTAATTTTGTTATAGGTTATAACACAGTGTTGTAAAGTACAAGCTATATTTCTCAAAATCAAGGGAATCCAAATCAGCACTGCCCAGAGACATAAACAATACCCAGTCTGGGCTTTCAATAGCAGGGGGTGAGCCGTTTGTTTTCGATAATTCGCCGTTTGTCAGAAGCCAAATATTGTCTTAAGTTTTAGGGGAAATTAAAAGTCTTCTATAGACTATCCTTTATTTTATTTAGCGATCTTATTTTGCACTTCCTTGTTAATGATTTGTACATTATTTCCCATTGAACATGCAGATAAATGAATGATTGATACAACGCTGTTCAACCAGTCACATAACAGTCTTTCCAATGGGTGTAAAATTGTATTAATCAGTAAAAGGTCCAATATAAACTTTGGCTTATCCAATATTATCAAAGTGTGAGATGTGAAACTTTTTATTAATTTCAAAAATGTTTTTTTGAAGGAACTTTTATTCAAAATATCCTGAATTTATTAAAAACTAACTTTGAGAGGTTACAATAGCACACAATTCACACCAATGCTAAGCATTCATCCTCACTTGTTTTTTGCCGACAAAATTAAGAAAACTGGTTGATAAATAAGCTAGCAATAAACTCATTCATGGATGAAAGTGGTTCAGGGCAAATGCATTTCAAAATCTTAGTCCTCACAAAAACCAATGGTAATGATATTAAAAACATAATATATTCATCCTTTTAACCTAGTTTGACAGTCAACGTTGGTTTATCTTTTAGTTTTGCATAGAAAAAGATAGACATGAAGAAAAATGATGTCTAAATGATGTCACGAGAGGTCACTTTTAGGTTGCAAAATATTTTCGATATTCTAAAACATTGAATTGGCACATCAGATATGACATTTTATTGTTGAAATAGTGTAATAGTTAAGGAGATAATATTTTATTGCACTGTATCTAGTGAAATATTTGACGATTAAAAAATTTATGATTAAAAAAATTATTTGAAAAATGGCGGGAAATTTGGAATTTAAGAAATGAAAGGCTGACATCTTTCATTTCAAAAAACTCTTAAATTAATTTTGAAGTCTTGACAAATGGTAAATATGTGAATAAATATGTTTTCAAACTCTCCATGGGGATTGTAATATCAGCAGAGACCTTAAACTTTCAATTTATACACAGGATGCATTCTATATTAAAAGTTTTCAATTCAGCAAGTGCATTTGAATTTGTAAACTCCAACCTATGTAAGGGTAAGTTATCCCATAAAAGGTAAATTACATTCTATATAAGTTGCCAAAGTCATTCCACAGTTAAAGGTGTCATTTGTGTAGCCCATGTCTTGTGGTCAATCCAATTGACCCAATATCACACAGGGACAACCCTGTAAAAAGTAAAATCCTGGACATCTTTACAATCAGCTCTTAATAGGATTCAAAGTTCAAAACTTTGATTGTTATTAATAAGTACCTTATCTTCCCAATGATATTAACTGTTCCACACATGTTGTCATTTGGACATAAACCCTTATAATGTATGATTTAAATTATTAACAGTTAACAGAAATAAATAAAAAACATAATGATTATAAAATCATAATATTCTATTTCCTAGTATGTTTATTTACATATTGTTTATATTAACAACATATTTGTGTACAGGAGTAGTATACAGTTATGTTGGTGTAACATATACCACATATGAACCTAAAAGTTTTGAGGCGTTTGGCAGACATGAAGAATTTGAATTGCAGACACTAAATATAAATTACCATACCCTTCCAAATCAATATTTTCAAATTTCTTCAAATGATGTTGTGCTTCATAATGATATCAACTTCATTGTTCACAACGTCTACATTTGTGAACATCATCCTCATATAGCTTAGAGATTCAGTTTGACATAATGTTTGGCAGATTGACTCCTCGTGTCTCTCCTAATCATTATAATATAAAAGAGGTCTCAGAGAATATTTCTAGCCCCACAAATCAATATCACAAACTTAGATAGAGAAAATTTATATTACTGTACTCCTGGTTAATTTCAGTTACTCAGAGTTTTAATTTCGCAAATTTTGAGAAAGGACAATTTTGCGGCTCTTAAATTTTGCAGATTCCATAATTTAAAATCTTATTATTCTCCTAATCTTCTAGCTCTGTAAATAAAGTAACCTCATGTACAGTAGGCACACCTTCCTAAAGTCATATTTGGATTAGACTAACAATTACTACTAGATCTTGGTCAATGGGACGCTGCACCTTAACTTCAATTATATCGTCATTTTTTGGTTTATTTTCGTGATTTTACCACAATCGCGAAAAAGCACAAAACTAAATCCATACACGAAAAATACTGGGAGTACAGTATTTTTTTGTCGTATATATTTCTTATCCAATAACATTTTATATTATGGATATGTAGGACTATAGAAGTGTTAACAGTTATGCAGAACTGTTTATGTATCACAAAATAAACTTCTCAGTAAGAAAACTGATGAGGACATTGTCTAGTCACGATGGCTTGTGCTTTCATAATCACTGTTTTATCACAATATTGACATATTGAATGAAAGTGCTCCAAGTTCTACATTTCACATGGTGCTATATAAGGGGTGAACATTGCTCTTCCATCATGCATGCATTCTCCCTCCTTTAGAAAAACTTCACTCCATCATTTCCGTCAAATGAAATCAGTTCAGCTTTTCGCTGTGAAACTAAAGTCTGTAGCGCTCTTTTCAAGAGCCAAGTTTCTAGTCCATGAAATTCTGAAAGGGAATAATTTATATGGATTGAAAGATAGGACAATAAACTAGTAATATGGAGACACAGTAGTTCATAGCCGTAGGCAGCGGGGGTTCGGTGGGTTCGAACGAACCCCCGGTCAGGATTTCCCAAAATATCGTTTTGCGGAAAATGCATATAACCAGAAACATTAAATTACTGTGCTACTTTGAAAACTACATATTTTATATGCGCAGTAAATGAATTGATATTTGTTATGGTGAACATATATTTTTGTTAAAAACATGTCATATTGAAGTTACACTTCCCTCAAAACGCTTGGCAACCTTAGGCACGGGGTGAGATTTTATTTTGGGAAGACCCAAGAGCATGAGATTTTACATTTAGAAATATCAATAATTTCGCACAATTAACTTAAAATCTGCTTTTTCTCGGACAAAATAACCCATCTTGGGCAATGGCTAAATCAGTCCTTTGTAGGAATTTTGTTTTACAATACGAAGTTATTGAAAGTTATTGAAAACAATGCAGACGTCCCATACTCCAAATGATTTTTACAACATTGACGAATAAATATCTGGAATAGTCGTAATATTGATGAAACACACGTTCTTTCAAATGTGCAAGGGAACATGGGGCAAATCGGCCCTAAAAATTTATTTTTCGAGTGTTTTATATTTACCCAAGACTATCTTCTGCGATTTTTCAATTGCCAAAAATAATGTCTAGAGTGGGGGAAAACGGCCCATGGGTGGGGCAAAACGGCCCACCCTCTGTTACATGGGTTTTAAAACCAAAATTAATCAATTACAAGACTCGTCAACACACACATCTTTTCTCAGACGTTCAAACCTTTGACAGATAAAGTATTCTTAACCCCTACCATAATTCTAGTCATTCGATATATGTCGGAAGGAAGTAAGGTTCAAACCAAATATTAGAATTGTTATATTTGAAAATCAGTTGTTCTTGTATTACGATTTTTGTATGTTAATATAACCTTTGTGGGCCGTTTTGCCCCAACGACATGTGAATTTTCAAATAGACGTCATTTCAATTTGCCTAATATTTGAAGCTCGAAATGTTTACAAATAAAGAATAAATATGTGAACCCTATGTAAAATGTTAAATCAAAACGATATTGTATTGTTGCCGGATTTTTTAGAGATTCTCGTGGGAGGGGTTATTTGCAAAAAGGAGAGTGAAAAGTAGAATTACCTCTTACGCATAGCGAGACGCTGCTAGGTTAAAATGGGTGGTCGAGAAGGTGGCGGAAATTTCAAAATTCGATTATGTGACTTTTTAAGAACCATCTTTTTACAGTTCAAAAGATATTTCGATGGGCCATTTTGCCCAACAGGGCCGTTTTGCCCCATGTTCCCTTACATCTCTGTTTTGTGTTATTTCAATTAAAATTTAAAATATTTCTTGGGACGTCCCTGGGGATGTCAAGTCCCCGAAACCAATTTCGTTAAATAATTAAAAACCTTGTGAAATGAATTATTTAAAAGCGTATATCATTTATAAACACAAGCATTTGTTCAAATTTATTCATTCTTTCATTCATTTACCCATCACTTTTCCAAAGAAAAATCAATCATTGCAAAAAATGATTTTAATTTTTTAAGATACATTCTTCTCATTGTATAGATTTCATATTGTTATCGTTCCAGTTTACTTGCTCTCCATTTTCATGTTAATGTCATGATATGTTTAGCGAATAAATTACATAATAAAAAAACATTAAAAAATCACATGGTATTAATCTTCAAATAAAGAAGGCCTAATTTGTTATCAAGCCGTCTGAACTTAACAAAATACGTTTTATATTCGAACAGTCGCTTGTATTTATATACGATTTATATCAACTAAAACGTTTTTATTATTAATTGCAGTTGATCTGCTCCGGGGGACTTACCACTGAGCTCCGGGGACGTCCGAGAAATATTTTTAACTTTTTAAAACAAAGCATAAATGAGACCCACTTATTTGAATGATAGATATTTTCATCAGTAATACGACTTTCCCGGATAGTTTAAACAGCCTTCGTGTAAACGTTGTGAAAAGTTATCGTAGAAGAACGATCTTTCGGAGTATAGGGTGTTTGCGCCAATTTCAATAACCTTGCATTTTATCCGAACTGGCTTCCAACAAAATTCCTGAAAAATAATGATAAGCCATTGCATGAGGTGATTTATTTTGTCCTAGATGAAGTAGCTTAAGTTAAAGAATAAATTGTGCGAAATAGTTGATATTCCTTGGAAACAAATCATGCTCCAAGGTCTTCTAGAAATCAGACGAAATAATGGTGGATTCGGGGCAAATAAGATTTCAGGATATGTATTTAGTAAAAGATTCACCGAAATATATTTTGATGCAGAAAATCAATTATAAGTTGTCTGACTTTTTTGCACGTTGCCTGTTTATTTTACTTGTGAACATTAAAGTTACAAAGCTTCAAGGTCATTTTTGAAAATCATTTTTACGTCCTGTGTTATTTCAATGGGAGAGGTTTCTTGATAAAGCCTATTCTTTCAGACTTCGCTTGACGTAAATAAGGGCATCATTTTTATTAAATAATTCAAATTCAATTGTCTACTTAACTTAAAGGCAGAATCTGATCTATAGGGGGTGACAAAATTACAAGCAATATATAATTGACCTACCAATCTATTCCTTACACTATCAAATACAATATCTCCCAAAAGATTCACAATATGTTATAAATTGGTGAAGTTATCAATGATTCAAAGTGCAAAAATGGGTGAAAAATGTTTAGATTCTCCCAAATAATAAGAATGGTAACCATTCTTATAGAAAGAGAACACATTATTGTAAAAATCTTTAGTTTTCCTGGAATAAAGTATGCACTTTTGTGATTTTTAGAAAATAGACATGACAAGGAATGACATGAGCCAAAAATATTCTAAAATTAAAACAATTTTTTGCTTAGCCTGCTCGCTATATCTGATTCTCTCTTTAATGAAGGTATGAAAATGAATTATGTTTCCCCTCCCAAAATAGTTTTTTCTTTACAATAAGAAACTTAAAGATGCTTTAATACATAATCCAATGGGTTAGTTAGGATTGCCAAACTTATGGAGGGGTGTAATTGTGCAAATTGCATTATTTGAGGAACCCTAATGAAGGGGGGGGGGGGATTTGTGAATAACATAAAAATAGAACCCCCGGTCACCAAATCCTGGCTACGCCACTGTAGTTAATGCATTTTTGTATCCAGAACAACTGATTATTTGAATCTGAATATTGAAATACTTGTCTCAATACTTGTAATTCGCTCATTACGGTGATGACAAAGCATATGGATAGTATGGGTCCCACCCCCAAGTCAACACAATTTATGTGGCAAAACAATATTTATCAAATCATGATGAGATTCAATATCGTTTTCATGATTAGAATTACCAATAATTATAAAAATATGTTGCATTTTTCACATTTTATTTTGAATATTTAATTGACAATTCTTTACTATTTCTTGGTAAAAATACAGAACTACCTTAAATATGCAATATTTATTTAGATATGTGATTACGTGTCCAAACTACAGAACATACTGTACATTGGATAAAATTGTCGTCTCTGTAATCCTAAATGGTAGTATCACAAGACTCATTTTAACATGTAATTAATGCTTTTGGGAAGAACTGTGAACAAGGTGAAGTTTTCGAACTAAATTGTCATTATTACCTTCTTTAACTGTGTCGTCTCCATTTGATAATTCATATAAAGTACACACTGAGTTAGTCATCCCATTGTTACTTGCCTGAAAAAGAGTAAAAGTAAAGGTTCAGACAAGTATAACCGACTTTAGAAGTACCTAAACATTTGCATTATTGAACTTTCAAAGTAAGCATAACATTACTTGAGGTAAGAGGAACAAATACTCCAGAATTATCGATGAATCTAGAGGTTTTACACAGAGATAAGGTCATCCATAAATTCTGGTTTATTCCCCCTCTCTGTTGAGGTTTGATTTCTACTGTACATGTACATCAGTGTGGATCAAATCTAACTTCTTGATAGGAGAGATATTTTATCATTATGATAGTCAAGTCAAAATGAAAAAACTGTTTGAAATGTACATACTGGCACAATTTAAAAGCTTTAAACTCAAAAATGTTAGATGGAAATCTATCCAGGGAACTGATTTACTAAAAAGTATTGTGAAGTATGTCTGCCATGTTATCTTCCTCCTGTTGGCCGTCTGGTGGTGAATCGGTTAAATAGATACTGGCAACTGGGTAATTAACACCATGGCAGTATAAAACAGGAAAGTTCTAAGAATAGAATCAGCTTACAAAAATAAAAGACATGTTGCTACTTTACATGTTTTGATCTTTTATGTGTGTTACAAATACTTTAAAATTTTGGAATCCTAATAATACAGTGATGCTAACTATGTACATGTAAAAATGTTTGATCTCAAGTGAATGACCTCTGTAAATAAACAACTTACCCATAGATAAATAAGTTTTCCCCACTCTTCAGGAGTCCTCCACATAACAAGACATTGTTTTCTACCCTTATCAGACCATTCTAGATTGCCTGAAAAGAGGACCCACATACGATGTACATGATTAGGATTGTAGCAATTACTGAGACTGAATACCTCAATCTGTTATAACTTTACAATTAATATTTAAGATCTTTACTACATGTACATAATACATGCCATAATTGTTTACTAATAACTTTTTCTCACCTTTTTTCCTTAGTTCTTCTAATATTATATATATTGCCTCTATTGATAGTTTTCCTGGACATCAGTTAAGAAATTTAGTTAATTTAAACATTTATATTTCTGTTACCCTTGCAAAACGTTTATATTTCTGTTACCCTTGCAAAACCTTTTTTGATAGGACTGCAGTCTGACAAGAGAATTAAAATACAAATCTATAGAAGAAATTAAAGATACAGAAATGTCAAAGTTATGAAATAAAGTTTGACCAGTTGGGACCTTTTAGAAAAGGCATAAAATGGAATAATAAGAGCAAAATTTGGGCTTTAGGTTAAATTAATAGGTATTATTTTCTTTCTTGCCAACCATTCCTGCTGCTAAAGCTAAGTTCATACCAACGGCGCTTTGATGGCGCTTTAAAGTGGTGTGCAAAGCGGCTTAGATTAATGAAACTGCTGACAATGTACTGTTAAACAAAGGATACTCTCTATAGACTTGTTGTGGAAGAGTTGACTTGAATGTGCCTCATTGACATCTAGAGTGTAGAGTTTACTGTGCCTGCAGTATGACAACACCAGATTGGTCCAGCCTTCAATCTGCTTTGCCTGCGTGCTCATATTTGGCTGTAACCTGGAAGAGAAGAGCTTTGAAAATGTAAAATAGATGGCTCTCACTTCAAAGATTTTTGACAATAAAGTGAGTCTGAGAATTTGACATTTGTAGATGTATTGTTGTGGATTTTTGGTTTCGGTGAGTTTCTTGGCAGAAATATGCCATTATCTTCAGATCTTCTTGTCTGATTTTATCGACATCGCCAATAAGGCAAGTGCTCCATGAAAACTGTTCACCAGATGTATTTTCTGATGGCATTTGGCGAATGACGACCGCTTATCCGACACACTGGTAAATATTTAAGGTTATCAAATGTATCATTAAGGACCTGATTATTCCTTCGAAATGATTTATCTTCAAGGTAGATGTAGACCTGCATGATGTGATGTGATATACAGAGTACAGACGAACGGACAGACGAACGGACAGACGAACTGACAGACAGATGGATGGAGGGACGGCTTCACTATATCCCTACTGAACTTCATTCGTTGGGATTATAAACAAAACACAATCGGGCACAACCAATACAAACTAACATAGCCTGACATACAACCACCAAAAACACAATTTACTGCAACATTACACATTATTGGACAAAATCCAATAATAAACCAAACACAACCTAATGCTGAATTAACAAGTACAAAGTTGGGCACAACCAAGTATGAAACAATCATAATGCAATCAGGCAAAACCAATAAAACAACACTTATCGCACAACACAATCAGGCGTAACCTGATACCTCAACCTATTAGGGATTTTGAGAGATTATCGTCTGAATTTCATACATAGCATGCCGTTGTGATGTTTTAATCGATGTAGGGCGAAGGGGTGTAACGTTGACACAATTTTTGGGTAACTTCGACATGTGGGGTAACTTCAACACCTTGTTGTTTATTTGCTCTAATTTCCGATCTAGGGGAAGCCATGTTTTTTTCTCGCATGGATCTAGATCTCGCGTTATTTTAATTTTTCCAGAAATCAAACATGGTGGAAAATGGAAATTCTACTTCTACTAAATAAGTGTCAAAGTTACCCTGTCTCTTATGTCGACACTACCCCACACATCGACGTTACACCCCTTTAGACTAAGCATATTCATTACATCTTTCTTTATCTTGATCCAAAATAACAAGCTACATTTATGATATTATCAAAGCGCCAGATATTACATAATATTATTCGAAGCGTGTTTGAAAAACATGAAACTGTCATGGTTTGTCTGTCAATTTGACCAATCAGGAAATAAGTCTTCTCAAAACAAATTTAAAGTGGGGAACAAAAATAAACCTCAACCATCAAAAGTTGTCACAATGAGCTAAATTCTAAGTTTCATGTCTTAGAATTTACCGCATGTGTGTTCTAACCTCTAGAGGGTAAGTAAGACTCCTAATCTTCAGGTAAATCTTATTTTTCAATTTCTACCGACGCAGTCAGGCCACGAAATAGACTCTACTAGGACGGAGAAAATAGAGCACTGAATACACTGAGGTAAGAATTTTTTACATGTGCGACAGCATGTAATTTTCATAGCTATAGCCAAGTAATTCTTTATGTTCCCCACTGTACATGTACATGTTAGACATAATGTCTTCTTTGAACCTAGTTCAACGTCATTAAACTCAATAACGACGTTCTTTATTATTAGGAATTTTCTTGGGGCCGTTACCTAGCCGGGGCCATAAGACATGTGAGATAAGAAACGAGGCCCAGGTTGTTGGACTACTTTGATTTTGAACCCAGTGTTATTCCCCCTGACCCTAAGCTAATGTAAGTTACACAAATTCACGTGGAATGCTTTAGGATACAATGAAGATTTACAGCATAAAAAGTACTTTGTATATTTAAGCTGGTAAAATCGAATTGATTCTGCAATACTCACGTAAAGAAAGGTGGAAAATTGTATTGCCATGGCCATTCAAATTCTGTTGCCATTTTCAGAAAATCAGGAAGTGCCGAGAATTTGATTATCATTAACAAACTCTTCAGAGCATAATTTCAATTAAAAATCACACTGGGAAGTACAGATTCAATTTGATGTCAATTAAATAGTGATAGTTTCTTATAAGGATTGACCAATATTGAAGATATTACTGATTAAGTATAAGGATTTGTAATGTTCAAGCTGCTTCAAGTGCATTCTGGGAAAAAAGTAAACTTCCGTTTCGGGAAGACTGTCTATTTTTGTTATCGTATTTCGCGTTTTAAACGACTCTTATCGTACCTATGAGGTTTATATGAAGGGAAAATCATAAAGGTAAATTGACTCATGATTTGTAAAAGTTTGATTGGTGTCACTTGTTATGATACTGAGAAAATGAAACTTTGGTTTCACAGGTTTTTTCCACTTCCAGGATTTTTTTATTTATTTTTATTGTTCTCGTGAAAGCTTAGTCATAGAGAAAAACAGTGCTTTGGCCGATCAACCGAATGAAGAGTCTATGTGATTTGGTTGTATAGCTGTTACTTCCTGTGAAAGCTATGTGGATTTTGATATGATAGCTTTCCCACGACGCACTTGTACAGCTGAATAATTGACCTTTAAAACATGAATAATGAGATCCGTGGCTTACTTTTGGTCTCTAATTGTGTCTTTTATCAGTATCATCAATCCGTTCAAGTAATGGACCGCTGAAATACTTCTTTTTCAATCAAGACTTGTAAATTGTTCATCGAGTGAATGTTTTTTTGATTCATTCCAATATTGCGGTTTGCTAGGAGCGAAATATGCAATGAACGAAGTGAATTTTGAGAACGAGTTAAGTTCGGACAACCTCCGGAGATTTACGAAAATGTCCGAGCAGAAAACGCCATATTGGAATTTGGCAGAAAAAAACATTCACTCGACTATCAATTTCAAGTCTTGATCGAAAAGGAAGTACTTCAGCGCTCCGATACTTGCACGGAAGGATGATAATGATGTATGACATAGTTAGAGAACAAAAGTAAGCCTGTCCAAGTGTGTCATAACAATGGAGCTTTGTTGCCTCTTGTATCCATGTATTTCCTTAATATTGTTATGACATCATAACAATTGAAAGATGAAGTTCAATTTATTTGAAGCTATTTTTCACTCAGTTTTATGATAAAATGGTGAAAATATGGCTTATACAGACTAATATGAGAAAAACTTTCTTGTACTCGTCGTACCTGTGCAATATCGTCCATTCTTGACTCGCTTTGATAATGTTTCTTTATCTCGTCTTCAACTTGTTAAAGAAGAATTATCAAACCTCATCAAGAATGGCAGTATTGCACAGGTACTCATAGAAGAACTTCTATATGTCATGTAACATTTATTTGTATATTCCAGAAAAAGCTATGATTAATATAAGGAAGAAGTTAGAGGAAGCTAAAAATAATCCACATATTCGTAAGGACTGTGATGGCAATATCAAACGGGCATCTGTTCGGGACAGACTGCTGGTAAAAGGTAAGTGTTTTTCCCCAGGTGTATCATAAATCTAGCTGGAAGTATCCAGAGCTCAAGTTTCACTGTACTAATATCACAGCTCAGGTTTTACTGTACAAATATCACAGCTCAGGTTTTACTGTACAAATATCACAGCTCAGTTTTTACAGTACTAATATCACAGCTCAGGTTTTACAGTACCAATATTACACCTCAGGTTTCACGGTACCAATATTACAGCTCAGGTTTTACAGTACTAATATCACAGCTCAGGTTCTACTATCACAAATCAGAATTTACTCTACAAATATCTGGATAGTTCATGTCATAAAAAAATCCAGTAGTACCTCTGTATGTGAGCATAAAGTAAACACATTCTCCCCACCTTAATTTAATACGGTATCTAGATATACTCTTGATTCAGAGTTACAATGTTACAAAAAACCTAATGACCACCTCTAAATTTGAATGTTTTACTATGCATGATGGACTAGGCTAACTGTTGTATACACTTCAATATGTACATGTATTATTTTAGAGGTCCAAGAAATGGAGCAGACATTACCAAAGGGTTGCCGTGTTCACTTTGACGACCCAAATCAATTGCACAAATTCACGCTCAGTGTTTCTCCAGAAGATGGTTACTGGGGAAATGGTAGATTTAAATTTGAAATCACAGTTCCAGAAGACTATAATATTGTTGTAAGTATTATTAGAAGACTATAATATAGTCGTAAGTATTTAATAGATGGGCTCAGCCACTCAGGTTGTAAAAATAGAAATGGATTGTCAAAATAAAACTAATTTATACATCGTAATTAATAAGAGAATTTTTCATTTGCTTTGAAATGTTAAAGCAGTATTCTGCTTTGGATGGACAATACAATATTAAAATATAATGACTAGACTCTAATATTTTCTATGAATTATTATGTGGTTATTTACTTAAAAAGTCTGTAATCTTGAGTCTTGAATTGAACTAGCTTGTTTGAATAATGTTCCTGAGTCAGTTTATACATTTTGAAATGTTATAAACTATTGGATTCACTATAATCTGATAATGATGTCTATTTCAGCCACCTGATGTCCAGTGCCTCACAAGAATATGGCATCCGAACATTACAGAAGATGGGGAGGTTTGCCTTAGTTTACTACGACAGAATTCTTTAGACACATTGGGTGAGTCAAATACTGCTGTGGGAGACATACCTGCCAATCTCAATTGTTTTAGGGATTTGATTTATACATTTATGCAGATTATAAGGGGATTTTCTTTGGAATGAAAAAGGAACAATTATCAGATTATACAGAGTTTTGATAACATCAGGACTTTTAGCAAATATGTTGGCATGTGACGCTCAATTCTCTTAAAAGTACTCTATACTGACTTTGAATATTCTAATTTATCATTCATCCAAAAAATTCATGAGCTAGCAGTGATTTTTGTTTGTATATTTCAGGCTGGTGCCCCACTAGGAAACTTAAAGATGTAATCTGGGGGTTGAACTCATTATTTAGTGTAAGTACAATCTCTAAACATGTATGGGGAAGATACAATGTGATGGTTTATTGCATTATTAATCATGATATACACCAATACTTAATGGTAGAAACCAACATGTTTAGAATGTCTCAGATTTGAAATGGAAAATACCCACTTAATTGAAAAAATAAATAATCAAGTTCTTTTTGTATACTTCATGTCCTATGGAATGTATAGTTTGTATCCTTTTCAGGATTTACTGAACTTCGATGACCCTCTCAATGTAGAAGCAGCTGAGCATTACGAACGTGACAAGGTAATCATATAACTTTACAAATTGTATCATTTTAAAACTTTTCAGATCTGCCGATCTTGAAATTCTTTCATAGTACCTGGTTTTGTTTCAATTTGAACAGCCTGTTGATTGTTTATTTAGTTTTAAGGTTCTAGTTGCATGGCAAATATATTGTGATGTAATATACAAACACCTTGCATTTAATAGAATGCTAGAGGTTTAAAATAAATACAGTGTAGTAGCCAGGATCGGAAAAAGCAAGGGAAACTGGAATATACAGGGTGGGCCAAAAAATTTTGCAACCTTTTTAGAAGGCAAAAAAAGTATCATAACATTATGGTATTGCCATGAAACTTTTTTTACAGAAACTTAAGGATAGGCATATTTTATCATTCAAATACTTCAGCTAATTCTGACAACAATTTTTTTGTCAGATGTTTGAATATTAATGGTAAATTGTTCATGTGTCCAAGATTTACTGATTTTCCTAGAAAATGTGATTTTCTATAATTTTATGTGATCATCGATAGAACATTTATAATGTTCACTAAATCTGCTGCAATCTTTCTTAAGTGGTGTATTGGGTGGCTATTCATCAAGACTAATGAATCAAGGGGTATTATGCTCCAGATATTCCATAGTGACTTTTGGCCTATGGTCAAGAGCACTATCCTGCTGGAATATGTAATCACTTGGGGCTGAAAGAGCCCCCATTCTTTAAAGGTGTCCCTTTTGAAGAAGATTAGTCCTGAGTCAAATGGCCACCCAATACACCAGATGCCAATCACTGGGACTATCACACATGGGGGCACCTGGAGCAATGTATTGTAGTTAATGGTTATACCCCACAAATTATTGATCAACTTAATTATTGATCAAGAAGTTCTGCAGGATAAGTGGAGACGACTACCACAAGAACTGCTGGATTTCGCCATTTACCAGTTCAGTTCTCGTCTCCATGTGATTGTGAAGGTGAAAGGCGGATGCATAGAACATTTGTTTAATAAATAATCAATACAGTGAAACAATATTACCATAGTGACTAGATACTGATATAAACCTGTACTAGATTTAGTAAACATAATGAATGTGTTATTGTTGATCACATAAAATCATAGAAAGTCAGATTTTCTAGGAAAATGGTAAATCTCGGACAAATGAACAATTTACCATTAATATTCTAACATCTGACAAAAAAAATTTGAAGTCAGTATTAGCTTAAGTATTTGAATGGTAAAATATGCCTATCCTTAAGTTTCTGTAAAAAAAAATTCATGTCAATACCATAATGTTATGATACTTTTTTTGCCTTCTAAAAAGGTTGCAAAATTTTTTGGCCCACCCTGTATGCAAGGCAAGACTTGGCCAAAGACTGACAATTGACAGATCTATTATTTCATTATGAATAAGTTAATATATTTTTACCACTAACTCATGCATGTTAATCCTTCAACTCTTGGTTAGTTTGTAGTCAACAAAGGTGAAAATCTAAATTTAATTTTCTTTATTTTCAGGACTCATTCATATCAAAAGTTAAAGACTATGTGTCGAGATATGCCAGGAGGTAGCACAGAATGTAGGATTTTATATTGATGCATATACACCTGGTTTATAATGCTGACCTACACCTCATTTGCTTCCAAATCTTCTCTATGGATAGAACTGATTCAGATGGATCAAATGTGTCCCCATTCCTGTTAACCTGTCCTTGGTGAACACAACTGTTGATGCTTTGTAGTGTTGTGAACTGTTGGCCCCATTGAAAAAATGAATCATCAATCAAAATGCCTCTTTTAGTAACTGATCATACGGTTTCCATTTAAAGCTGTGTTGCTGGTTAATATTAAATTGCACTTGGGAGATGGAACAATAATATTGATATGTCTGAAAATGCTAATTGGGAGGGTATTCTTTGATTGGTTAAGGATAACTCCCTTCACCCTCTCCCTACACGAAACCATCGCTGATCTCCGAGACAATTTTCCATCTGTCATATTCAATTTACATTCTACCATTTCCATTTTCTGGCCAAGATTACCTATGTCAATACTAGTGCAATAAAGTCATGATCAGATTAAATTGTTGCTCATTAAACGATAAAATAGGAAAATATTTCAAACTTGTACTTATAGACCTTTCTGCAAAACACTGAAAACATTAAATGATTTTGAATGCAATGTAAGCGTTTGCTATTGAACTAGAATTTAAAGTGTTTCTATTAGTGAATATTCACAATTAAGTGATTTCAGCATTAGCATTCACATTGTATGACAAGTACGGCAATATTACTAAAGTAATATCTTAGTAAAACTTTTTTCTAAATCTAAACTTTGAAACTACCTTTAATATGTAGTGTATATTCAATAGTTAAGTTAATTTATTAATCATTGTAAATATTGTAATAAAATGTTTTGATAAAAATAAATAAACATTTTGTTTGTTCGTGAAATCCAGTCTTTATTAATGATCATATTTATTTGGATGTGATGTTAGAGATCCACTTTTTTCACCATTATGCTATTGGGTACTTTGTACCTTTGCTAGTTAAGTGTATAGGATTTCTACATAATTCAGGGCAAGCATGTCAAAATGATAAGTTCCCAGTTGAGTCCAAATCCACGAGGGGAAAGAGTACCCGTGTGTATACAACCTACCGCCGAGCAAAGACCCGAAGATGTCTGAAAATGTAGGGGTTAAGTTATAAACTTTTGTTTATATCTTGAATTTCTCAATATGAGAAACAGATAAAACACAGAATTGTGTGTAACTGATAAAGTTATTGTTCCAGGCACTCATGTTTGCAAAATAATGAGTACTTAGCGCAATGTTTACTATCCAATCGCTAAATTCAACTTCTAAATATTTGAATGATGATTTACATCTTGAATAAGTAACAACCATGGCTGTCTTTACTTCATTCGATTCAAAGATACAATAGGTGTAAATGTATCATATTTATTTCACTGCCATACGTTGCATATCATTGAAATCACCGGTGAAAGTTGAAAATGAAAGACCCGATTATGTCACGAGTACGATTATATAGGACCTGAATCTACCACCTGAGTATTCCGACTATACCGTGAGTAGAACCCGATGAGGTAGTGAGTAAGCTTTCGAATGAGCATATAATATCATGGCGATATCACAAATATTCCTGTTTATTTATCATATACTCCTGGCACCGGAATATAATATAATATGATATAATTCCCGCAGCACTATACGTCAACGTCTGTTTCCGGCAAAGTTCTTAAAAACATTGAAATTATGCTTACACTTGAATCACCATAATTTCCTATGTGTTTGTGGTAAGAGTGCAACCCAAAAAACATTTAATTCTGCATTGCAAGCGCCATTCTATTCAAAGAACACAACTTGAAGAATCCCTCGAATAGTACAACCTGTGGACCCCACTCAGTGGACAAAAAAAATTGAATATCTAATTTTTCAAAATTCCCTTTCACTTGGAAAGGATTCTGAATTAAAAGAAAAGTTTGTTGAATTCGTTTCTAGTAAAACTTAATTCACTTCTTCATGATTTACTGTTGGCATTAAAGCTTACTGGCACTTACTCACTCGCCTTCTCTAATTTTTGTTTTATGTATAACTTGAAATGCTAGCCTATAATGCAAAATGCGCTAGGCGACTACTGTAATTACTGTATACTTTTTAAATTGAATAAATGTATAATGAATGAATGAATATTTTCATTGTCGATGATCACTTCTATTCTATCTGATCATAGTCCAAAGATTTTGGTACGACATTTGGTCCTTCGCACTCGTTGCCATGTTTTAATTTATTCAAAAACTTAATTATTTACTCAAACTGAACAGGTGTTATACAAAATGACTGCATAAAACATTTAAATCATTTTAAAAAGCACATACTGCTTGGAACTATATTCTTTGCAGTTCAATGCAAAGGAGTTATTTGTCAAACCATTTTCGGCGCTAAATTCAAAACCAATGAAAAAATAGTATCCATCAGATATACATAGGGATTATGTTCCTCCCGAGGGCTCATAGGAACCAAGGGAACACATATTGTATATCCCAAAGAATATTTTAATACTCAGTAATGGATTGTGCTGACTGAAGTGGACCACAAAGTCATCCATCTCGTGTGATTTATATCTACTGTGGAAGCATTTGTACCGAGGACCTGAAATACAATGTTTCGATGTGCAGTGGTAACTGGTGATGGCCACATTTTTTTCAGTTTCATTGATTGTTCACAACAAAATGATTCACATGAATGATGCAGATTGTATGTTTATTATTTGTTCATCAGCACGTCATAAAATCGACGATATAATCGGATCCCAACAGATTTTACTGTAATGTTCGAATTCTGAAATCCTTTACTCAAGATATTTTCGGATCTTTATAATATTACTCGTCGATCACATCGGGTCCGATGTCCGATAACATCGGATCTTTTAACACAAAGTTTAAGTGAAGATTTTGCTGTTCAAAAGTGCTATTTTGACCTAATATTTTGACACTTAATATATTATGCATATGGAAATCCATTTACCGACCCAAGTATGTCTTATGTATGGCTCATTAGCAATTAAAGCGAGTATGAATGAGAAAAACAAATCGAAAACCATTATACGTTTAACTTATCTCTTGATTTGGACATAAAAATATATTTCAACTGTAATTCTAGGCCAATTGCGCCTGCTAGAACATCTTAGTAACAATTCTAACCATCCAAAGGAATTGATAGTGACATTATATTACCTTTATTGTCCATTTTCCTACGAGATGACATTATCAAACATTTGCTCGGCGGTATATGCGTGTCTTGCTCGGCGGTAGGCTGTATATACACGGGTACTCTTTCCCCTCGTGAAATCTAACAACAGCAAATACATGCAAATTGTGTTTAAAGGGACCCAACACCTTACAAAACTTCTTAACGGAAACGAATAAGGGAAAATGCTTGCCGGATTCTGAATCTGTGTATTTTTTAATGATTTTTCACCGTCTTAGAATTTCAATTTTTTCTTTTGAAAAAATGAGATTTGCATTGTTTTCCAATTAGAAAAATGAGTAAACATGAATAGCTCGAAATCTAACAGTGAGATTTTGTTTTAAAAAATCATGGATATCAAGGCTAAATATTGCTATACAATAAACATAAAAAAAGCAATGCTTGGACTCTTCATATTCACACAAAAAATTAATTAGTAAATGAGGTTTGATATTTGTGAGAATAAGTTGTACGAGTCGCAATGCTCTACAAACACCAGACTACAGGGTGGATTAGGATCAATGACACACATAAAAATTAATTTAAAAATATTTCATGATAATTATCTCAAACAAAAGCAGTTAGCGAAGGATACATTTCATTACACTCAATAAATAGTTATCACTTTTGACTATATATACATATCTCATGGGAATGTATTTCCATCTGCTCAAGATATCATATTTTAGCTTCGAAAATCACAATCGTTGGATAATACATTTGTCTCAGAATGATAGGCCACCCTGTAGCAATGTAGCTTTCACTTGAAGTGTACCCTTGAGAATAATGAACTTACTTTCAAATTGGTCTTGCTTTTGTGGTGTATGTGGCTTTTTAGCAAATCTGCCACGCTCATTTCTTTCCAGAACCATCTTGTTCACATGTAACACTAGGCTATACGCCCATGTATAGACAGATGACATAGATATACATATAAATAATATATTGCACCTGTATTTACTTACATGGGAATATTCCCTTTGGAAAAATGCAAATGAATGAACATATATTTTCATCTTATATATGACTTCAAGCTAACATATTATTTCATATTTATATTTTCATATTTAGTCTAACATAAATAATAGATCCATGAGAACAATATTTTTTGTTTTCTTAAAAATTGATGGGTTTACTGTGAATTCAATAAATTACAATTTGCAAGGGGTAAGTATACTGTATGACCTTAGTTGCAAAGTACTGTTTATATATGCAGCTCAATAGCATAAAATATGTTGAATGAAGCATATGGTATGGATTAGTCGTGTGACACACAAACTGACCAATACATGAGGGTATTAGCTACTTTTCACAGAAACCAAAGGAGGACAGTGCTTTTATTTCAACTGGGAGCTTACCTCCACACGACTGATCATGTGACCATGGTGGTCGGTCCCTTTAAGATCACCTATTCGAATGATCCAAATGAATAGTTTAGGTAGATAATGGGTTAATTTGGCACCTGCTTTAATTTGGCTAAATTGAAAAAAAACTATCTGGTGTAATTAATGAGAACATCTCACTTCTAAATTGGCTCAGGGAGTTGCTTGAACAATAAATTATAAGATATAGCAGTTGAATTGAAGGAATATGTGTCACACTATGTATTTTGTTCCAATGTACATGTATATGGAAGTTGTGACGTCAGAGCAATCTCCAAGCCCTAGTGTTTGCCAAATTAAATAGCCGCCAATATGCCAAAAATAAAAAAATCGCCAAATTAGCCCAATCTACAGTATACAGGGTGTCCACAAGTCTCTCTACAATCATAATAACGTGTAGAGACTTTATGGCCACCCTGTACTGTTAAAGCTTTTTAAGTTTCTCACGTTTGGTGGACTTTGGTAGTTTAATACAAAATTGCAGGGTTTATTTTACAGAAATGATTTCTCATTGCCAAAATGAACAAGGAGTATTATCGTTGAGGAATTGAGTAAACAGAAATTTCAATATCTCTTAGTCTTAAGACCTCTGAATTATAACTTAAACCTATGCATATTCCATGGTATATATTTTACTCAGAACAATCTATTTCAAAAAATCAGTAAAACTTCCAATATTCTCAGGTTTTAATACTATAATCTATTTTATGAGCATATCTAAGAACTGTAAACTGCCTCCAAATCTGGGAAAAAACATGCCAACTATATTCATTCATTGTATATTGGATACTATTATACTGGTATATTGACAAAGATTTAAATTGTTCCAATTAAACCAACAATTTACAGTGACTAAAATGAGAAAATCAAGTTAACGAATTTCAGTAAAAATACCAACGGCAGAAATGTAACATCAGTTCTTTATAATTTTATTTACAACATCCAGCGTCTTTGTCTGTGACAAATTCAATATATACTATATACAAATAAATACTTCATATTTACATTTAAAAGAATGTACAGATAATGCAGTTCATGAACAGACAATTGATTTGGATTTTTTTTATTTGAACTGAAAGTATAAATGTTCATGTTGTACCTTGGGCATCAGTGAGGAAATCATGTCCTCTTCAAAGCAAAGGTAAGTGTTCTTTTTAATTGTTTCAATATGGTTGATCATTGTTTCTATAATGGTATATTTTAGGGGCCAACCCACAAGTATCCCATCAGTTCAATTGTATTGGTACTTAATGTTTTGTATTTGTCATGTAAAGTTAAATGGGATCATCTGTATGTTCATTATTTCATTTTGGTATTTGCATCATTGAGATATGTATGATACACAGGTCAAGTGTGTACTAAAATCAAAGCCTCTTGATAGATGTCACTTGTCAGGTTAGGTGTCCTGTTAACTTGAGGAGCTCAGAAGCAAGAGACGATAATGCCACATCAGCATGGGAACTGAAAATACAAAAGTTCTCATTCAACAAATGTACAAGAAAACCTGGGTTTTGTGGAACACTTTGGTACCTCCAATATGTGTTTCATTTTGGAGGTGTTCCTCCTTGCAGAGCTACATTAAGTCAATTAGTCATAGGGCTCTCAAATGAGTTCCACTTACAGAGGTGTTCAACTTTAAAATTTTTACAATGTACAGAATATAGCAAAAAATACAAGTGGTCACTAAATAAATAAAACAGGGTGAATAAATCATTTCGACTTCAGGTCTTTGGACTGTGTCTTGAGTTCATCCAAAAATGGAACATAATACTGTATCCAAGAAGATCCTACTTCTCTAAGTATGCTCCTCAAAAATGGTAATATTCAAGCTAATGAACCTACCTTGCAGTCTGACAGAGGTCTCTCAATGTATCTACTAGGTGACCACCATCTTCCCTTATAGAATCAGCATGCTGATGCTCTACACTGATCTAGAACAATAAATACAACATTGTTACATGATAACTCCCATGTGGAGAATTGATTTTGTCACCCATTATCACTGTTCCACAGCTGGATGACTCTAACTGCAGTTAGTATCATTCAAGATGGTGGCCAAAATTCTTTCATTCTTGATCAACCAACGATTTCAGCTTAACTAAGTTGAATCTGGATTCAAAATGTTTCGCCATAATAACTAAATAAAGTAACAATTTTAAACAACCAGGAAAAAATTCTCAGACACCCGCATTAATAGAGAATTTTAAAGACAACAGCCTCACTCAGACTGACTCTCACTGAAGTTGATGATACACTAACTCAGATGACCAAGCATGTATCCCTCCCATAGAGTTAGTGTCATCCACCGTTTCAGTTAGTGTCATTCCTACGTCGTCATCATGTCCAGTTAGAGTTATTCTAAGTGAAGTATTTTCTTAAACAAATTCCAATATCGCAGGTGTTTGAACGTTTTCTTGTGGTTGTTTACAATCAAAGCTTCATTAGTTTGCACGGTTAATTATTTGGAATCCAGGTTCAACTTAGCTTAGCTGAAATCAGATGTTTATCAAAAATGAAAGAATTATGGCCACCATCTTGAATGATACTGACTTAGAGTCATCCAGCTGTGGAACAGTGATTATAACAATAATCCTGCCTTTATAGAGGAGCTCAACTGGCTTAGAACCTTGGCTTACCTTATATGCATGTTGATACTCAATAGAACTGATCTAAATTGTAATCAATTCCCATGAAAGGTTCAACAAATATGAGAAAAATTGAAATCTAAATTAAATAGTCAAGTGATTTGTTTTTTTATTAACCAATGTCAATTGATCATATCAACCAATGTCAATACATTGATCATATTAACCAATGTCCATACTTTGATCATATCAACCAATGTCAATACACTGATCGTATCAACAAATGTCAATACATTGATCATATCAACCAATGTCCATACTTTGATCATATCAACCAATGTCAATACATTGATCGAATCAACCAATGTCAATACATTGATCATATCAACCAATGTCAATACATTGATCATATCAACCCATGTCAATACATTTATCGAATCAACCAATGTCAATATATTGATCATATTAACCAATGTCAATACATTGATCATATTAACAAATGTCCATACATTGATCAAATCAACCAATGTCAATATATTGATCATATTAAACAATGTCAATACATTTTTTTTTTTTTTTTTTTTTTTTTTTTTTTTTTTTTAAAAACAGTTTATTAATCACAAACAATTATATACATATTTACAAAACAAAATAGGCCTCTTTCTCTAAATCAAAAATTGCTTTTAAACTCAATACATTTAAATTTTCATTACATTTATATCTGTGAATGGTTTTTTTAATTATTAATGCCTCTAACATTTTGTCTTTTGGCACAGGAGACAAACCCAATTTTTCATCATTACTGAGTAAACTATTTCGTCAAATGTTTTTAATAAAGTTACAGTCTATAAAATAATGTTCTAAAGTGTCTTGGACATCTGGTTGGCAAAATTTACAAAAGTCATTTTGTTGTAATCTACATTTTTTTAAAAATACACCATTTGGATAAATATTGTGAAATATCTTCCATTGTAATGTTAGCAAAGACGTATCTTTGGTACATGAATATAAACATTTCCATACATTTGTTTCAATTAAGATATTGTTATGATATAATGGTATTTTTCTATCCAAGGTAAGTTTTTCTCTGATTGTTTGGGTTTTTAATATATTGCAGTCAATGTCTCGAAACTTTAAAGATTTATTTGGCAACACATTTCCATACCTTTGCATCATTTCATCAGACAATGAATTTCTGAGAGCCTGATATTCTAAAAAACTTTGGCCATTTCTATGAATCTTTTGACACAATTCATCATATGTAGCCAGTTTACTGTTTCTAACAACATCTGTCACATAAATTATACCTTTCTTAATCCAGTTAACAAAAAGGAGTGGTTCTCTAAATCTAGTTATGTACTGGTTGTTCCATATAATAGATGAATCACAAGAATTGCTGTATTTCAGCCAATATTCTAAAACATTCTTATAAAATTCATTACAGTTATTGATTCCTTTGATTTTATCATAAGGTACATTACTATTAAAAACACTAAAATCTCTTCCTAGTATGTTGTACATGTAACATGGTATAATTCGCCAATGACCTACTCCACCTTCTACTAGCTTTGAAACCCATCTTAAAGCAAAAGCTACTTGCATATCCTTAACATTGATCATCTTTAACCCACCGTTATTATAATTTTGAACTAAGATGTCCCGTTTTACTCTATCAGGAATCTTTTTTAGATCTTCCTCTTTGAATCTGCCCTTTGCCCAAATAAATTTAAAAAGCAATGTATTAATTCTGTTGAGTAGATTTTCAGGAAGTATAAATGCTTGTAAAAGATAAGAAAATTGGGATAACAATAAAGATTTTGCCAGTACAATCTTCCCAATTATGGTTAAATTCCTTGATACCCATGACTTCATAATATTTTCACATTTCGAAAATTTTGGCTCAAAATTTACTGGATTGTTAACCACCTTTATATTTGTGCTAAAAGTAATTCCAAGTATTTTAATATTATTATCAGGCTTTAATTTCCATTTTACATGACCCAATCCATCTAGTCTATTTTTGAATCTCCCAAGCCACATTGCCTCAGTTTTCTGTGGATTTACCTTAAGACTACTAATACTGTAAAATTCATTAAACACCTTTAGGGTATGATTAAATGATACATCATCATTTAAAAACATTGACGTGTCATCTGCAAATTGAAAAAGCTTAAATTCCTTATCCTGGCCAGGTGTTTTTATACCTTTGATTTTTTCTGACTGTCTAATTTTACATGAAAGAAGCTCAGTGGCTAAAATAAATAGTAAAGGTGATAAAGGACACCCTTGTCTAATCCCCCGATCTAGTTTTACATTACCTAATATCCAACCATTGTTTAAAATATGATTAGTGCCATTGGTATTTAAAATATTCACCCATTTTGTAAATGAAGGACCGAATCCGAAGTTTTTTAAGGATTCTAACATAAATTCTTTAGAAATAGAATCATAGGCTTTCTCATAATCTATTGCTAACATAATACCTTGTAAATTATTTGTGTCAATATAACAAATTATATCATCTATCGCCCTTAAAATAGTAGCTGCACTTCTTTTCTTAATGTAACCACTTTGATTTTCATGTACAATTTTTGATATGACTTTTTTCAATCTATTTGCCAAAACCTTAGCCAAAATACGATAATCAACATTTGTAAGGGTTAAGGGTCTCCAATGTTTTAAATAAGACCGTGCCAATCCCTTTTTAGGTAATAAAACCATAACACCTTTCTTTTGAGAATTTGATAATTCACCAGATATAAATGATGCATTAAAAGACTCTAGAAATAATGTACTAATTCTTGTAAAAAATACTTTATAGAAACCTACTGATAGTCCATCTAGCCCTGGACTAGAGTTATTTTTCATATATTTTAATGCATGTTTACATTGATCTACAGTAATTAGACCTTCACAAGATTCTCTGTCCGTTTGGCTCAATTTTGGTACATCTACATTATTCAAAAAATCATCCAAACTTGCCTTTCTGAATACAATTTTCTTTGAGTACAAATTCGTATAAAATGACAATATTTCATCAGCTATTCGCTCTTGATTTGTAATAGTTGTATTGTCAGCCAAATTTAGTGAAGTAATACATTTATTAGTGGCCCTTGCTTTTTCTAACTGAAGAAAATATTTTGTGCTCTTTTCACCTTGTTCATGCCATTTGACTTTTGACCGAACAAGAGCACCTTTTGATTCACCTGCACATAACATTTCATACTGTAATTTGAATTTATTTACCAACTGGTTTATATCTTTATTACCAGGATTTAGTATCAACTCGCTAGATGCTTTTTCTAGCTTATTTTTCATATCTTTAATTTGGTCTCTTTTACTTTTGGCCAGTTGTTTACTAAAAATGCATGATATATCCTTAATCTTTACTTTACAGTAATCCCAAAGGATTTGTTTATCCAATTTGTCTTCATTTTTTGACAAATTTTCAATAGTATCGTTAATAATCTTAACATACTCATGGTTTTCTAAAAGGCTATTATTAAACTTCCAGTATCCTGGACCTTTTTCAAAATTATTTATTTTCACATTAATGATGGTTCCTCTATGGTCAGAGGTAGGAAAATTTTCTATTCCAGTACATACTATTTTATCAAACAGAACATCATTACAAAACATATAATCAATTCGACGCATAATATTCTGCGTCTTATGCTTCCAAGTATAACATTTGTCATTTGGATTATGAATTCTCCATATATCTATAAGATCATTTTTATCTATGCATGCATTAAATGATTGAATTTCTCTTTGAGAATGTAAAGCCCCTGATATATTATCAAGGTTTTGGTTTAAAATACAATTAAAGTCACCAGAAATTAGAAAATTGACATCATGTGTGTTATATCTTTTGATCAAATTTTGAACTTTTTTATAAAAGTTGATTTTTTCACTGGCTTTATTTGGCGCATAAGCATTACATATAATGAAATGTTCATCTTCAAAATCTAATTCAATAATCAAAATTCTGTCTTCCTTGACCAATAACTTTACATTTTCTGCTTCACAAGTCTTGTTAATCAAAATAATTTCTCCTTTAGAGTGATTTGTTCCTGGGTTGGCAACCAACTGCCCTCCCCATTCCTTGCTCCAATTGACAATATCATTTTCCGTCACAAAAGATTCTTGCAAACATGCAATATCAATCTTTTCCCTTTTAAGATATCTGAACATTGTGTGGCGTGTTACTTTTTTCCGTAGTCCTTGGACGTTTCCTGTAAAAATGTTTACCATTGCGTATCGGGGTAAGTGTTTATTAAATTAATCTTTATCATCTGGATCAGCATTGACAACTTTGTGTTTCTGAGTTTCAGATACATGGTTCACTGGTTTGTCACTAACTGGAGATACAACTCTCACACTTTTACTGGCATTTGGGTCCATAAGTGGTGATACGTCCTTCCGTTTCAGGCTAACATTAATGGATGTCTTCATTGTGGTTGAGTCAAGAGGTTCACTGTTTGATGGAGCTACTGGAGTGTTGTTGATGGTAGTTGCAACAAGTTTCAGCACAGGGGATGTTGGACTACAGCAAGAGGTAGATGTTGGATTGACCTCTGTTGATGGTGCTGCCAATGTCAATACATTGATCGAATCAACCAATGTCAATATATTGATCATATTAACCAATGTCAATACATTGATAGAATCAACCAATGTCAATATATTGATCATATCAACCAATGTCAATACATTGATCATATCAACCAATGTCAATACATTGATCATATTAACCAATGTCAATACATTGATTGAATCAACCAATGTAAATATATTGGACATATTAACCAATGTCAATACATTGATCGAATCAACCAATGTCAATATATTGATCATGTTAACCAATGTCAATACATTGATCATATCAACCAATTTACTTTATTGACAAGAAGTTGGCAATATAAGACAATTAAATTAATAGGACTCAATCAATAATGAGGATTCTTCTTACTAGACGTTTGATGATTCTGAGAATGAGTTTCTGTTTTTTCGAATCAGCCACCCTCAAGGCATTGCTGTAACACTCCTGAAATGTAAAACAGGGATGTTATAATACATAACATGTACTTCTTTATTCTTATATGTCATATTACAGTTATTCATAGCTTGATTCAAGGAATAACATGAACATTGCCAATCGATTTGAAGGATGAATGTTTGCTTGCTTTACATATGACCATGCAACAGTTTAAAACATACCATATTTTCATTTGACATTGCATCTGGGTTCTCTCCTCCAAACAATTGTGTCATGATAGACAAGCATTTCAGCGACAGTTCTTGTATATCTGTGTCATCGTGGCAGAGCTGAAATAATCAATACAAGCACATACAATGTTGATTACACCAAGTAAACATCTGAATGGAATTATGCTACAGTAAAACCTTTCCATCTGGACACCAATGGGACTGGTTTAGTGTTCAGATTAGCTGTTGTTCATATTTCATAGTTTCGTAAAATAGGAGTCAATCATCCTCCTAAGCAGGTGTCCAGAATCCGTACCTCCTTCTTCCCCCTGCTATAAGCAGTTAGTACCTCGATTAAGAACTCGCAATTTGATTGGCTGTCGCAACACTGCGACAGCAATCATGTATATGTCATCGGCGCATAATTAGATCACGTGATTCAGTTTAATCGGGCGCGTCCAACTTGGTTATAGCAGGGGGTAAAAAGAAAGAAGATATTCTGGATTTTGAACCCCTGTGATCGGAGGATGGGAGTCAATGGGAGATAAAATGTTCGCATTGAGGGGAGTTCAACGTACAAGTTTACTGAACTGCAGAATCTTAAATTCTACAATCCTTGAATTCTGTCTCAATTGTCTCAAAAACGATATCCTGTGAAATTCCAAGAAAATTTGCCATTTTCTCTTGCAAAATTCACTGATTTCACATCATTTCAACTTGAACAACTGTGAGGAGTGTAATGTAATACATATAGTCTTAATACAGTACAGTGTCATCAATTGAGTTAATATTTACCTACCAGTTGAGTGAGGAGACTGAGTACATCAGTAAGTGGTTTGTTTGTGAGAAGTAACTGCTCAGCCCTCTCAGCTTCATACCCTGTACTTCCTCCTTTCTTGGCCTGCAATGTAGAACAACAATCATTTTATCATTGATTGTCTCAGTCTGAGATTTTCAGATTATTTATATTACATAAGTCATTGGTCTACTATTTATGATTCAGGCACCCATTTTTATGCAGTATGACAAACATTTTTCTAAGCAGCACCAAGAAAACAATATAAAATAGCTGATTAAAGCCAAATAGCCCATCATTTCATCAACATATCAAAAAGTAATCATTATATTAAGTAAAAGGAAAATAAAATTTGAACACCATGAGACCCTCACCTGTAGAGCTTTTCTGACGTAATCAGAGACAAACTTGAGAATACAATGCATGGTATCCAATAGCAACTGTAGCATGGCAACAGCAGTTTTCAAATCCCCAGTTGGTTCTTCAGGGTCCATGCAGATTGAGGTGACCTCTATGAACAGATTTGTGATGTGATCGACCAAACCTAAAAAGTTAAAATCAACGCATTCATGTTATTACATCATAATTTCATTTGATAATGTTACAATCGAGATTAAAACAATCAAAATGTTGTGCTCATTTTTACACATAATATATCAAAAATAATTATGCTAATACCATCCAGTTTCAGTATGTCTCTATACCCCTTTAGGTGTTGTCTCAAAAGTTACAAAGTTACACAAAATCAACCCTGTGTAGAATCTAGAGCAGACATGGAAGAGTTTCTCATGCTTTTGTTATACCACCATACTGAGAGCTGTACCTTGATCGTATAAATCCTTCATGTTAGTGTCTCTGTGGGCCACCAGGTGGTTTACTATGCCTACTATGGACTGCATGGTCACACTAACAGGTGTGGTCTGGTGGTCTAGTAACACTTGGAATAACACAGCCACCAATCCAAGCTCTTCAAATTTCCTAGAATACATTACAGTCAAACCTGTGTTAGTGAACCTCTGTACAATGAGCATTTTTCTTCAGCAGTCACACTTTTCTCCCATTGACTCCCATGTTAAAGTACAAGTACATTCCTACTTATAGTGAACACCTGCCTACTATGAACAGGGAACACTTACACTAATTGAAGAAAATACATGCATTTGTTTCTGTATTCAGAAAGTACTTGCAAAAAACTGTATGAAATCTGTTGCCACATCTTCCCTGTTATTTCCTATAAACTCACACACTTTGATTTAAAAAACATTGAAATGTGAACACTTGCTAGTCTGAACACCTTTGGCTGATCCCAGTGGCGTTTGGATTGGACAGGTTTTAGTACATTTGCTACACACTCTGAGGCATAATTTTTATTGTATAGTAATCGTAGCTTACTTGACAAAGGTCTGATTCTGCTCCAACAATGCTAGCAGAAGTTTAAGGCCATATGCTGGCAGAGGGTCTTGGTCTAATAGGATCTGTTCATATCTAAAACACAAAATAATTGGTAGGACACTACATTAAATGAGTTTTAATGAAATTTTGTGTACAACAATAATTTGATATGTTTATTTCTATATTTTCTTCAACAATTGGATGATGAAGATTGAGAGATACATCATCGTACAAGATAAACATACATATTAATGAACAATGGAACAATGTGTAACATGCAGTTTTGCAAGTCGCATGTGTGAATCCACAAATTCATTACATCAGAGAATTGACAAAGAATGCTGGGAGGAAATTCTCCCTTACTTACTGTGGAAGTAAAGCATCCACTATAATGCCTTGTAGTTTTACAGAACTTTCCTCATCTAGAGTGATGTTCAGCTGCTGTTCACCTAAGTATGTCGTGGCAATCTCTGTGAACAGACGCAAACAAAACACACGTGTGTCACCTAAAAATATAAAGAAATTCTCATAATACTATATGCCAGGTTGATCAACAAATTTAAGGAAAATCCACTTACCGGTATTTAAAGGTTGAAATATTTTTTCCATGCGTTGTGTTCCTACCTCATAGCTAGTCATGCTCCTGACTGTCAACATATTTCATGAGCTTACCATTTGAGCTTGTGATATGTAGTGACATATTTCATGAGCTTACCATTTGAACTTGTGATACATTTTGATATATTTCATGAGCTTACAAATGGAGCTTGTGATATGTTATGAAATATTTCATGAGCTTACCATTTGAGCTTGTGATATGTAGTGACATATTTCATGAGCTTACCACTTGAGCTTGTGATACATTATGACATATTTCATGAGCTTACCATTTGAACTTGTGATACATTTTGATATATTTCATGAGCTTGTGATATGCTGAGAGAGAGGTGACATATTTCATGAGCTTACCAATGGAGCTTGTGATATGTTATGACATATTTCATGAGCTTACCCTTTGAGCTTGTGACAAGCTGAGAGAGATGTGACATATTTCATGAGCTTGCCATTGGAGCTTGTGATAAGCTGAGAGAGATGTGACATATTTCATGAGCTTACCATTGGAGCTTGTGATAAGCTGAGAGAGATGTGACATATTTCATGAGCTTGCCATTGGAGCTTGTGATAAGCTGAGAGAGATGTGACATATTTCATGAGCTTACCATTGGAGCTTGTGATAAGCTGAGAGAGATGTGGCATATTTCATGAGCTTACCATTGGAGCTTGTGATAAGCTGAGAGAGATGTGACATATTTCATGAGCTTACCATTGGAGCTTGTGATATGTTATGACATATATCATGAGCTTACCATTGGAGCTTGTGATAAGCTGAGAGAGATGTGACATATTTCATGAGCTTACCATTGGAGCTTGTGATAAGCTGAGACAGCGGTGCTAAGAGGCTGTCTACAATGATCACATGGTGTTCAGTAAGAATAGTCTGATGTTGTACTATTGCTTCTATGATAGAAAACACTGTGTGGATGAACTCCTGGCTGCCTGAAGCACCTGGAATTAATAGGTGTAAATAGAAGTGGGGTCTCATTTTAGGGGGAAGGGAGCATTATTATGTTTAGCAAATCTGTAATACAATTTAGGGTAAAGCTTAACAAAATTGATAAAAATGTTGGTTACTTTAAGTCTTAAATTATGTATAATGTCAAGATCATATTTTGTATTTCACTGAACTATCAAATATGTTATCTACATGTAAATGAGACCATGGACTTACAATAGTTTTTCTAATAAAAGCTCTTAATCTTAAATCATATTTTCCATTGTTAAGAAGAATAGAACATTATTTACCAACTGCACTGTCAATATTAGTTTCTCCAGCATCAAGTTCTTTGACATGCTTCAAGATACTTCCCATGTTATGTAAGAACATCCCTCCAACAATTCTGGGCCGAAATACCTGCAGTAAGAAAACAAGGCATTAACATACAAAATGTCACCACCTGCCTGACAATTAGTACCGGTGTATTAAGGGGACTCAGTGACTCACAGAGATGTAATGAACTTCTTCCAAGATTTATAATTTAGGGAAAATGGTATTTTTATTGTGTAACGTACAGGCTGCTGGTTATTGCAGTGTTATTTGGTGTTGTAGAATACAATGGCCTTCAGGACTCTAAATAGATGGCGAAAAATTCAGTAGGTTTAATAGCATAATTTACAATGTAAAGAATGTTCCAAAGATCTCCCAAGATAAATTTTATTGAAAATATCCAGAACTTCTAATTTTGTAAATAATGATGAAGAAAAATATGATATTTATTTGATATATGTAGAGAATTTGAAGTTTCAAAGCAGCAATATTTACACATAAACCAATGGGTCAGTTGTGGAGAACAACCTAGTAGTTAACTACCATCTATACGAGTCTAGGCTGGCTCCCATTGAGTGTTTCACTGATATGCATATTACTTGCAGTTGTCAAAGAGCTTGGAAGGAATGGAAAATGTGCATATTTTTTTAATAATCTCATTTTCTTGTAGACTGGTAAAGATATCTTCGGGAAGCTTAAAGACCTTACTATTCTTATATAGCATCAAAGTATGATGTGGAAATCAGAATACATCTACAAGTGAACCATTCAGGAAGTTTCCAATAATAAAATCAGAATCAGAACGTTTAACCCTGAGTGTCATAATGTAACTAGTTTTATAAATGTTTACATTGTTTCTGGGGTCCCCTATAAAGACCTGAAGGAAGATTGGATCTGGTACGTTGGTTAAATTTAAGCTTGGGTGTAGCTCTAATAAGCAAATGCCTGCAATCCTTACCCTGGAATCCTGCACTAAGTTCTCACAGTGACATTAGGGTTCATGAGCTTATGTTCAACACATTACTTCAGTTTGGTGCAAAAAAATTGCACAAATAAAAATGTGTGTAGTTACATTTTACCTTGAGCTTGTGTGTAAAGAAAAAGTAGATTGATCAGGAAAATAAAGATACATGCATATATAAATAACATATGTCTTTTTCTTTCATATGTTTTTTGTTTACTCAATATGAGTTGCTTACTTGGCTGGTAATGAGATGTAGAATGACAGGCACCATTGGGACAGAGGTCTTCAGGTCTTTGGCTTGAGCAGAGGATGGATGCTTTCTACCATGTACAGCATCTAGTGCACTAACAACATCACCTAGAGAAATACATGGTTCATGCATATCAAATTTTGAGCTATTTTTACAAAAACCTGTTTCTGTATATGACTCATGGAGAAATTAAGTCCTGGATTTAATTTACACAAGGTCTCATTTCATTATCTCTTGCTTCTGTACATTTTTTGTAGATTTTTTGTTCTTATGTTTGTTATTTTATGTTCATACGACTTTTTCATACTTCATTGGAAATGACACCACATTTTCTCATTTTATGACCTTGAGTTCTTAGAGCAGAACATATTAAACTTTGGTATCTTACCAACAAGAAAACACTCCCAACCTTACACTAGATATTTTAAACATATACATAAATAGCTGTGGTTGAGAAATAACAGACTCTGTTTAATGGTCCACTGGAAAATGTAGTGGTACTTTTGTTATATAATGAGTGTGAAGCAATGAGTCATTACACATAAAAAGAGTAACCTACCACAAACCCTTGGCACAGTTCTGACTATACTGTCAATAAGGAAGGAAAGACATTGCACTAAGTAGTCTACATTAGCGGTAGATTGTGACTTGGACGGATTACTTCTGCGACTGTCTCTCTCCACATACATGACCAGTCTGAAGATAGATCACAAAACATATAATTAATCTTATATCCCATGTTTGATGACAGAATTTGTTTTTTTACTGCATAACAATCAAAGAAATAAACGATTTATCATTATGATGTTACTATAAACTTTGCAAACACAATGTACATCTTTCTTCTGTTTAAGGCATTTGAGTATAGTACTTGTACAATACTTGTAACAATACAGAAAAATTCTATATATTTAATATGTCTAATGAGTGTGTAGTCATACCTCATTTGGCAGCAGGTTAGAAACATCTCTGGATTGCTTGATATGATCTTTGTAGTGACAACATATGCCTTGCCTCTCACTACAGCAGACTGACTCTCCAAGAGACGCATGACCTTTTGTATGAAACTCTGAAACAATAGGAATAAAGAAAGAAAGCATCAATTTCTGCAAACAAGAGCCAAGAGACAGTTTCATGGGAGTTAACCTGCTTCATCATGCCAAAGCCTGGTGATATGAATGATTGTACAGAAAGGATCATGGGAATCAACCTACCTTGTCTTGTCAGCGTCTACTAACATGAGTGGCTGCAGAGAGGATCATGGGAATCGACCTACCTTGTCTAGTCAGCGTCTATTAACATGAGAGCCTGCAGAGAGGATCATGGGATTCAACCTACCTTGTCTTGTCAGCGTCTACTAACATGAGAGCCTGCAGAGAGGATCATGGGAATCAACCTACCTTGTCTTGTCAGCGTCTACTAACATGAGAGCCTGCAGAGAGGATCATGGGATTCAACCTACCTTGTCCTGCCAGAGCCTGCTGACATGAGAGCCTGTTGAAAGTAACAATCCAAACATTGTAACGAGAGCTTGTTGTATCTTGCTCACTCCAATGGACAATGTGTCTAATATCTTGGGAAGGCCAACTTTATCTATGATACTTTGGAATATATTCACTGAACATCGGCTTATCCTGCATAGTGCCTAAAAATGAAAGAAAAAGTTTGCATCAATAAGATCCTAACTTGCGCAAGATAGACGGTCCAGTTTGCTTACGGGCATGGGCGTAGCGCCCGGTACGCTGGGTACGCATAGGTGTACCAGATGGTTGCAAATTCGCTCCAAATACAACCAAATTTCAAAATTTTCCTGCGGGAAAAACCCCAGACCCTCCTGAATGCTCGTTTTTTCATTCACTCAACTCTTGTTCCTGTGCTGGTGGCGTACTACTTAGAAAAATAGCGCTACGCCCATGCTTACGGGTCCATGTGGTAAGGCACAATCAACTGCAAAATTAAGACAATCATTTAAAATCTTTTCTTTGTGATAAAAATATAATAGCATAACTATTCATTAAGTGTGTTATAATCTACCACATAAAAAACTAATGTATTCTCATGAAAAACCACTTACAGTAATGGCTGTGATTCTAAGGGCATCAACCGTAGAGTGTGTGAAGATGTACCAGAGGAACTGGCCTACATCATTTGCAACAAGTTTGTTTGCATATTGGCCTGTAGTAGAGAGAAGGTTCTCTACAATCTTAGCAGCATAATGGTTTACTATAGCATCTTCCTGCAACAATAAGTAAATGTAATCTGTATTGTAAATAGGTAATACTTATCAAAGAGGATTGGCTCCAAACATTCTAAGCTGATTTTCTGACATCATGGAGGCCAAGATCTTGTCTGCCATGATTACAAAATTCAAAATTAAATTGCCACCATTTTGTCAGATAGAATTTCAATCAAGAATTTTGGCCTCACTCTCAATGCTCAATCAAATATTTCAAAACAACCAAGAAGTGATCATTCACTGGTTCAAATTTTTGGAATTGTTTTCATGAATACATAGCCAGTTTTGTTGTAAGACAATAAATAACACCAATAATTCCTTGGTCATTTGAACACACTGAACATACTATCATAGGATCAGAAGGGAATCGGTATTGCCAATCCTCCCTGTCATTTTAGAAACCTTCACTCAATGAATGAATGTTCAAAATATAAATGCCATTGGTACTTTGCTAATATTAACTAAATGAGTCTAATATGTCACAAAATATTGTTAGATAATCAATGAACAATGAGCATGGCAACATTTCATACATTTTTTTAGTTTAATTCATTACAATGACAATGAACTTTAATGTCAGATGAATGTTTACTGACCCCTTCTCTCAAACACCTGGTGATCAATGTAAATGTCATAGATGGAATCAGCCAGTTGTCTACAGATTCACCTTTAGCCTCTTCCTACAAAATAATAAATGCACTAATGCTGATATTATACAATATATCCACAATAATAATGATCAATGTAAATGTCATAGATGGAATCACCCAGTTGTCTACAGATTCACCTTTAGCCTCTTCCTACAAAACAATAAATGCACTAATGCTGATATTATACAATATATACACAATAATAATGATCAATGTAAATGTCATAGAAGGAATCACCCAGTTGTCTACAGATTCACCTTTAGCCTCTTCCTACAAAACAATAAATGCAATAATGCTGATATTATACAATATATCCACAATAATAATGATCAATGTAAATGTCATAGATGGAATCACCCAGTTGTCTACAGATTCACCTTTAGCCTCTTCCTACAAAACAATAAATGCAATAATGCTGATATTATACAATATATCCACAATAATAATGATCAATGTAAATGTCATAGATGGAATCACCCAGTTGTCTACAGATTCACCTTTAGCCTCTTCCTACAAAACAATAAATGCACTAATGCTGATATTATACAATATATACACAATAATAATGATCAATGTAAATGTCATAGAAGGAATCACCCAGTTGTCTACAGATTCACCTTTAGCCTCTTCCTACAAAACAATAAATGCAATAATGCTGATATTATACAATATATCCACAATAATAATGATCAATGTAAATGTCATAGATGGAATCACCCAGTTGTCAACAGATTCACATTTAGCCTCTTCCTGCAAAACAATAAATGCAATAATGCTGATATTATACAATATATCCACAATAATAATGATCAATGTAAATGTCATAGATGGAATCACCCAATTGTCAACAGATTCACCTTTAGCCTCTTCCTACAAAACAATAAATGCACTAATGCTGATATTATACAATATATACACAATAATAATGATCAATGTAAATGTCATAGAAGGAATCACCCAGTTGTCTACAGATTCACCTTTAGCCTCTTCCTACAAAACAATAAATGCAATAATGCTGATATTATACAATATATCCACAATAATAATGATCAATGTAAATGTCATAGATGGAATCACCCAGTTGTCAACAGATTCACATTTAGCCTCTTCCTGCAAAACAATAAATGCAATAATGCTGATATTATACAATATATCCACAATAATAATGATCAATGTAAATGTCATAGATGGAATCACCCAATTGTCAACAGATTCACCTTTAGCCTCTTCCTACAAAACAATAAATGCAATAATGCTGATATTATACAATAAATACACAATAATAATGATCAATGTAAATGTCATAGATGGAATCAGCCAGTTGTCTACAGATTCACCTTTAGACTCTTCCTACAAAACAATAAATGCAATAATGCTGATATTATACAATATATCCACAATAATAATGATCAATGTAAATGTCATAGATGGAATCAGCCAGTTGTCTACAGATTCACCTTTAGCCTCTTCCTACAAAACAATAAATGCATTAATGCTGATATTATACAATATATCCACAATAATAATGATCAATGTAAATGTCATAGATGGAATCAGCCAGTTGTCTACAGATTCACCTTTAGCCTCTTCCTACAAAACAATAAATGCATTAATGCTGATATTATACAATATATCCACAATAATAATGATCAATGTAAATGTCATAGATGGAATCAGCCAGTTGTCTACAGTTTCACCTTTTGCCTCTTCCTACAAAACAATAAATGCAATAATGCTGATATTATACAATATATCCACAATAATAATGATCAATGTAAATGTCATAGATGGAATCAGCCAGTTGTCTACAGATTCACCTTTAGCCTCTTCCTACAAAACAATGAATGCAATAATGCTGATATTATACAATATATCCACAATAATAATGATCAATGTAAATGTCATAGATGGAATCAGCCAGTTGTCTACAGATTCACCTTTTGCCTCTTCCTACAAAACAATAAATGCAATAGTGCTGATATTATACAATATATCCACAATAATAATGATCAATGTAAATGTCATAGATGGAATCAGCCAGTTGTCTACAGATTCACCTTTAGCCTCTTCCTACAAAACAATAAATGCATTAATGCTGATATTATACAATATATCCACAATAATAATGATCAATGTAAATGTCATAGATGGAATCACCCAGTTGTCTACAGATTCACCTTTTGCCTCTTCCTGCAAAACAACAAATGCACTAATGCTGATATTGTACAATAAATTTTTACAAGATTCTACAATAATAAGCCAGTTAATTTTCTTTATTGACACACAGTTTATATATTTTTCAGTTGTCCAAGTTAAATCAGTAATTCAAGCATCAATCGGAAGTTTCAGTGTTCCAGGGATCAGTTTTTAGTCAGAGCCAAGGCTGAATATTTAGTTTAAAAATGACATAATAGTAGGAGGAATAAAGAAATAGCTGAACAAATAACATTGGGGCATTTAGCTAGATAAATGTAGAATCAACCTATACATCATAAAATATAAGTTTATATAATTCAATATTTTTACTCTTTTGATATCACTCCTCATTCAATGTATGCAACTCTTACCTGCTTTGCAATTAGGAATACAAGTTCACCTAGAGCTGGAAGTAGAGCTTGTTTTACTTTGGAGTTGCGGAAATTGTCTCTTATGACATCAGACAGCATAGAGACAGCCTGAAACAACAATATGAGTCAATTCATTCCCATCATTTTCTCCTGTCAGTTTCATTATAGTTTTAAGGGTTAATCTTTATCACCAAATAACTTCCAAATGTATTACTATTCTAGTACTATTATCTTTGTCCATTCGTGAGAAAATAAAATAATATGTGAATCCCAAGTATGGTGGTCAATTGACCTTTTGCGATCAGAATTCAAGAATTTTGTTTATGGATACTGTTGTCATGTACATGTATTTCGTCTTATTGGTGTGACGTCATATAGAAATGATATTAGACATGATGGAATCACGAAATTGCGGACACGTGGCAGTTTTGAGCTAAAAATATTGTCGTTTCTTTTATGAAAACCATGGGTCGGATATTTACCAGATATCCCTATTTGACTAGATCATGAGTATATCTATATATGTGCGAAGTTTGGGTGAAATTCATACTAAACATCGATGCCTATAAGCGCCCCCCGATTTTGAAGAAATCGGGGGGCGCTTAACCGCTATCTAAATCATGTCAGAAAGATCTTAGACTTGGTATGTGCTTAACATGAATGTTGATCTAGTCAAATCGAACGCTTTCGTGAAAAACAAATCAATAAAGCACGAATTATAGAAGACAATCTCTCAAAATCAAACATCTAAAGCTGAGTGACCTAATTGTGACGTCACTACAAGATAGAATCTATCCGGTGATCGCAAATCATCAATTGTATAAAAGAAATCTCCCATTTAGCCCCATTACTGAAATTAACCTTTCTACATTGACAACACACAACATTTCTCTATTGTAGTGCTCATATAGACTTGTGAAATCTTGAACACTATTTATATGTGCAGCATGTTATATATGCAGTAAAGTACATATGTTACCTCGGCTAACTTGGTTGAATCCAGCAGAATGGATGTGTTGTTGGACATCACAGCTATTGTTCTAGCCAGCCTTACACGCCTTAAATTGAGAAACAAAATTGAACTTTTAGCAGCCTGTACCATTTTAGCAGAATAAGACCAGTGGTCTAGCACATGTTAAGAGTAGACTTATAAGCAGACCCCAGTAGGGGACAACTTAGTATGTATATTTAATGATGTAGTGCCTGCCTACATCATTTAAATCTATAAACTGGATTCTCATAAATTGTGATATTGTAATGGTTTCTGCAATTATATTCCATCAATAGACAAAATTATATTCAATTTTCAAATTTTTAGGATTTATTAAAAATCATGAACACTCATACTGACTGCTGGTGGCATTGTATGCCCCTTATTTAAATTAACCACATTGGGGAATCTATAGATTATATATCCTCTTAATCAAGGAAAATCAACATTAAAAAAACTTTGAAACCAGAATGAACCAAAAATGAATTCTACAACTGCCGAAATATAGATAAAATCCTTAACAACAAAAACAGAATGTAAACAGTCCTGAAATAGAGAGATTTCATACTTACAACTCTAAAGTGGAGTTATCCTTTATGTGTTTAACAAGTGATCCAATAATTCCCTTATTCATCAAATAACTCGCCAACTCATCATTGTAGCAGATCGCTGTGACATAATTCAAGAAATGCATCCGTTTTTGTGATGGTGGTCCTTTCTCAGGTGTTGCCAAAGTGTCAAGTATCAAATCTAAATGTTTCTGTTTGTCTTTACGAGATGTGGAGAGAATTTTCTCCACGGAATAAGGAGGGACTGGCAAGGTTTTGTTATCATATTTGAGATTTCCAGGTTTTTGAATCTTGAAAATAAAAATAAACCATGCAATATTGTATTATATACTAGATAAATAGCATAATGAGAATTTGGGTTATACTGTAGTTATAATTAATTTCTGTTCTTTCATAAAAGTGTATTTAATTTACAAGACTAATGCCAAGTAGCATTTGAACACTTCTAAATTGGGCAACTTTACCTAATATAAGTTTAAGTGATAATATATGGATGGATAGTACCAGAGAAATATGATTGGTCCAAAGAGAGTTAATATGAATCTACTATCAGAATGCAGATATCTATTTGTGATATTAGTTTTCATAGTTACCAGCAAAAATGTTATCAACTTACTTTGGGATTATCTACAATTGGGGTGACTAGGAGATCACTATCGTGGAATATAATATCTTCAATAAGAGCTGGTGTTTCTGTGAGATCATCCTCTTGATTATCAGCTTGAGTATTCAGCAACATTGTCTTCATGTTATGTTGTTGGTTTGGTTTCTGAGGAGATGTTATTCTTTCATCATTTTCATCTCCAGGACAAACATGAGAACTGAAAAATATTTAATTGCAAGTGATCTCCACTGCTTTGAGGTAAGTGGGTACTGCACTCACTTGAAATTTGGCTTATTCCCATCTGAAAATCCATTGAATGAAGTGAAATAAATAAAGTAGAAAAAAAATCTGAAAATCCATTTACCCCCACGTGAAAATGTGTTTGTACAAACAGCAACAAGATAACCAAACTATTACCTTCACTACAGGTTTTGTAATTATCTTCTTAATTTGTAAATGTTACAACTGTATTGTTTTCATGAGATATTCCACAACCTGTTTTTGTCTGAACCTTATAAAATGCTCTGTGAATATATAAGCGCAAATGCCAAAGGGAAGGGTGACTAAAACTTTAAAGAAACCCAACAAGAAAAGCAAACTGTAAGTGTAAATCTGTCATAAGACAAAGTAGACCCTATATATCCCAAAACCATGATCTAACATGAAAAGAAACAATGTCTAACATCCCCCTCCCCCCTCCAATCGAGAACCAATATCACAATCCAGGACCAGAACACCAAGGGACATTTCGTTCATACTGAAGTCATTTCAATACATGTTGAAGAAAAACTGAAAAATTGATAGCCAATACTAATAACATCAAAAATAGTTGTAGATACAAGTACTCTTAAAAGAGTATTCAGTCTCAAATGATGTGAGATAGATAAAATCCAGTCTCGAAGTCCATAGGCAATTCAAAGCATCAACATCCATTCGCAAAGCTGTCATCATAATCCACAAAACACAACAATTCACAATGGTCATCAGGAGAAAACTGTGGCTGGTTTCGATATTTGGCTGTGAGATATTTGCTTAACACTAGAGAGAAGATTCTGCTAACCTTAATGCAAATACAGGTTCTTCTGTATTTCCCTCAGCTACTGACTTTGGCCTCATGCTCTCCATCATATCTGAATGCAAAAGAATATATGAATCATGTTTAAAATCATTTGTAGATTTGTCATTTGTGGTTTCCCTACAGCTAATCATTAAATATTATTCAAAATTTAGTCAAAGTGACATCATATTTGAAAACAATCTGTACATGCAATATCTTTACCTCAGAGTACATATTCCAATGTATTATTTTTAACATGCATGAAAAATGTTATAGTGTTCTTCCCAGTAGAAGCATTTAGTGATTGAATAAATCGAAAGTGAATTGCGTATTTTCTGACCCGATATTCATTGAAGTTCATTCCAAGATGCTCATGCATTTGAAATAAACGCATACCTGGTAATGGAGATACAGCAGTCATACTGGACCCTCCTGTGTCTATATCTACATCTAAACCTAAAAATACAGTCAAAGTATAAAAACACTTATAAAATTATACAAAAATATGATAAATACATACCATGTTGAATAATCTCAGTCAAGTGTGATAACAAGTGTTTCATTGGAATATCAGGAATTACTTGAGTTATTGCAATACTCATCAAAATTGTATTCATCTTCCATCCTTGTTAAAGAAGTCATCTTTTATATCTCACAAAAACAGTTTTGTAATTAAATCCAGGATATGGTAATGAGATTGTGGGGAGAAATATGCTTTCTGCTTTACAAACAATATGATAATTTTGAAAAGCTGGGAGGGATAAAAGCCATATCCAATCCCTACCAGTAAATAACTTCTACATATTATGTATATCTAATATATTCCCAGTTTACCTTTAATTTTACCCATGACAGATGCAGCCTTGAACTGTGAGACGCTATCCCTATTTGATTCTGATACTCCTGTACCTGGGGAGAGACTGGTGCCAGGCCTAGAGGTGAGGCCTTCACTTAGCTCAGCCAACACCCCATTCCAGAATGGATGCTTTATAAGCCCAGACCAGTTTAACCTAAGAAGAAATTAAAGTTAAAAATATGTTTTAAACTAAGATTCAAGAAATATTGTTCTTAAGTCAAATTTGTTTATTCATAAATCAATGCATACACAAGGCAAAATATATAATAACAATACATAAGGCATAGAATTACAAAATATGAAAAGCAACGCAACCTATCAGGTCATTCTTTGACTCTAATATAAATTCTATATTTCTAACAAATTGTCACATCCATATTCTGCCTTAACTAACCTCTCAACTGGTTTTCTCTTCAGTAATTTACCAAGCAAGTCCAGGAAGTCTGGAGAGGGTTTACTAGAAAGACGGCTTCCTGTTATAATAATAATGAAGGAATGTTAACTTCATACATTTTTTTATTTATTTATTTTCCAACATGTTATACATTTAAAGGTGAATTGTCTGTACTCATAAATTTATATTCCATGAATCATTTTATTTAATTAACACAATTGAATTTTAAATACTATAATAGTAACATTTTTCCTTGATGCAAAAATGTTTTTCAATGTGCAGCATACATTATAATATTATAATTGTTTTGGGTAGGACAATTGCATAATATTGATTATTCAATTTAAAGGACAAATATCTAGATAACAGTATACAAAATCAGAATGAGCTACCTAATATTGAGACAACGGTGCAACATAACCACAACTCTATCATAATGTTTCAAAAGAATAGATTCGAATCATCATAACTCACCAGAAAAAGGCTAATTTGTGAGTTTAGTACAATACAATGGTAGACTTATAAAAGTTAATCAGTATTTGCTAAAGAAATGAACTAAAAATCAATATAACTTATTTTGATAGAATTTTTCCGATGATAACGACAACATAAAATTATGTCAAAGATATAAATAAAGAATGATGCTTAACAAAAAAGTTTAAGATACCCGTAGTGGCATTTCTCACAAATCAAAGGAAGAAAATAAATATTTTATTGTAGAAAAGTACACATAATAGGATAAGTGTACTTATAAATTTATGTGTAGATGGAGGCCACTTCTTCAATGGTGTTAAAGAATATAAGCAATATAAGAGATAGGTCTAAATCTACAGGTAAGACAGCTTGATTGATAATATCAACATTACCTTGGAAACCTGTCAAAGTGGAGAATAAATAAAAAAAGTCAGTGGGTAAAGTACGCCATTTTAAAAATTAAAATAATAAAATTTTCAGAAACTACATTTGACTATTTTTAAGTTATTTTTGGACTAATACATAAAACTCTCCATCTCTTTATCATATTATGTTGCGTTAATTCAGATTTTAAACATTTATTATTTACAAAACTTACCTTTAACCTTAGGGGGTGGAAAATCTGTAGTAGTGACCAATGTCACATGTTCCCTGAAGTCTTCACAGACAAATGGTGGATGACCTAAAAAGCACCAAGAGTTCAATTTAGGGATTGGTTAGATGTATAGTAGAATATGCACATTTTGGAAGCAAGAGGTCCTGAGTTGAATTCCAGTTCTTGGCGCTTCTAGTGAATGATTGTGCTTGTGCTAATACACTCTGTAGACAATAACTACAGTGCTGCTGACTCAATAAAAGAGGCTGGCATTTGCTGGAACTGTTTTTGGTCCATTCTAGATTAAAATACCAGTTCTTCAAGTTGAAAATGAGACTATAATCATGGTTCTATTTTGAGTGAAATGTAACTATGTACTTTACATTTCATATTTTTACGTTTTGTAGATTTAAATGTCCTCTTTTGTATACTTTAGTTTTTTTTCACCTTCAGAAATGATAAACAAAATACAACAAAAAAAGTTGTTTCTATATATATGTTCAATTAGTAAAACAGACCTATGATCGTATTTGAGTTTAACCATTAAGTGGCCTCTACAGTATATAGATAATGTGACATTGCATTCTATTCATGTTTCACATAATAGTGAGTTTTCTTCATGTTGACACATTGTAACATGCAAATGCCTTATTTACCTGCATACATCTCATAAAGCACACATCCAAGACTCCACATGTCACTGGCTTGTGATGGGGGTTCCCCTAGTAGGCACTCGGGGGCCATATAGTTGGGGGAACCTACAATTAAATAATATACAGGGGTGAAAGTATACAAAAAAACACCACACCATGAATGTGAAATTCGAGATATCAAGCATTTTTTCTTTGTCACTTTTACATTTGCTGACTAATTGTGAGTTAAAAATTTTGTTAACCCCTTTATGACAGATTCTTACATTTAAGCTTGTCTAAAACATTCTTGCCTAAAAACAAATGTACCAACATTCTTATAGTAATAAAGGGGATTGAATGAATGGGAGGGGTAGAAATCAGAAGTTTTGTTTTGGGTTTCAAGATTACATAAAATTTGATGGCTTTCAAGATTACATTTAACTTAGATATTATGTACCCATACTCCAGCATACTGACCTTGGGTTCCTTTCATAGGAGTGGTCCTGCCTTTATCAGAATTCTCTGTACTCCATGTTTCTGATGCTTCTGCATATTGTTCAAACACAGCACCTAGATCCTCTCCAGCTAAACGTGCTAGGCCAAAGTCACCATACTTCAGGTGCCCTGTGCTATCTAGCAGTACCTATAAATGAAAGTAACATGTTCAATCTAGATCCTCCACTGCTAAACGTGCCAGGCCAAAGTCAGTAAGTCACCATACTTCAGGTGCCCTGTGCTATCTAGCAATACCTATAAATGAAAGTAACATGTTAAATCTAGATCCTCGCTTAAATAAAATACATGGCTTCAACAATATAGATTTGTGGTCTACATGAACAACAATCAAAATGAAGAAAAAATAGAATTGGGTATACAAGTATATTTAATGTTGATTGATTTTGTAATAAGGCATTCTCAGAATTGTTATGACCATATGATTTTTATGATCTGTCTCATTTATATTTAAGAAACCATGAAGAAACCTACCTTTGATGGCTTGAGATCAGAGAAGACTATCTCGTTAGAATGGATGTATTGAAGTCCTAACACAAGATCAACGCCAAACCTGGAAGTAAAGATTTCAATTAAAAAATGAAAGGTAAGAGAAGTTAATTTTTATAAACTAAGATATTACTTTGAAAATCAATATCAATGTAAAATATGAGGTCAATAATTATTCCTTTGAAAAAAAAACAATAAAAAAACAGACAAAATTTAGAGCTATGGGTGATAAAATGCACGGGCTACTAGAGTTTCCACGTATATGGAGTATGACCGGTTCTTAGGCTACGAATATGACCTGTTTTGGAATGTCATGAGAGGCACAGCTGCTTAAAAATGGAAAATAAAGGTTAACTTCTATATTATCCTTTTTGAAATTGTGTTTGTTGAATATAGTTTATGCTGTATTTAATAGTAATGTAACAAAAAATGATAAACATGAGCTATTTTAGCAATGTATCTGTTCATAATGGAATATCAATCAGAAAGTACAGATTTCTCGCCTTAGAGCCAAATCATTAATATCACAGTAGAAAAAAACAAATCCCAAACCTTTTTATGGCTAACCTGAACAAGATCTCCAAATATCAGTTTATATGATCCCCGTAGAGTGAGCAAGAGAAGGATTTATCTTTTCCCAGAGGATACGCTTGTGAAATGTCATGGAAACGAGTGTAACACGGCCCACTGATTGTTTCACAACCGTATTCTCCAATAATGGGGCACCAGTGACATTCGTATTCTCAAAAATTCAAAGATGTATCATATCTGGACAGAGCAGGCTAAATTATTTAAAATATTCATGACTAATTCGTAGATCTAGCTATATATTATACATAAGATGTGTCATCCTCTTCGGAGTTGCGTTGTGTTACACAAAAACTGATCAAAGATGCTGGAAACTAGGATTTTATGGCTTCAATCTAATATTAATACGTTTTCTCTTGATTAAGGCCCCTTGTGATATGCCTGGCATTATAAGTATACCAAGTATCATTCATTGACCAAGTAGGATAAAAAGAAAATGTTCGAAAGTGTTCATAAAAAGCAAGTACTCACCTCGTCTGTTTATAGGAACAGAAATACGGTCACACTCGTGAGCTTAGAACCGGTCATACTCAATATACGCGGATACTCTAGTAACACGTGAAATGGAAGGATGTAGAGCAAGTAGAGATGGTTGAGCAAATTAAAGACATATGCTCAGATGCAATCCAGCATGATATGGGTAACTATCATGACAGAAATAATAATGAAATATACTTTTACTCTAAACTTATTTACTAATATAATGCGAAGTTCAGGTTCAAGTACATCCAGATTACTTATCTTATTATCAGTTAAACCTGATAAAGTAAACAATTTCTACAACTAGGAGCTTTCAGATTTTAGGAGACTTTCTTATAATCACAATAGACTAGAAATAATCTTGATTTACGTCATTAAAAATTTAAAATTCAGTCAAACTGATGTCATATTTCGAATCTACATGTAAAATTACATCTAGAAATATGGTTTTGATAAGAGTTTATCAACTTTGAAAATTTAATTTTCTTTGGAAATGTGACTTCTAGGTCGGGGAGATTCCCCATAGACCCCATGTTCTAAAATCACAAAAAGTGAAATATCTTTTCTTTTGTTGGGCAGATAACATTTTCCTTTACTGGAGATATTTTAATTTGTATAACTTTCAGATACATAAGGGTAATATGAAAAGTGAACCACTAAAACTGATGAATATTCAAGTTTAAGGGAACTTTGTAATACCCTGCCATGTTATTTCCCCCGAATCAGCCACCTGGTGGCGAAACTGGTAACTACCTACTCGCATCTGAGTAATTAAATCAGAACATAAATATATGGATGATTACATTGCTAAGTATCATTCTAGCGTATTTCCATTAAGCAGAAGTTGACTATTTTATCCAACTGTTCATTTGTATATTTGTATAGAGTCGATTGGAAAATGTCAACTGAAGAGTGTTCAAAAGTTTGGAGAACTAAATTCATCTGCATATTTTGACACTACCAATGGCGCCAAAGATTTTCATATTTTTATGTAATGTAGATTTAAATGTCCTCTTTTGTATACTTTAGTTTTAATGATGGTAATATTTTTAACCCCCCTACGTCGTTTTCAAGATTCATACCAACTTTTGAACAACATGTATTGCATAATTCTGTTGGACAGATGTAAAAAAATTTTAACAGATAATGAACCTTAACCTTGACATGTCGTAAACATATCATGAAAAAATCATTTGAATATGCTTATCAAAAATATTGAAAAACAATAAATTCTTAAATCGGGTCTAACAGAATTATGCAATACATGTTGTATGACCAAAACGATGTGGGGGTTGCAAATATTTTTTTACAGTTCAGATATAAAGTGAAACCTGTACAGTGCGTATAAAAAAAAAACCCAACAGATTGTTATCTTAGAAAAGCACAAAACAAGTGATTACAGCATTGATTTCATTCAGTGCACCATAAAGCCATGTGTCTCCTCTTCACAATGAGATATCATTCATTGATATTTGGTCATGGTTGGGCGAGTAATCATTCCATTTGCAAAGTGGGCCAAAATTTGCTTCGGGCCAAGTTATAAACATTGCAAAAGTCAGTGTACGGAGCCCGATGCAATATTGGACGAAAACATAAAACCAATGCTGACTGCATGCTTTTAATTCTTTTCAATGTACCAAAAAGCCAAATTACTCCTCTTTGCAATGGGATATCATCCATTCACAGGGAGTCATATCTGGCCGAATAATCATTTATTTTGCAAAGTGGGGCAAAATTCAGCTCAGACCCAAGTTTAAAACATTGCAAAAGTCAGTACAAGGGGCATAGGGGCTATTGGAAGGTGTGACAGGTATGGCATGGACAGTAAAGTGTTCATACTCATACTCTTGCAAGAATACGCCCTATACCCCTCCAAATTGCCACCACTTCCTTGCGCTCATCTGTCCATCTCATGCATGGTTCGGCCCTGAATCATGTGTGGGTTAAAGTAAAGAAAAACAAACCATGGACAAATCTTTCTCGAGGTTTTGCAATATCTGGTGGAGGCATTGTGAGCACAGATGCTTCTGAGATAGCTCCAAAAGAAAAAGTCTCAACAATTCAAGTCAGGGGAACTTCCATTGGCACTTAGCCCTTGCACTGATTTTTTCAATATCTAAAACTTGGTGCAGAGCCGATTTTGACCCACTGTGCAAATGGAAGGATTTCTCACCCAACCATTACCACATGTGAATGAATGACATATCATTGCAAAGAGGAGAGACATGGCTTCATGGTACATTAAATGAAATTGATGTAGTCATCACTAGTTTTGTGATTTTACGAGATAACTACTTGTTGCGTTTTTTTGATACGCCCTGTATATCTGAACACCTATCTAATCTGGACATCTCTCAATTTGAACACCTTTTCTCGGTCCCAGGGTTGTTCAGATTGGACAGGTTCTACTGTATTACCATTATTAAAACCTCAAGTATACAAAAGAGGACATTGAAATCTACAATACGTAAAAATATGAAAATTTTTGGCGACATTGATAACATCGAAATATGCAGATGAACTTGGTTCTCCAAACGAAAATCATCATTGGTTCTCCAAATGAAAATAATCTTTGGTTCTCCAAACTGAAAATCATCCTTTCAAGAGTTTGCATGTAAACAGGTAAATATTGTTTTTTAATACATTAAATGACAACCTAGTAAGCATTTAATGATAAGTGATGTTATCATATATCATTTCCTCATAATTGTGATAAAAAGGTACAAAGTACATCACATGACATCGCATCACATGAATTCTATACATAGTACTATCATATTATATCTACAGTACATTGTTTGTAGAGACTACATATATATGTGCAAGGCCAAAGTTTCATGATACCTCAGATCTTCAAGAATATCAGGCAGTTATTTATCTCTTAGTATAAAGCCTGATTTCAAACTTAGAAAGGCGCTAATGTAAATGTATACATTTATAAAGCATTTATGCTAGATTCCCTAAGGAAACTAATAATTTAAAAACATTCATGAAGTAGAATTCATCAAAAATGGAAGTTAACACAATGCTACTTCTAACATGTTTTGCAATGATGATCAGTAAAGTGGTATTGGCTGGTGAACAATGGCCAGGGGACAGTGATGCGTGTCCAGGGAACTGTGAATGTACAACTGGCATAATCACATGTACAAACCTCAAAACACTGCCACAAATACCTCATGGCACACATACGGCAATCCTCACAAAGTGCCATATTCCAACTTTAGAAGATAACAGTTTCAAAAACATGACAAACATTACAAGTCTTAAGATGAGACACCTCAATATGGATGGACAAGTTGCCATTAAACAAAACGCATTCATTGGATTAGATAATTTACAGGAACTTGAGATATCATCAACATTTCTTTTAATACCCAGTGGTAAAATTGATGCTTTTGACTCCCTGGTTAATCTGAAATCCCTGAATTTATCAGGAGCTGAACTTATGGGTATAGATGCACAGCAGATATTGAAAAATATCACACGACTTGAGATACTGGATCTAAGCCATAATATGATAGCTACTTTAACAGTAGATTTGAGTGATAATTTGCAGCATTTGGTGCATGTTAACTTAGCAGTGAATGCATTTGCATCAATAGATGATGCAGTGAATGTGTTTAACAAGTCCACTGATTTACAATACCTTGACCTAAGTGCTGCATTATGGAGACGGCCTGGGAGTATTGCAATTGACAAACTTGGACCAGTGTTTTTAACTTTCACCAAACCTCTAGTACTGAAACTCAATAGTGCGCTTATACCAAAAATTGAGAATGACTTTTTTGATAATGCACAAACAATTTCAGAATTATATTTTACAGACTGCCGAATTGAACTCATAGCCGAGAATACTCTGAAGAAACTCTCACCAATCAAAACATTAGACATCAGCAAAAATCCGCAATTAACAATGAAAATACTGTTTTCAAGTTTGAAAGAAGTGGACATATCTGAGCTGATTTTTCAAGACAACCAGTTTGACATTGAAATTGACATGGACTTGGTATTGCTACTGGAGAACACAAGCTTGGAGATATTAGATTTATCCCATGGGCAACTACGGACAATTAGTCCAGAGGCATTTAGCCCATTGACCAAGTTAACAGAGCTTGATCTTAGCTACAACCAGATTCGGACTGTCACAAAATTGGGAGAGTTCTTGAAAATGAAAACTTTGAACCTTCAACACAACCAGTTAAAATCTTTAGATACAAACACATTTAATCAACTATATAACATTGAATCTTTATATTTAAATGACAATTTATTGAAAGATGTGGATGAAAATGCATTGTATAATATGGGCAAACTTGAAATACTCGACTTGAGTAACAATAACATAACTGTTCTTCCTGACAATTTCTTTTTCTCAATGTTAAATTTGAAAACTTTAAAACTCTCTCAAGCACTGAGGTTAAAAGAGCAATCCAAGTGGAATAAAGTATTTGCATCATTATGGAGGTTGGAAACTTTACTGGTGCAAAATAATGGGATTACGGGACTTCATGCAGATACCTTTCAATATCTTAAAACATTACAAGAGCTTGACATTTCTGGCAATGAACTTCAACTTTTGCCTGTTGGACTATTCAACACCGCAGGTTCAACCTTACAATCTGTGAAAGCAAATAGAAACTTGATTAAAACTATTGACGTAAAGGTCTTTGATAAACTTAACAATTTAACACTTTTGGATGTTTCAATGAACCCATTTAACTGTGTGTGTGAACTTGGAGAATTTGCTGGTTGGATTGTAAACAACAGTGTTGTATTTGACTCAAATCAAACTCAATGTTTGACACCAGCGTCATTACAAAACACAACTGTTTCAAAATATGCTTTTGAAATACCAATGAACTGTTATGTTATAAACACGCCAGACCTTCCAGTGGGATTTGTTGTGCTGTTTGTATTTTTCATTCTTATAGGATTATTAGCTGTCGGCTTGGTGTTTTACCTTGTACGTAACAGGATTAAGACAGTTCTATCTCCAGAGTCTAAAATTCGCTATGGGGCTATTAATGATACAGATGCAGACCTGTGAAAAACTAATAAATACGTATTGTGAAAATAAAGGGAGTACATGTATTTCTAATTAAAGTGGTTGTATAAGGCCTAAAGATACCTTTCTGATAAAGTGTACATATTTTTTATATTAAAATGCCCACAACAATTAATCTGATGCTCCATAATCAAACAAACAAAACTTGGGTGTCACCAGTTTTGTTTTTTACTTAACATTTTGACTGTGCACAAAACTTTATTAGGTAACTTATGATATGTTCTTACTTGCGAATTGAGCTCTCAGGGAGGTTGTGGTCCTGTGAGATTATAGTGGCCAGACTCCCACCTGATAGAGAAATATGAATACAAATAAATATAAATATTATACAACATTGATTTTGAAATTTGGTATTCTTTACCAATGACATGTTTGTCAGACATGCCATGCAAATTTTTGGGTTCGTATCAGTGAGCCCCGAAAAAGCAAAAAAGGGGGGTAGGGGGTTCACCCTGGTAATTTTTAAAAATCTACATTGTATATAGTGCATTCTAAGCATTTCAAACTATAGGCTTAATTAATGTTTTTTTCCACAGATTGTACAAAATTGCTTTTTTTCTTTGACCCCCCCTTGGCTACACCCATGCACACATTGATTATTTAGAAACAGTTGTTGCTATTATTAATCAGGAAATATTAGGTTGAATGTGGTGGAAACATTATTTTCAGGTTCTTTCATTTAATAATTAATGTTCTCTTATTAACAATTTTATGCATTGTCTTTTTATTTGACATCATTTCTTAAAGGCCCCATGTAAAGTTTAAACCACTTTGGCTTATATTGTAGTCTTGCCCAATGTTATCAAAGTGTGATATGTGAAACTTTTTTTTTAAATTTCAAAAAGTGGTTTTTGATAGATTTTTTGTTCCAAAATTTGTGAGTTTATTTAAAACCAACTTTTAGAGGTCACTCATATCTTCTAATTAGCCACAATTCATACCAATGCATAGCATTCATCCTCCCATGTTTTTTGCCGAAAAAATTAAGAAAATCGGTTCATAAAAAAGCGAGAAATGAACTTATCAGTGCATGAAAATGGTTCTGAGAAAAATGGATTTCAAAATTTTAGTTCTCATAGAAACCAATGGTACAATGATATCTAAAACATAATTTATTCTTCCTTTTAACCTGGTTAGACAATCAACATTGGTTTTTTATGAAAGTCTAGCATATTTAGAAAAGATTGACATCGAAAAAAAAATTTCAATTTTTTTCAAAAAGTTTTTGGTACCTTAGTGACATCACTAATGTTTCAAAATATTTTTGATATGCTAAGACATTGAAGTGGCCCATTAATTATGGCATTTTATTATTGAAATAGTGTGTCCTTTGTTCAATCTTTGCATTGGTGTTAAAAAGATAATCTTTTTTGAAATGCATTAAGAAATATTTGATGATTAAGAAATTTCAACTTTTTTTGAAAAATGGCGGGAAATTTGAATATTTGAGAAATGAAATGCTCACAACTTTTTTTTCAAAAATTTTTTTTTGTTCAAAAATCTCTAAAATCACTTTTTAAGTCCTGACAAATAGTAATGAATGATAAAAAAATATTTTCAAACTTTAGACGGGGACTTTAACAGAAATCAAGAAGTAATTTGGGTTCTTTTACCTGTACATAGCTCCACAACAAGCCAAAGGTGGTTACTGGTCTCATACCACTCATGGAACTTCACTATGTTAGTGTGCTCAACTTCATACGTAAGCCTCACCTGAAATTGATTTGTGTTTGTGAAATAACCCTGGGCCTATAGGAAGAAGGGGTAATGGATAAAGAGACTGGCACCTGTTTGGCTTGAAACATTTAAAGCCTGCACCCTTTTTCTGATGCTGAGGTTTTTGATATTTTTAAATAATGACCAATCTATATACAAAATAAATATTTTTGACTCTCACAGACCAACATACAATGTAGCAGAGTAAAACACAATAGTGACATACACATTCTCTTCTCAACCCAGCTCTCAAAAAAATTATCCAATATTTAGCTCAAAATCATTACTTAAAAAAGATTGTTCCATCTCCTAGTATTAGACTTGATGGTCCAGCCTGATTTGGTATTTTTGTACTTACAGTATTTGTTATTTCTGCTCGTTTACATTTATCAACACAGTGGATAGCCAGGAATGTAATAGTTCCTTTTCTACGTCCTTTATAGACATGAGATGTTTCACTGCTACCAATCTCCTCATATAATACAAAGTTCTCCATGGCTTTATATTTCTACTGAGACCTCCATCAGATTCTGCTTGAATTCCTGAAGACACAAAAATGCAAGGTAATCAAAATGGTATAATATCTATCACTCATAATTTCATACACACTGTCTCTCTGTAAACGATATCATTCAAATCAATGAAGAACAACACGTTGCCTTTCGCAACCTCACTGCGCCACCTATCCATAGTAGGTTTGACAAGCCTGTCAACTTGGGAACACCTAAAATGAGTGACTTACAAATGTTGAACACCTTTCTTCAAATTGTGGACCCTTGATCCAAATCTGAGGTATGAAATATTATGAGGAAAATGTGTGACATATACAGTATCCGCGTGAAAATTCAGAACGAAATGCGTTTCATGGAAGTGTCAACAGTAATCGTCAGCACTTTCTGTGATTGGGAAAATAAATTCCCGAGTAAATTATTGTGTTCATTGTACCTTCCGATTTCGGATAAGTAACAAGTCAGATAATTTTTTGCGTTTGTTTTTTGCTGGATTGGCAATATTTTTGCAGCTTGCTTGACAATAATCAGGTAAAATGTGTATTTGCGTGACATATTCTGTCACACGAAAAAAACTAGCGTGACTTCACGACAACTTTAATCTGTAAACCAAGCTAGTAGCCTACCCTCTGTCCTCGGCAAATTGTGGTCTCAAAAGAAAATTCATTCAAAAATAAAAAATGTTTGAAGTTTACTTTAAATTATAGATTTCATAGCAAACGTGATTCAATGAAAATATCCCGATTGCATTTAATATTACATATATTATACAGAATACTATACATTTACGTACTTTACCTACTAAACGTTGTATTATCACCAAATTTAATGACTAAAATTTTAGCCATCCAAATTTTTGTAATGGCCGCCAAATACGGAGATAAACTAGGTCACGTAAACAAACGTATTTTGTGCTATTTTTGCCTCAACGAGCAAGTAATGATGACCATAACTATTTTTTAAAAATATATTTTCATTCAAAAAGGTATATTTGAAATAAATAAAAGAATGATTTACGTATAAATAGTTTCCAAAATTATATTCACTCCTTGGAAGTGTTTATGGAAACAAACATGTCGGACGAGGAAGCAGAGAGCGAATATTCACAATATCACGAATATCACGTGGAAGAACAAAATCTACAGGATAATATACTTGCTTTACAAAGAGTTGAAACACCAAACTATGATTTGTTCAGGTAAAAAGATCTCCAAATTATCTAGGCAGAATGTGATCTGAGTCTGAATTTTGATGTTTTCTCACTTCTTGAAGTCAAAATCAGGAAGTTTTATAGACTAACACAGTTTCTACCAAGGCCTACAGTAATGTAGTCCAAGATTCGTTAGACGTAGTCTGAGACCTCGTTTCTTATCTGACACAGGGGTTTCATTAGCAGCAGGCAACAGGCGATTTTCATCGGTTGTTTTCACAAAATCGCCTGTTATTTTTAGGAACTTTTCAACTTTTCCATGTTATTAAATTTATGATTTCCATTAATTTTGACTGTTGTTCTGTGACATTGAAAGCCCATGGTCGAAAACAGTAATATGCCATTGAAATAGCACAGCTTCTTTCATTATCTGGATTGGTTGTATCCTTAGCACCAGTGTGAATGTGTGTTCTAAGTTACTGCTATGGAAAGCAGGGATTTGCACGAGGGCAAATTTTGTCATCGTAATGATGCATTGTGGGATTCTCAATAATCTCAACCAGTCTGCAAAAGTAGATTAATTTTCAGGTAACAATTTATCTGAATTCCAATGTAAATTGATCATTTGGAATAAATCTTGTGATTAATCCTAGGATTGTACGAATTCACTAGAGCCCATGGAATTCACCAAATATCTATCTGGATCAATAATACAAAGTTCGTCCGAGAAGACGAAATTTTAATTCTTGGATCATACCGATTCATGGCCCCAGGATAACAAGTTGCTACTACAGCCCAGCTTAAGCCTTATAGCTCAGTTGATAGAGTATCAGTCTTTGGATCTTAGGGTCCTGGATCCCATACCAGGCATTACATTTAATCATACTCTCATTCATTTTCTGTATCTGGCTTGTTGCTCGTAAGTTAAAGTCATTCCCCTAGGGTGCCCTTGGGTTGAAAACATTACACATGTATACAGTATATACATGTTTATAAATCATTGACCTTGACTTCACATTATACGTAAGCTGACTCAAAATTCTGAAACCTTAAAACGTTGCTTTGAAACAGTTGTTTTGTTTATAGACCATCTCTTGCTGAACAGCAAAAGATTGGCTTCTTTGGCTTGGACCGTGCCACACAAACTGAAGTGTCTGAGATAATTGAAGTCAAGGAACTGACTGAAGTCCTGCAAGAATTACTACAGGTATAGTATAAACCATGATATTCACATTTTACCACCATTTTCTTACATTTTCAATATACACTGTACTTGTATCCATAAAAACAATGAAAAATTGAGTAATTTATCGTTATCACGCTCACTATTTTCAAAACACATTTTCAAAACCTCATACTATTATTTCAGGATGTGAATGCATTGAAGAGAGACATCCTGTTTGCAAAGCAGGTAATGCAGGCAGACTATGAGAGCAAGCTGGAGAGCAAAGCTTTGGAAATGTACTGCAGAATCAATGAAAGACTGGAAGAGCTGGAACGACAACATGAAGATGTGAGTCAAATGCATTTACACTGTGAAAAAACTTGACTGTTGAGCTCCAGAGAATACATGTAGTTAAACATACCATTTGTTCTCCAATCTCCATAGAATGAAATGTTTGGTGGATAAAGTAACCTTACTTTTAATTTTCGCAGTGAATTTTATGAAAACATATTTTATTTTCCAAATTGTTCTACTTGATTATGTCATATAAAATATTATGAGTGATCTGGCCAAGCCAATATACTGTATGTAATATGTGATGTATTGTTGTACTGGAATTTTCTATTTCCAGCGAGTGGATGTGGTGAGACGTGCCTTCAAACAGCAATTGTCTGATGCTCTTGCTAGGATGGCTGTAGTCTACACTGTAAGTTATTTTGCTCATTGAGAATTCAGTGGTCCAGGCCAGAGTTACACTTTTTGCACAATTTTCTTTATGTATATAGAACACAAAAAATGTGTGAAGCTTAATATGTGTGCTATGATTGTACTTTGGTTTATTTGGATCAACATGAAGGACACATTATTTCATTTATTTGATGCATTTCATGTAATGTATATGTATTGCATAAGTCAAGAAAAACTAATCAAACCATATAAGAGGCAATACCCAATTTGTGCATTAATATCTGCAACAGTTGATTTCTAGGGGTGTCATGGGTCAGATATCTTTCGGGTTGGGTCGGGCCAGAAAAAAGTGTGCGGGTCGAGAAATATAAACAAATTTTACACGACTTATGAAATTCCTGGGTGTTCTGACCCGACCCGAGATTGGTAAGTAGTTGTTCGTGACCCAACCCTAGCCTTCCAACCTGAGACACCTCTATTGATTTCTGACTTTCAAAATCTTGTAACAGTTTAAAGGGGCAACAAGGACTGTAAAGAGAAAGTTCGAAAAAATTAATTTTTTTCTGAGCTATCAGGCCAACATTTGGCTTAACATCTTTATGTATGGATAAACTATCAATTTTAGCATTAAGAAGTGTAAATTCAGTTCAAAGCTTCTATAAAGGGAGTCCCACTTATAGATTTTTAAGATCCAAGACGTTTCAAGTGGAATTAGGCCAAGCAAATAGGCTCATAAAAGGCCCAAACATCCCAAAAATTGCAACAGTTTTTAAATTAGTCTTATATTATTTATTAATATCAGTTGAAAAACATATCAAAAATATAGAAAAATGTATGCAGTGGACAAATATGAAATTTCACTTCCTAGGTACCCCCTACAACCCTACCCCAAAATTGAGTATTGGTAGGAAACAATTTTTTCTTCCCAAATGGAATACTTTAGTCAAGTATTCAAGCTTTATTATGATAGATCACATATTCACAAATAATTAAAATATTATTTTAATCAATTTTGAGACCAGTAATTGGTCATTTGACCCCAAAGTATAACAAAATAGGCCACAAAACAGGCATGTTATCACATATCTATTTAGATATTTTAGGATCAGTTTGTCAGAAAAGCATGAAAAAAATCATGGTGTTACATATTCATATGAACTTTATATTTGGTGAGTGTCAGAATTCTAAGGTGTATACTTAGGAAGAAAAAAATTATTTCATTTTCATAGTTTTGCCCCGCCCACTATAGGGGAGACTATAGTTTTGATGATTAACTCCCACAATGCATCATATTTGTATTAGAGTTGACATCTAAATCATTTATATAGGCTTGCCATCATCTAAAATACAAGTTTTGTGAAGGTTTATACCTTATTAGTATGAAAAATGGAATTATTAGTTGCACCAGGTGAAATGTTAAGGTGACCTCACTTTTATTTAATGAATAATTACATATCACCACTCTGATATTAGGGTATTTGATAACTGCTCTATACTAGGCTTATCTAAATAATGTAAGTTGTAGTTTTTGTGGAATTTGATATTGTTTAAATTATTAATTACAATCCGCAATTACAAAATTTGCATATATTTAAATTCATCAGATAAATAAATTATTACATAAGAGTACATTACTATGGAACTATCAATTGGATGTATAATGCTGTAGAAACGAATTTATGGTTATTAAACGGAATTTAAACTGACAGAGAACATTAAAATCTCAGATATCTGGGGAGTCTTTCATTAAATAATTTCAGTGCATAGGAATGATGGTAATTCTGTCTGTCAGGTTGGAAAACATTGAGTGTACATGTGCTGCATTCAGAATCGGATGCAGATATTGTGATTGTGAAAACTGCAATCCAAAGTGTCCAAACCTCAAATACAGTACTCATACAGATCTCCTTGTGCTTCTCATTTATCATGCACAAAACACAAACTTCAACATTTTCTTCAAACCTGAACCAAAAGCAGCAACCCAAGAAACAAAATGTTGGAATATAAATGAAATAAGATTGTCTTTGGGAAAAGTGGTCTGTGACAATATTTTGTTTCTTTTCTGGGGTGTGACATCGCATTCAGGTTATATGGCATGGACAAGAGGCTATCATTGAGGCAGATAAAAAAGAGTGATTTCTTGAGAAAACAAGCAGTTGTTTTTAAATTACCAAAAGCACTGGTGATCCGCTCGATTACGCTTGTCGTTTCGGTAACAAAATGTCTAAACGTCGAAAGTACGATATTTCTTTTTTCCTTATTTTCACGCGTTGTAGGCAGAATTCCCACGATGTTTTTTCTCACAGAATTGTTGATTTAATTCCTTACTTAAGTTAAATAAACGGTTTGGGTTAAAAGTGCAGATCTTAATTGTTTATCGAAATACCGTTTATGGAATTAAATCGAAGATTCTGTTGTCTTCTGAACTATTTGTTCGCAAATATGTACATTTTTTAAACATATAATACTGATACATGCTTGTGATTTTGTTACAACGTAAACAAGTAGAAAACCAGTGAAATGCAAGCAACTCTGTCATTGCAGAGGAACATGCTCTTTTGTCAATTTATGGTGGAAAAATGGTGAAAACCTAAATAATCATAGGCTTCTAAAATTTTATTAAAAGAGAGCAGCAAGATCTGAATTATTGCAGCCCCGTGTTCTTCCTCCATTTTCTGATGCTGCGGAATACCACAGTTACAGAGTGTACCATCAGATCCAGGAGTGGGAGGGAAATAAATGCCTCCATTATAATTGGGCTGGGAAATAAGCAACGAAACTATGTACCAATTGCCTAAATGCAGCTCCCCTTTCTCAGAGATCATCCATTGTGTGTGTAAGGCAGATTGTATTTCTATGAGATGTTCTTGTAGAAAAATGAAATAACTGTTCTTTGACATGTAAGGTATGCAAAGGCATTTGTGCAAATACCTCCATTACTGATCATGAGAATAATGATAACTAAATAATGAACACTGGCTGATCTCGGCCCCTCCCACCCCTTGGGCGGGCCCAGAAAAAAAATTGGGCCCAAAAAAGGCCTTAAGGCTCCGAAAAGTGGGCCTTTTTGGTCATAAATGGGCCTTTTAAAGCCTTATTTTTTAATTGAAGAAAATGGGTCTCAATATTTCAAAATTTGGGCCCACTTCAGGGTTTTAGGGGCCCAAAATTTTTTCCGTGGAAGTTTTTTTCTCAGACCTGACATTTGCCCCCCCACACCTTGTTGGTTCCCATATCCGCCCCTGATGAAGGCTGGTGATAGACAAGGTTGTAACTGATTGTTGTTACAACATAATAGTATTAAGCTTATTTAATCAGCATTCTTTTTTGCTCTCTATGAGTAAGACACATATATGAAGGTTAAGATTACAAAATTAAGGCAGCATTCTTGATAATGAACATAACATAATCGAACCAGGCCCTGTATAAAGACCAGGGATTTACTTTGCGTTACACTAGCTAACTCAGGAGGATTTATTAATGTAGAAACCTTTTCCTCATTTTTTATTGAATTTCATCTTGAAATCGAACATTCTTCAGTTGAACTTCTTCATTTCATTTCTCAATATCACTGTATGGTTAAGAACACCTTAGTCAAAAGTAACAATTTTTCCTTATACAGGTCGAGCCAAAAAGGTAACCCAAACAAATCTTAATAATCCAGTCCACCCAGCCCATTGCCAGGTATGGTCAGTATATACTGACAGGTATACTTTCAGTCTATACTGACAGGTCAACTTTTAGTCTAGTTTCAGTATACTTTCAGTATATGTCCCATGTTATGATTCCATTGACAGGTATGTTTCAATTATGGTAATTAGACCTACCAGTATGGTTTCAGTATACTTTCAGTATAAACCAATGGGTATACATTCAGTATACTTTCAGTAAATACATACCAGTATGGTTTCAGTATAATTTCAGTATATACCAATGAGTATACATTCAGTATATATGTATAGGTATACTTTCAGTATGGTATCAGTATATTCCTATAGGTCAACATTTAGTCTATACTGACAGTCTTAATATGTTAGTCTGTAGACTGATATGGATGAATATGACTCTACCAATGAGATACCTTAAATTTTAAATCATTCTGCAGATGAGAAAAATTAGTACATGTAATTTGGATAGCAGTCTTATTTTCTAGCATTACATTAACTAATTAATTAGAAGCAGGATTATGAAGACTTCTAAAAGACATACCACAAATAAATCAATATTCTTATATTAACTATATTCAAGTTTTATTCATGATGTATTTTTGATGCAAAGTTTTAATTTTCAAATTTTAACTGTATTTCTTTTTTAAATTTTACACCAATTTTTCTATCATATCTTTCTCTCATTTTTTGTGTTTTCAATGGATTAAACATTCAATGTAATTATGAGCAGGAATGCTCCCCTGCCACCTAGTCTGGTAGGACAGGTTGTGGAAACAAATGGTCATAAAATAGAACTTACATATGAATAATTGTTAACTTATAGTTTTATCATGAATTTTGCATTTGCCGTTTATATTATAAAATGATAAAGTAAAACTGGTATACGTTCAGTCTAATCATTATTTATCAGAGTTTATTTGGTATGCTTTCAGTATACTATTGAAAATCATAAGTAAAACTGGTATGCTTTCAGTATATTCAGTATTTATCAGAGTTTGTTTGGTATGCTTTCAGTATACTATTGAAAATCATAAGTAAAACAGGTAAACTTTCAGTATATTCAGTATCTTCATACCTATTTACAGATCTATATTCAGTATATATACCTATTAATTGGTATGGTATCAGTCTGGTATCAGTATAGACCTATCAACAAGGTATACTTTTAGTATACTTTTGGTATAGACTGACTATACCTGGCAATAGGCTGGGCAATCATCCTGCATGGATTTAGTGTCATATTTGGCAGAATTGAGTCTTAGTCAATGTATTATCAATCTACCTAGCCTCAGTGGTCTCTAGTGGTCACGATTTTATGGCCATTTTATACCATGCCATGAAATATGGGTGTCATGCCTGGAGGCCAACTTGAACGTATCGTGCGTTGTTGTTCAAATCAGGAGCATAAAAATCATGCGTTATGACTCTCATATTCATTCTTATCTCTTGTTTTAATGTTTCAAGTGTTGTTAGTATCGAAAAAAGGTCCACAGATAAAAAAAAACTGGTGGTATTGATGTCCAGTCAGTTAGGCACATTTCGATATTTTGAGCACATTTTGTAAATGGCCATAAAAACGTGACTATTAAGGATAGATGAATGACACTTAGTAGAATGAAAGAACATTGAACAAGGTAATTGTGCCAAATATGATGTCAAACCCATGCTGAATGACTGGGTTATTAACAAACATTTGGTTGGGTTACCTTTTTTGGCTCATATTAATAAACTGATGTCAGGGACAGGGATATTTAACATTTTGTTGCCTTTTCAAGGACATTTTTTGACCACTGATTGTAACAAATCATTCTCTGTTTTACAAGAAAATGTATATTATATATCAAATTGAATTTAAAAGGAAAAAACATTTGATAATCTAACAGTTATCAACTAAAACTAGGGCTTCCCCTATTTTTCACCTGGCATTTGCTGTTTTTCTACTTTTTTTACATAATCCTTTCCCGAAAACCTCAAAAAACTGTTTTCAGGACAAAATAAGCCTTTACAAATAATTTAGTTGTGCTATTGAGTTCAAATATGACATATCTTGGAAGTAATTAAACAAAAGTAAGGTCACCCCAAAAGTGGGTGTGGTAAAATATTGAAATTTCAAATATTATTTTCACGCTCAATATACACTTAATGACCCTGATACTTATCAAAGACAATGTTCAGGTGTACAATACCCTCCTTGATATTTTTCATGCAATTCTGATGAATTGATACAGAAATAAATACATTGTTATATTAAATTCGGGCTATTTGATGGCCTATTTTCAGATATTTGGCGCTAGAAATGCCAATTATTGCACTCAAATAGTTGGTTAACAATTTTTAGTTGCTCTTATGTCAGTAAACTATCATAATATTACTCGTTTAGTTGACAAGAGTATTCCATTTTGAAATAAAAAAATATTTACAATCCCATACTCAAATTTGGAGGGGGGTACCTGGAATGTGACATTTCATATTTGTCCACTGCATATATTTTTCTATATTTTTGATATGTTTTTCAACTGGTATCAATATACGATATAAGCCTAATTTAAAAACTGTTGCAATTTTTGGGATGTTAAACTTCCATTTGCCTAGCCTAAATATCAGCTGAAATAATGTTCATCCTGGGGTTCTCTTTGTAGATCATAAAAATATATGTTAGTCTTGATGATATATCCAAATTTGAATATATTTTGACACAGAACCATTAACTCAATATTGGCTGCACGGATTAAAACTGCTATTCGGATTGAGTCATATCCACATTTATTTTATGCATATCCATAATACCTATTTGACATATCATCGCCATTTCCCAAGTTCGCCCGGTTTCCGAAAAATTGCTGATTTTGACGTCAAAAAGTCAAATTTTCTGTAAATACTAGACACTTTGTTGAAGTAGAACTTTCAAATAACTTGTAGTAGTTGCTGTATATGCAACTTATGTTCTCTGAAGATTTCAAAGCTCTTGAAATTACAGTTTTTGGTGGTTACTTGATAAAATTTGACAAAAAGTGGGACTTTGTCATTTTTGGGGAACTTTCTCATGTATAACGTCAATCATCATTGGCTGCACAAAACACTGTGTGAGCACAGGGCCGTGGGTCCTTTATTTTTGTTTTTGACTAACTTTGTTGTTGTTTGAAGTATAAATATACAATATACTGATATTTCTTCCAATGCTACCTGAAGGGCCCCCAACATGTGAGTATAATAGAATGAACCATATGATCATTATACAACACCCATATAGTATCAGTTTCACAATGACCTTCAGGACTATCAATCTAGATGGCATAACATACATTGGTTGGATTGGATATACATGTACATTGCATTTACCATGGACTTTCGAGAGAAAGCCCATGTATTTACATCTAAAATTATTTCAAAATTCCCCGAATTCAATTATAAAAACAACTGGATGTCTTCTACTTACAAAAATGAAAATTGGGAGAAAAATTGTGATTTTCAGTTTTATCATAGCAGTGTACAAACATCTACCATAAACCAATAGGATAAAAAGTGAAGAACTCACTTGTTATATGCCATCTATGATATGTCCTCATAAACATAAGATAAGATTAAGAGGTTACAATTTTACCTCCATCTTTTATCCTCTTTACCCCCTGCTTTACCCCATGCATGTAACAATCAGACATATAGATAGGCCTACTCTCTATGAATATCATTTGATTTTTTCATAAGATATTGAATAAATGAACCCACTTAGTATTGATTTTTAGCATTGTACATCCCATACATGTATTTACATGATTTATGCATCCCATTTCTCAATATATTTGTAAGGCATCTTGCTTCCCTATATCCTTTCACAAATTAAATGCTTCTAGAATAATTGCAAAATATAGATGGTGAATGGGTTAGAATGATTTCATCAATGTATTATTATGCAGACAATATGCTTTTTGCGAGACTCATTGAGGTTAAAGTATAATAGATAAATGACCATCTTCAATGACTCCATTATATGAACAGATTTGGTTTTGCTTAGCAACCACTTTGACCATAAGATGAACATGTAATACTGAAATTCTCATTGCATTTAGACATGCACTTTATGAACAACGCTTACTCGTTCAAGAACTTTACTAACTACAATTTTGATCATTGTATATTAACTTTACAAAATCTAAAGTATTGGACATTTAAATGAGCAAAATATACCTCTTATTTCAGCAAAACTTTGACACAAAGCTTAAGGCAGAGAGGAAGACAAAGGGGAAGAATGATGGCAAACATGATGAAAAGATTAAGGAAATGCAGGCCACCATTCAGAGGAATGAGTCCATCATACAAATGATGAAGATGCAGATACAGCAATACCAAGCCAGGGCAGATGAGGTGAATTTTTTATTGCTATTTTTAGTCTCATCAAAATCATTAAAAGGAATTGCCATGTCGTAAAAAAAACAAAAAACAAGTAACATGAAAATGTGCAGAAAATATAAAAATAAACGAATATAATATAAATATAAATATGTAAAGAAAAATCAGGTATCGATATATATTTTAATGATATACTAATGTCTCTACTGAATATTAATGCTGCTCTATGGATTCAGGAGAGAGTCCTCTTCATAGATAATATTGATGATGGAGAGGTTTGTAATTAGTGCTAATTACTGTAAGACAAAACACATAGATTTCTGGGTTTAGTTTTAATTTTAGTAATGGATATGACATCCTGGTTGTTATTTGAATTGAATATCGTGCATTTCATAGTAAGTCAACTACTGATGTTATCCAGGTGAATCCATTTTTTATCACCAACACTGTTTTGTCAGGAGACACTTGTACAAGATTTGCTCAATCTGAGTTTGGGGAAATTTTATATAGTGTACATATTTTTCATATTTTCATATTCATAAAACTATACAATATAATGTATACCTATGTTTAAATCAAATTAATTCTTGAATAAAGAATATTACTATTAGACTGGACTAAGATTGATACACAATTGCCCCATTTAGTATTATAAGTTATTAAATGATTTGAAGTGCAATACAGGATATATTCTGCTCGAGAAATCTGTATTGGAACGAGACAAAGTCGAGTGCCAACCTACAGAATATCGAGAGCAGATTTCTATATTATATAACGTTTTTATCGTGTGATCCTCTGTATTGCTACTGAGAATGTCCCCTCCGTACCAATATTTTCTGTATTGCGACGGAGATGATCAATGGGGACAATCTCAGTTGCAATACAGATTGGTACAGCACAAGAACTGACCAATCAGAAGGCTTTATTTTACAGATCATACGATAAATCAACATCCTGCCCATTGCCAAATAGGCAAAACGTTTTTCAAGTTCATTGCCAAGAGTGAAAACTGATTCCCATTGGGAGTCAGGCAGCTGTGAGTTTAAAGCCCTGCTATTAGCCTATATTACAGTTTTAAATTGTAAAATCATTTGCAGCATGACCATTCGGCCTTCTCCACAGGCTCCCCTAGTATTGACCCTGAACTAGAGGAGCTCAGAGAAGACAAAGTGAAGATGGAGAAGAAGATAGACAGTCTTGAACATGCCCTGGATCTCAAGGAAGAGACAACCACACAATTAAGTGAGTAACCTCTAAAACATCAATATAGTATCAGAATCTGTCCTTTCCTCTCTCTTAGTCCAAAGCTCTTAATCTAAAATGATTTTGTCTATTTTTCATGCAATTAAAGTACTTTGTATGTTATTGGTGATCTTTTATGTTTTGAACCATGGTCGATTATATTGTCTCACATTGTGGGATATATTATACCTTGAACTTTAGGTCTGTATTGTACCTTGAAATGCTGGATATATATTGTACACTGAATTGTCTTACATATATAATTATTGTACATTGAATTGTGGAATATGAATTGTAACTGGAATTATCCTAAACATATTGTACCTTGCATTGTGGGACTTATTGTACCTTAAATTGTCTTACATATATTGTACATTGAATTTGCAGATTATGAAATTGCCAAATTGAATGAACAGTTAGAGAAAGAGAGAATTCTCATTGAACAGGTAAACTTCTTCCTTCATAAAAGTCAAACTTGCTAAAATAAAATAAAGATGAATTCATAATTTTATTGCTTTATTTCATTACAACTCAATCCAGAGTGTGTACATGAAATACATATTCATTCAATAATTAATGTGTTTTTACATTTTATAAGATGTTTATTTAACTTTAGATGTACTGCATGCTATATTGAATTGAACAGTTTAAAACTAATCTAATATTTTCATAGGCCGAAACGGTAAGAATACTCAATGACACCAAAATGCTTCTAGATTATTTTATTCTACTAATTTGCAAATACTCAAGCCATCATTTTTACAGTTTGGTATGATGTCTTGCTTCAAGTCTCAATTCACTCAAAACAATTGAAATTACACAGATATCTGATACTTTGAGAAATGTAATGAAGATGAGGGTGAGACATTTGATGCAAGACCAAAGATATACCATAGTCTGTCAATAGTTATTATTACAGATGATTTTTATGCAAATTGTATGTTTTATAGAACAGTAAAACCTGTCTAATCCGAACATAACTGGAACTAATCTAAAGGGGAATGTTCGCTGCCAAGTGCTCATATATCATCGATTTTTAACATGGAACTATATGGCAAAATGGAACTCAAAAAGTGCTCAATTTGAGAGTTGTTCAGATTTAAAGTGTTCGGATGTACCGGTTTTACTGTAGTATCTTACAGAGTTTAGATATTGCTTTCTACTGATCCTTTTACAAAGATGTTTTTGTTACTGATTATTCATTAAATGTGTTTTATTGATTGTATAGTGTGAGGAGATGAAAAATCAAAATAAATAAATAAAATATTTTATTTATTTTGTTTCACTCCTCAGAAATGATTCATGTGTTTAGTTTGTTTGCTGTATTTACATACTAAAAACATCATGTGGTTTATCTCAAAAATATTAAGCATGGTCACATATACACGTGTGTCTGTGTTTGTACACATGCACATATTTGAATGTATGGTATTTGTTTGGAGTGTCTTGTGATCTGTGCATGTTTGTGTTTGCACATTGCATGTTATTACCCTGATTCCAGAGTGCTTAGTCATCATTCCCCTCAGCTCTGAGATATTGTCTTGAATGGAGATAGAGGGTAGTGAGGAACAAGCTTATATAACAACTGTACAACCATTTTTGAGCACATCCATTTTACTAATGGGTCTATTCATTAATTTTTTTTACATGTTGAATTGAAATCTATAAAGGACACAATGAATTGACGAATTCTACATGCATATTTGGGAATTCTAAATTGAAAATACAGTGAACTATACATTTTATTCCATTTTACCAGTGTCAATGAGTAGTTTATTGTACATATTTGTACTCCATAATTGTAGCTTAAGAAATCAGTCAGAAGGAATGTTGTCTCAATGCTGTCCAAAGCTGCTCAACTTGCAAAAAGTGAAAACAACAAAAATGTAGAGGAAGATGTATGCCACCAATACATTATATACTCATTTACATAGATCATTAGTATATTCATTCATAAATAACATGCTCTCTTAATTTACTTTAATATGGGTTATAGAAACGCATTCATGATATCAAATTATTTCTTTAACAAAATTATATAACATTACTTTGATGGTGTAGAGTAATATTTTTAGTAGAATCTTTGAATACTGAATCCCGGAACTGAATTCTCTCAGATTCCACTTGGCCAGTACCTTCAATAGTAACATTGGAAAACAATATCCATCTTGAGCTGCAGCTAACAATAAAATAAAACAAAGCAAAAGTAAAACATAACAGTTGCTAGTAACAATCTTCCATGTGTACACTTAATCTAATCTTCATTTAATGTTAGGGTAGAGCCAGCTAATATATGAATACCTTGTTTCATTATAACAATGTTAACATGGTCTGATTGATGAATATATTAACCCCATTATAATGACACAATAATTTGTAATAATTGTTAATGTATAATTATATTCAAGATTGATTTATTAAGTTGCTTGTTTGCACAAAATGTAGTAACATGTTTATGAACTGAGGATAATTTGGAGATGAACCTAATATAAATTTAAGATAACATAAAAATGTTTGTAAATGTTTTTTTTTGTAAAATGTGACTACTCTCCACCACCAGGAATAGGAATCAATGATAATTTTTTTATTTCATATATTTAAAAAATTACATCCGTGAATATTGAATCAGTATTGCACTAATTTTGAATCAACTAAAGTTAAAAGCACTACCAAGAGCTTAGTTCACTAATAGGTTCTGAAGTTGGACATTTTAGTCAGTTTTTGAAATGTCATTGTCTCCTATCCTGAATTGCATGCAACCTAACTATGTGTAACCCAAGCATGAAATAAATAACTATGGTATATGGAATTTGATAAATCAAACTATTTGATAAAGTCAACTATTTATTATTTTGTAGCTTAAATATGAACAGAAGGAGCAAAGTGCAAAACTGGAACAAGACAAAGCATCCAATAAAAGATTGGTAAGTAATTAAATATCAACCAAATCTCCATTCAACGAATTTGTGTATAAGACTCTCAAGGGAGGGAGGAATTGAGAGATGGTATTTTTAGGACTTAAAATGTAAATATTACTTAACCTGTTAAATGATTAATGTTATTCCCTATTCCCTAAAATTGCTTATATTTAGAGTGTTTTGACATCACACATGGATTATCCCAACATGACTCCATTGTAACCTGACATCACTAACATCAGCATGTACCATCTGAGACTAACAGAACTTTAGTATCACCCTGACATCAATTGTAACCTGACATCACTCACATCAGTATATACCATCTGAGACTAACATAACTTAGTACCACCCTGACATCAGTAAATTGTAACCTGACATCACTCACATCAGTTAGCTTTAGTACCACCCTGCCATCAGTAAATTGTAACCTGACATCACTCACATCAGTATATACCACCTGAGACTAACAGAATTTTAGTACTATCCTGACATCAATTGTAACCTGACATCACTCACATCAGTATATACCATCTGAGACTAACATAACTTAGTACCACCCTGACATCATTAAATTGTAACCTGACATCACTCACATCAGTATCTACCATCTGAGACTAACATAATTTTAGTACCACCATGACATCAGTAAATTGTAACCTGACATCACTCACATCAGTATGTACCATCTGAGACTAACAGAACTTTAGTACCACCCTGACATCAGTAAACTGTAACGTCCTGACATCACTCACATCAGTATATACCATCTGAGACTAACAGAACTTTAGTACCACCCTGACATCAGTAAATTGTATCCTGACATCCTTTGTGTTTTTCAATATTTCCCGACATCACCCATATTGTGTTCCCTGACATCACAAATACAGAGTTTCATATCACATTAATGTGTGCATACTGTATCCCCTTTCATCACCTTAATATGTAATATTTTTTCTCTCACATCCCCACCACAGATAGAGAGTGCTGACCTGATACCAATAGGATTTGTTAATACTAGGGTAATTCAGCCTACTTATCCACCTCATTGTATCATACCTGTAACAGTGTTTTATATATCACCTGTATATGTTGTATGGTGTATCTTCCTTTCTCAATACATTTTCTTCTGTCATAGTATGCCAGATTGCAGTACCCCCTTCTTTTTTCCTTTCTTGGGCATCTGATAAAAGAGGAATGGGTCTGAATAAATTGGAATGGGTCATGGATGTAGTTCATAGCATTATACCAAAATAGTATTTTTGTAAAATTGTATATTTGAGTAGATGTACATATTACGGTAAAATGTACTTGGCACATGTAAACTACATGTAGTTTTTTATGTTGTAGACATATATGAAAAAATGTAATTATCATTTGTGTTCCTAGATATATTTTGCATCATACTTATAGACTAGCTAATTGTTGTATGTGCTTTCCTTGTTTCCTCTCATAGTTATCTGCATGTATTCTATCAAATGAGATGCAATTCAATGGCATACCCATGTTCAGATATTTGACAAGACAAATGTAAAAAAACATGACAAGTTTATACTAAGGGAGGTATACTACTATCTACTTCACGTTCACAGTTTAATAAGAACTTCCGATTAAATATATATCTGTAACATTTTGGTGAGGCAATTTGGGAGGCAATTGCCTCATGTCTGTGTGCAACTATAGATGTATTTAAATGAGATCTTGAAAGTAACTATATGATTTGATATTACAGATTGAACAGCAGAAGTTAGAGATGGAGACTAACATGGCCGAACATCTAAAGGAAGCAAAACAGTCAGTAAGTATGCCAAGATATTTCTGGAGGAGGGAAGATTTTCCTTTTTTTCATTTCTAATTTATTCCATATATAATATATAAAAATACAATACAATATTATTGCCTACGTTTTTCAACATTGTCGGCAATATACGATTTTCCTGGACTGTAAAGTAAAATAATCAGGCATTCAATGAAGTGTGCATTTAGCACACATATGAAACAGTATCTGTCTCCTATTTGTACGAATACAGCTGTACACGCACTTCATGTAAGTGTCCACTGTTAATTATTACATGTTTTTCTCCCGTTGTTTTGTGTTTTTGGGATTGCTACATGTACTTAAAACCAGAGAAATGTCTGAAAATGATATATAATATGAATACATGTACAGATAGACATACAATATCCTTTGAATCATATGCACCAGTAGATAAAATTGAATATCATATCTTGCTACTCTCTTTTCAAGCCGTTTCAAGCACATTCAATCAGATATCTTTTGTAGCAATTAACCAAGAAACATAATAAGTGAACCATATTGTTTGTAGATACAAGAGCAGGCTAAGAGAGACATGGAGTTGATGCAGAAGATAAATGACAACAAGATGAGAGAACTTGTTGAACAGAAACAGAAGATTGAGGAAGCTCTTGTTAAGGTGAATACTATAAATTGAGGCAAATTGAGAGGCAATTTTGTGCTATTTGCATATAAGATGATGGAAATGATTGCTTATACATACAACATGCTTATCATGGTACATAAGCTCTATGATGACCTATATGAAAAATTTCAAGAACAATCCATATGCACAAAATAATAACCAACACTGTACATGCTCTAAATGTTAAAACATATAAATGCTGATCTGTACACATAGTGATGACCTACATGTACAAAATATATGAACTAAAAATAATATTAAATGTATATTCGCATAATAATAATGAGTACTATAATACATGAGTACTATAATACATGAGTACTTTCTGATCATTCCTTTTTCTATTTAGGAGAGGAGCAAAAATGCCCAGAAACGTGAAGAAGCATCAGAATATGAGAAAATGAAAAAAGTGGAAGTCCAGCATAAAAAGACAATAGAAAAGTAAGTATAACTCTTGATAATATATATATTAAGTGGATTATTGCGGAATTTTTTCTTAACAAACTGTGATATATTAATAAAAGTGCATAAATATGATTCTTTTGAGAAACCCAATAGGTTTATGGGTGATTCAATGATTTACACTACAGAGGGATTAACAAAATTAGTGCATAAATGATGTGAACGTTCAAGTGATTGATCAATGGCATTGAATTGATCCTCTTATTGACCAATGTCCTTTTAAATGTTTCATTCAAGTCTTAATGTTATTTCAAATTCTAAACAAACATTTCTTATTTAAATTCAATTTTGCATTTACAGATTGAAAAAGGAAATAGAAAGAATCCATAAAACATGGGAGAAAAAGTTTGCAATTTTACAACAAAGGTAAGAAATGTGTACAATATTTCAAAACACATTTTTTTACAGTGCCATGTTATCTTATCACTTATTGTGTGCAATGCATTGTCATCACTGAATGTATACAATGCATTGTAATAACAAATTGTAAACATTGTATGTTATGAATAGCCATCACATTTTTGTTGTATACAATATAATCACTTATAAAGTGGTCAACTTTTGAATTATCATTCTCGTCATGATGAATTAAATAGATATTCACACTTGTTGCATGAAACAAGTACACTCTCTGCATGATACGGCACTGAATTGTGTTTCGCACTAAGTTATACGAAATCATTATTACATTTTGTGGGTAGAATGGTGGTAAAAGAAAATGTGAGGGTATCCTTATAAAAAAGATTGCATTTTCAACATGTTCAAAGGAGGATGGGTGCTCTATCAGGATTAGGTGCAAAAATGAAATGACCTTAACCTCCTGACCACCTGGAGTGACAAGATTTCTCGTCATCTCAAAACTGACCTTGAAACCCAGAGTGACAATAAAATCTGTCACGAAATTGCTCTTATTTGAAGAATTTACATCCAATTTACACTAAAATTGTGATCTCTGCCATCTAATTTTACTAAGTTGAGCATCTGTTGTATAGGTATGTAGTATAAAGTCAAAAGGTGGCAAAAAAGAAAAGATCTCTGGTTTCATCCAATTTTATAGCCTGGGATTCAAGAGGTTAATTATCCCACTGACCATAATTTGAGGGGAATATACTGAAGCCCTCAATCCATCTGTCCATTTGTTCGTTTGTCTGTCCAAGCAATAACTCAAATACAGATTGACAGAATACAGATGACAGATTGGGTCCAAATTTTATTGGCTGATTATTGGGATGGGAATTTTCACTATGGCAGCTCAATTCAAAATGGCCACCATGTAACTCAAATATTAGTGGACAGATTTTGTTCAAATTTTGTATCTTGATGCCTAAGGATAAAGGAGCTTTTCTCAAGAAGAGATGGCCAGCCACTGAATTTCAAATTGGCTGCCAATTTTCATGAAAACACAGTCTTTGATAACCCAAATGCCAGTGAACGATTTGGTTCAAATTTTATATGTTGATGCTTATTAACACAGGAGCTCTGCTTGAGAGGGCATTTTCAAGATGGTGGCTGAATTTCAAAATGGCTACTTTTTTTGTAAAAGAACGAAATCTTTGATAACTCAAATACTAGGGGACAAATGTGGTTCTAATTTTATATATTGATGCCTAGAGAGTAAATTTTCACACAACTTTTGCACAGAAGCATGACCATGCATGTTGCACAATGTTTCAGTTTACATGCACTTAAAGATGAGAGTTTCCTGAGACAAACCATGCAACGACAAGCTGCACAGTTACATCAGGCATCAATCAGTTATGCTGTAAGTAATAATGTTATGGAGTCAAAACTCAAAAGCTTATGAGACATATATCTTAATAGTCTGTTAAACAGAGTTTTTAAGGGATCATTCAACCAGATCTTTTTATATTATAAAATTGTATGAAGGCTTTATTTTCAAGTTTTTCTAGAGCAACCAATCTACTACTGTATATTTAATACTACTATATGTATCTAGAATTAATTTATCAATTAAGAAATGAGATCATATTTAATGAAAACGTGGACGAGTACAGAAATAAACATTTGGAAATGTTTTAATGTCATTATTATCTGCTTTGATTATGAATGTACCGTTCTCTTCCTTTCAACAGAGTGACACTCCACTTGGAATCCTCCCTAATGGCAGATCTCCAAGGAAATCACAGCAGCCATTGGTAAGTAGTCTGAGACACCAACACATTAATAACGAGCTGACACAGTATCCAGTGAAATAGATAAACATGGATGCAAATCATGCAATAAAGCCCTTGATAAGGCTTACATACTTAGTAGATCTGAGCAATTCTACATTATTTTTCAAGCCTGATATTCCAAGGACGCCTGTGAAGTCCCCAGCTGGAGATAGAGACTACATCTCATACACAGTGTCAGCCCCTAGTGGCAGAGGAACTGGACTCTTCTCATTAGATGGTATGGCTGTGTGTATTTAGATATTTTCTAAGCACTGATTTTTGCAAAGGTTTTAGGCTGATATAAAGATGGCAGCAGTGGTAGGATATTATTATAGTACTGTAGAACAGATTGCAGTGCCATCTTTATTACAAAATTATTTCTGTCACCCTACACTGGCTTTTGCCTTTTCGATTTTGAATCAATTAAATTGGGTCAATCATACAAACATAAAAGTGTCACAACCTCGGATTTTGTGGAAATATTGTTATAATCTTCTTGAAAACAATAAAAATTGCAATTATCACTTGGGGACCTGTCTTTAAGCCTATACTTGGCCTTTGACTTTGTGTGACCTTATTTGACTTTCTAATAAAATCATAATTAAAATATTAGAATTGAACAGTGAAGAAAAAGAATTTTTGAAGTAGTATAATGAGGTCTCAATTTTGATGTTGCAGAGAACCAGGTTATGTCAGATGAAGATGCAGATCTGCCTCCTGGTATGGTCCCTCTACCTGCACCTCCATCCAGGTAAGCGTACTATTATAATGTTTAATGTTATGCCATTTAAAATGATTGCAGCTTAGTATACAATTTATTCCAAGTATAAAGTATTTTAAACTTCTTTTTTTTTATAATTTTTTTATTTCAAAGAATAAGCATGTTAAAGCAATTGCAAAAAACAATTACAGTACAGTTACATGGTAAACATACATTTTACAATTTTACAATACAGTATTGGTTAAAAGTTAGTCTTTAAGAGACGTTATACCATTGGCATTTTTTTATTTAAAGGAAAAAATCATCAGTTTCATTTGTTTAATTTTGCTTCCATGATTTTCCACTTATCGCCTCTGCCAACCCGTTTGTCCATAATAAAATATTCCTTCACATTACTTATAAAACTTTTAAGTGTTGGTTTTAGCATAGAATATTTGCACAAATAAACATACCTTTTAAAAATACATAGCATTTTATTTAAGATGATTGACCTCTCATTTATACTCTCAGGTCCTATCAATACATTTTGTTTAGTACATAGCAATGTGAGCTCTAAAGGGAGCCATTGTTTAATGTCATTTAATAAGGCACTTACAATAGTACATTCATACAGAAGGTGGCAAATTGTTTCAGGATTTGCTTTACAAAAAGTGCAAATGTTTGACTCTATGAGTCCAAACATTTTTAGGTATGTATTAGTTGCTAAAAATCTATGAAGGACTTTGTAAGTGAAAGATGATAACTTCGGTTCATAGTTACTCAGTTTGTTAAGTTTATTTATCTTCTTCCAATCATTTTGATTGAGTGACAAAGGATCCGTTACCTAATGTACCTGAAGGTGCCCCCAAAGGTTTCATTGAAAATAATATGAAAATAGTTACTTTTATCAATTATGAACACATCAAAACTGAAATTAGGTCATTTGGATTGAAACTAAGGTCATTCAGTGCATTTAAGTTTGACTACGAAAATCATTCTAAATATCATTTTAAGGGTATGTTAGTCTTCATTCATGATCATTTTAACTATGTTGACCATTTCTGAATCGATATAGCAGAACATCGTTAAGGTAGAGCACAAAGAGCAACATGTTGAAAACACATATCATAAAAAAATGAAAACTTAATATATCTTTTGAAAAAATGAACCTTAATAAATGTGTTCTCAACAATAGTACCATGATCACTTCAGTTGGTATACAGTAGGCATTCAACCTAGAGGGTATATTAATATATCATTAAGGTGGGACACAAAGGGCAACATACTGAAAACACAAATCATAAAATAACCCCTAAAATAATCTATCATTTGATAAACAAACCTTGTTTAATGTGTTCTGAACAATAATACCATGATCACCCTTATTGTATATACTGTAGCTTTAACCTAGGTATTCAACCTAGATACTATGTCAAAACATCATTAAAGATGAGGTAGAATACAAAGAGCAACAGTTGAAAATACAAAACCTAAATTCAAGCTGAATCTAGTTGCGACTTTCCATTGCATTATATTTTCATTGTCAAAGAAATTGAAACAATGATAGATGACATAATAGTCTTAGTTTATTTCACATGAACACTACACTACAGCAATATTCATTTGAACTAATGACTAGCCGAAACATATTTTTTCGATTATCAGGCTCATTGCTTATTGCTTACATATCACATGTTCTAATAGTATATACCCCATGAACAGATTTCTGAAAAACATTATTTTAAGTAACCTGTGATTTAATTGCTTTATTGCAAATGACACGTTTTCTTTGATCTTGTTATCATTGAAAATCGAATACAAATCTGTTTAGAGGTTTGAACATGGTGCTCAGAATTATCTATGGGAACCCAGGTTGGATGTCTCTGTGGCGTGATACATTGACACAATAGTTATTGTAAATGACAGAGTTTGTTGGAAGGTTCAGTCAAGAATATCTTTCCAAATAAAATTTTCTATTTTTGTAGAAGGTTCTATGTTGCACCTACCTTAAGCAATACATTCAAGGCAGAATGGATTCTTGACTAATGGCAATTTCAAAATGGCCTCCCTTTTGAAACTAAAATTTTTACTTTACTTTCATATTGTGTATCTTCCACACTTAGGACCCTCTCTTATTTCATGTTTGAATTATAAAATAGTGTCAATACTAAACAATAAAGGTAAATTCAGAGGGGGTCTGGTTTGTGGAAGTACCTCAATCTGTCAATGAATGGAGAAGGTCATTCACTGTTTACAACAAAAACACAATAGGGTGTCTTTCAATACAATAGGATTACTAACTATTTATGCATGAATGGTACATGAAATGAAGCTTAGTAGATTAGGACACATTGTAGTTCTTATATTGAAAAGTGAAATTAAGTCTATCTACAAAACTCAAGATTTTAATCAAGGTTCTGTGAAAATATGTCAAAATTACTAATTTGAAGAGTCAACATGACATGTGTTAAGAATCACTGTAAAAAACACCTTTTTACCATTTTTTCCACACTATTTTTGTAATTTGTTGAAAATATACTTAATAAAGATTCAAATTGCATAAAAATAATTTTGGAATTCCATATTACCCTTTTCAATAATTTTCTAAGTTCTTATAGGTACTCTAATAGGTACGGATCCTTTAGATCTTTATCTATATATTTTGAATTCTTTTCTAGGTTCTGAACAAATTCCCAGTATATTATTTTACTAATCTTTGACTGAGTAAGGAACTTTTGTACATGTGCTTTATTTCTTTCATAATCAGTGATATTCTGATTATTCATAACGTCTCTTATCCAAGATTTTGGAATAGTGTTTTTTTAGACTCAAATAGTCTAAGAAATTAATATTACTGTGGAATTTGTCATTGAATTCTAATAGCGTTAGAAGTCTTTTTGAATTTTGAAATACATCTTGTAGTACAATTACTTCATTGTTAACCTTTGTATTTTGTAGTATATATTGAACATTTTGATTTTTGGTATGTTTCCCCCATGTATTACACATAGCTTGTTCAGCTCTCAATTTAGTATTATGTTCAGCTTCTTTTTCTTTCTGTTGTGTGTAAATTCTCAGAACATGAACAAAATCTCTCCAGAAATTATTCGAAATTAATTTTTAAACTTTATTTTGTTCAGGTTTAATTCAGAATTGTTATAGATCTATCAATGATTTTCTTTGGCATATATACATTTTCTTTTGTGGACCCCCGGCCACTCCCTCCCGACTTCTCTGGTTTCATGATCCCTTTGTATAACATTTTACATTTTACTGTATGTACTAAATAAAAGTTAATATCATATATTTTCCAGAAAACCTACAGATTGTGGTGATGATAGTCGCCCCTCCACTCGATCACATGTTGTAGTGCTGCCATCTGTTGAGGCCCAATAGACTTACTTTATTTAAATTCTACCCTGTTTTGGTAGGAATACAATATGGATTTATGCCATGTCATATCTAAGTCACTAAAGTGCCTAACAGCAAGTTCCGTATATCTTAAGCAGTTATACCACTTTCAAAGAGTATGTGCCCTTTTAACAGTGATATTGTCAGACCTTTTAAGGCAATGTAAATATGAGAAATAAGGAAGGGCATATGATTGATGAAAGTGGATTCCAACTGGAGTGTTAACGTGCATTTCTTTATTTATTATTTGTACTAAAGAACATGAATAAAAACATTTCCATGTACACCAGTCATCGATAAAATCATTTCGACCCAACAATCCATTCTCAAGGGCTGATCTCTCTCCATACCATTACCATAGAGCTTGAAAATACACATAACTTAAACTTTTACATCAATGGCTTTCTCATTATACACTTCCCTCCCAAAAGTTTAGCAACTAGAAGTTCCATTAGGATCATTTAAACAGGTCTTTAACACTCTTACAATGCCCATTAGGGACTTCAAGTTGCCAAACTTATGAAGGGTCGTGGTGTATATCATAATGCTAGTGTGTCGCATAAAATATTGTAAATAGCTGTATAAAATTGTATTTATTTTATTGTATAATATTGTATAAAATGTATTTGTATATACATAATGAGAAATATAAATAAATGTATATTTGTGCCAAACTATGACATGTGAGTTGCAAGTATTTTCTATTTCATGTCAGATATTTAGGATGGTCAATTATTATTTTGCAATAAAGTCAACGTTCTTAAAGGTATTCATAAATACGATAAAAAAGGAAAATGAGAAATTGCCAGATTATTGTTCCACTCAACACATCATTCTGTGTGATAGATTTGTATGATCTAAAATTGTGTGATACATTCCTTTATCTTTAAGATAAATAATATAAAGATATATAGTCCTGTAAGTTAAGGGTGTTGTTTTAACCTTGAAGAAGTTCCAATGAAATATAAATCCTTTCCTCAAATAAAGATGAACAAAATTTAAAAAATAATCTATTAGTATATGAGACTATACAGGGTGTCCCGAAAGTATGCCCCCCCCCCCTTGGCAGACATACACCAATGTTCCCATAGTATGTGTCATATATCATTTTAAAGCTCGTCCAAAGTTACATTGATTTGCCAAGTATCATCGTTCAACTTACAAACGGGAAAAGTTACAGGCATTTCAAACCTAAGTGTTTGGCCAAAATTAATGTTATAATCAGTATCCTGGAAACACCGCTAACCCGAATATGACCAAAAATATGGGTGCTATCGTTAAAGAGAGGATGTATATTGAGTTGTAAAAAGAGGTCGGTAAGGGCAGATAATCCAAGGAAACTCTTCTAAAATGCCTTAAAAAGGTTTTATGAGGATTATGAAATGCCATACCCCTATTTGCAGTGTATTTAAGGTCATATCTGGAAAGAACTGCTGCTGTTAACATGGCCAAGGGAGACGCGGCAACTATTAATTTTGTGTAAAACTCAACTTTAATTTTGGTAAAACACTACATTTTGAAATGTGTGTAACTTTTTCCCGTTTGTGAGTTGAACCATGATACTCGGCAAAACAATGTAACGTTGGACAAGCTTTAAAATGATATATGATACATACTATGGGGACATTGGTGTATGTCTGCCTAGGGGGGGGGCATACTTTCGGGACACCCTGTACACACTGCACATGGACCCTTTCAAACAACTTCTTTAACTGTTGTTCTATTTTTAATTTTTTTTACGTGCTCCCTGTACAATGTCGTATAAAAAATAGTTAGTTTTTAGTTTTGCAACTTTGTCTAAAATTACAAGATGTGCTTTTACTTCGGACATGATAGTTTATCAGAGACCTGGCCTTTTCTTATTGATAGTGGACCTTAAGGCAAACAGATAGTTTATATTTGCTAAGGTCTAAGTAAAGACATGTTAGTCCTTTTTAAACAGAAAAGCGACGGGCAATTTTAAAAGCATCGCGTTTCTTTATGAAAACTTTCGGCGAAAACGGATTTATATTAAACCATTATAACACAGAACGTATTGATGGAACATGACACATTCGAATATAAACAAAATGTAGAGAATATCATTTATTGGAAATGAGATAGTTAGATATCTTGGATTCTAACTGATTATATGTCAGTTTAATTTTCGAAAGAACGTCGTAAATTGGATTCGTATTGCTGGAAAACTATGGTACAGAAGACGAACAAACGTAAATCAGTACATCGTTGGATATATTAAAATATGCAAATTTGGATTATTTGACCATGTCATTGACTAATACAGCGGCCGCAACAGGTGAGGATTTACTTCTACCATGATATATGTAAAAACCTGTATTCATTTTGGAAATTGATATACAGTACTTGGAACTAAGATTAACTAAATGAACTTTGTTAACCAAGATGAGATTAAGAATTGTCACTGGTATCTGTATATTCCTCGTTTTTTAAACTCTTACGACGCATGGTAATCATGATTTTTATCTCGCCACTAAAAAGTAGTGATATTTTGTATTATCCCATAGTTACCAGGATATAGATCGAATATCAGGTTCCTATGGTTTTTCAAAAATATTAATTATATCCACTCATGGATATCAATATTTTCACTCATATTTTTTCAAGACCTTTAAAGACCAGCGTTCAGAGTTCAGTGTCTGTAATAATTGTTACACGTTTGTGACCATTTTCACTTTTCAGGTAATGGCGTTTTGACACGTTCATTTGTTTTCTGATTTGATTTTCATATCAAATAGGATGTTATTCACTGTCGAAAAGGATATCATTCATTGTCAATGATACGTTTTTAAATAGAATAATTAATTAAACATATTCACTGAAAGAAAAGAGATTATAGAAATCTGTTTTGCGTTACCGTAAACTGTGAATAGTTATGTGGCCAGTGGCCATGAATGTATTTTGTAGACCACCTAAGGTAAATCCGATTTACGATGAAGATGAGTAATATATTATGACATGTAGTATTGATGAACGCTGGGTGGTGATATTATAATGATGCATTAAATACATAAATCTGAGTTAATCAATCAGAAAATCCTGTTAAACGTTACTCAAAAGTAAATGGGATGTATGATCTGAGGGCGGTATTTTGTGCTTTACTCATATTTCAAGGTGTTATGTATTGCGATTATTCTAATGCTGACATCAGGAATATGTAAAACATAGCAAATGTGATTAACAGACTGGATGAAAACAATTTCTCCCTCCCCTTATCCAAACAAAAACTACAACCAATCATTTAGATCACTGTCCCATTGGCTACATCTTCATTTTAGCCACTCTATGCGAGCAAATCGCTCTTCTCATTATTCGATCCAACGATGACCTTGTGGGCAACACGACCGAGAGAACGATCGGTACCCACGTGAGCATCAAATGCCTCCCAGGCTATGGGTTATCCACTGAATCCAGCTCCGACGTGCTTACTTGTCTTCGCCCCCTACCACCAAGCTCTGTGGCTACATGGGACAAACCAGTGCCAACATGTTCGTGTGAGTTAGGGTCTTTCACCATATTGAATTTATTACTGAAATAGATTAAATAACAAAATATTTGTTTTTTTAATTGTTTGTTTGACTGCAAACGGGTAACGTAGGTTTTATTGTCGTTGTCATCATCAATTTACTTGTCATGTCTTGTCATGTCTTGTAGATTTACCAACAAGTGGAACAAGTCTCTCAGAAGAGGCTACCATAATACTCGTAGCGTCCTTGTTTGGTGCGGTCATCTTGACCTTATTCATTATTGTCGTCTGCTGCGTTGTCAAGTGGAGAAGAGACAAGATTGAAAGATATAAATGGATGTCCAGGGAACAGAAAATAAATAATGGTGATATAATAAGGTAAAAAAGAATTATACGGTGGACGCCTCGTTTAACTTGAAGTGTTTAATTTTGGAAGTATTCAGGCCTACGTGCTTTCGTGCGTTCAAATTGAGGGGTTTTACTGTAATTATGCTCTTAATAAACTGTAATTTGAATTGATCTATATTATTATACCATGTATCTAGGCTCCTCTAAAGTTATCCTGTTTTTTTTGTGTTCCAGTCTTGCTGATATGGGTGGGGGCAAAGCCATGGTTGCAGCTGGTGGGAGGGGTGGCTTCCATGAGTAAGTACTAAGTTACTATTAACAAAGTGTTTGAGAATAGTCAACATTTACCATTACAAAAAACATCTACCATAATAGCAATTTATTAGTATTATAAGTATTCATATTTTCATTGTCATTTTTATACTGGCATTATCTATCAACGGGAAAGATCTGGTTGAGAATATGCGTCTCACCATTTTATTATTTTCCCACAGTGGCCTTTATGCAACGTTCAGGGGAAGAGATGAAATGTCAGAGTTCCAATATGGCGAATCCGGATTTCCCCGGGGATTTTCTTCCCAACATTTGGCGCACCACGGTAGTCGTCCAGACATGGTCCACAGGTAAATGAGTTCTTGCAAGTAGAAAATGTGAAAAGATACTCTAATCAGATAGTCTTGCGTCAGGTCTCCATTTTATCCTACACGTGTGTGAAACGTGTCTATGTCAGTGGAAAGGGTGGGGGGGGGGGTACCAAATTGTTGCAAGACTAAGTCTGTTTTATTCAATAATTGCTTTCGCTTTGATACTTTGTTAAACTAAGGGTTCACAGAAACATGGTTAAACATGTAACACTAAATGATTCAATTTAAATCACCAGTTTACCACTTCAAGACCCTCATAATCAAATATAGTAAAACCTGTATAGTGAACACCTATGGAGCTACAAAAAGTGTTCACTGAAGGTACGTGTTCACTAGAGAGAGGTAATTTTATACTGTACATGAGGCAATGTAAAACGTGTCTCGAAGTGGTGTTCACTAAACATAGGTGTTCACTAAGACGGGTTTTACTGTACATCATTAATACCTTAAATGACTATCATAAAAATAAAAAATGAAAGTTTATCTAATCAACAATTAATGGCCACGAGGCAATACGATCCATAAATTGTGCTATTATGTTTTACTCTTTTGTGTTCATAGACTGAATAAAACATTGGATTACAGTTCGAAAGAATCATGATCCAGTCGAAACGATTCTTAATTAAGACATTTTATAAAAGTTGCCCACTACTCCCTTTACACTGCAAAGATAGTCACAAAATACTATAGTTCAGGTTAAGACAATCAGCTCGTTAACCGCACAATCAAGAGATCGTTTATTCAGTAGGTTGACATTTACGACTGTTTCCCCATACGTCATTGTGACAAAGAATAACCCCTGGCCATATATTTGTCACCTGGGTGTTACAGTGAATCCTTTTTAAGGGAAACACAGCGTAATGTCTAAATTATTTCAAGTTTTTACAAATGAGAAATGATTTACTTTAAAGTGAAAAGTTCTTCAAGTTTTTTATTGTGTTGCACTAGATATATTTCTGCCAGTTACATACTAGACTACTGACCATTTATATCACCTTAAATAAAAATAATGACAACCTTGTCTTTCTCTTTCCTCATAAAATACAAACGTTTGTGCAAACGTGTGTGTTGTCGTCTTTCTGATTCACTGCTTCATATTAACGCTTGTCGTATTCAGGATATAAAGATAAACGAAATTTAAAGAAACAACCACTGAATTGATGTAGTATATAAATTTTAGCCTGGCAACGCCCATGGACTTTAACATATCTTCATAAATTGGGGGGGGGGGCATTAACAGATCTTAACTTTTTTGTTAATGCTGTCCCCTCCCTGATTTATGACGCCGACTTCCTTCTTTTGCTTCTTGCTTATTCTAGTATACATAATGGGTATGGTCCAGCAAGGTCAATGAGGTCGGTAAGGATGTTTGGAAGCCGTCCAGATCTGTTTGATAACAGGTCAAGGGCAGGAGGCATAACCCTATACGAATCACAACGCCCTTTAGCCGCCCATTCAAAATCTAGAATATATGAACCCAAGTAAGTTCTGCTTCACTTTCTCATATTCTTCAATTGACTTTTTAGCTTATGGTGAAGTTAAAATGAGAGTTTGTTTTATATTTATTACAAAAGAAAAATGATAGATTCCATCAGATCGTTACATTCTATGTCACGATGTTCCGTTTGCATCATTAGTTCTGATTATGCTTTTGTTACCAATCGCGTTTTATAGATGGCAGCACAATATAGGACAGCACAATTTGCATTGTTTAGAATTTGAATCAACGAACTTGAACTACAGGTAGTTTTAATAGAGTTTGTTAATATTTGACCTGCAGATACTAGCTTTATGTAAGTTGTGGACCTCGATAACTCAAACATGTCAAAACCCATAACCTATATATTTCTCTAACACTACATGGGTTCTGTTTTCAGCAACAGCAATTTTGCAATCCCACGGCCACAAGTTTGGGAGTCTGATTATGGAGCTCATGGACTGGATAAAACAATGTTCCCTTCCTAATGCAAGCAAGAGAACAACATGTATATAATAAAACAGACCACGTCTGTAAAGCTCCAGGTGTTCTGGGCAACCCATGTCTTCCTACTCTTGCCGAAGTATTCGTATTCGATTTTGATCGATTTTCAAATTACAATTCAATTTTATTACTTCAAGAGATCACTGCTCTTATTAATGTAATGCCATTCGATAGCAAGTCGCTAGTAGTCTCAGCTGTATTAATTGGCTAGCCTTTATGGCTCGGGGGAAGAGCATCTGACTCGAGAGCGGAAGGTCCTGGGCTCGATTCCCGTTTGGGGCATTGACATTTAGCACACACATTGAATTTAGCACACTCTCTTTCGAGTCTAGTTTCTGGCTCGGTACACTACAGCTTCCCGACGGACGTGCCCAAAGGTCGTTACATTAAAGGTGCAATAATTAGTGCAGAGAGGTCATTCAACGATCATGGACCAGTGTCAAAATATATTTAAGTTTGGATATTTCATCAAGACTAACATCTATTTTTATTATCTACAAAGATACCCCCTAGATAAACATTATTTTAGCTAATATTCCTCTTGAAACATAGTGAATCTTAAAAATATAAAAGTGGAAGTCCCCTTTTTCAAGCTTTGAACTGAATTTACACTTCTTAATGCTGAAATTGATAATTTATTCATACATTTTAAGAAAATAGGTATGTCAAAGAAGATGTTAAACCAAATGTTGCCTTGATAGCTCAGAAAAAATGAAAAAAACTTTCCTATTTTCTCTACAGTCCTTATTGCCCCTTTAAGTTAATAATAATGAAAGCGTTTATATTGGGGCTCAATTTCAATGATATGCATCATTTTGCAAAATGGGCCTTTTGAAGATTCGAACCTCAATTTTGAAAAAAGCTACATATTTTCAGATATTGGGTCCAAATTTTCAAAACAGGTCCAACATATTGGAGTCAACATTTTTACCACAACATAATTTTTGCCAATGAATTTTCAGACCTGACGGATAAAATAGGTGAACTCGGAACTATTGGGTTGTAAGAATAGTTAAGAGTCAGAATACTTGGGTTGCTCAGAAGAACTGGACTTCCACACACGTCTTATATTGTTTTAACTGTTTGGTGGATTGGTCCACTGTTGTGTAATTTGGTACCTTTTTATCAGACTGCTATCACAGCATTGGCATTGGTAAACTACATTGGCTATGTAGAATTGATTGAACCTGTGCTCTAGACGATATAAGCAAGGGACAACTCTACAGTCTACACGAACCAACATGTACGGGTACTCTTTTAGATGGGTTACGGGTGCTCTTTAAGATGGAATGTGGTACATGGAATATGAGCGTTGTAAAATATTGAATATTTGGAAAATATGAAAAATGAATAAAGGCACCTAAAATATGGAAGATGGTGCAGTAGAAATATGAAATATAGTAATAAAAATATACACATTTATACCACCATTGTCACACTCTGTATTACGCTTTTTATGTGTAGGAAGACCATATCGTGCCAATTACATACGCACCATGACAAATAAAACTCAAACCCAATGTTTTTATTTATTCTGGTGTTGTTTTCAATTGTAAAATATACACTTTTAATAATGTCACGGTGACTGGTGCCATTTGTATAGGCACTAGCTTGGATATTTACAAATTGTCACAATCAGTCAATTTGGACCAGACAATGCCAAAAATCAGATGTGAAAATATTAGGATTTCCTAACCACCTCGCTTAATCTACGCACGTATAATACGGAGCATTAAAGAGGTTTAAAATTACAAAAATTATACAAAAAGTGACTGTATCGTGTTGAGCATTTCAAATTCAACCAAAAATGATGTACACCTTTATTTGTACGTATGCTGTATGTTATATGTGTAGTTCCTGCTTGTAAATAGAATAATAAATAATTGTGTAAATGAAACGTTTATTTGGTTTTTCTGTTGATCAATTAAAGTGGTAGCAAAGAATACAGACTGCCTGTGAAATAAGATGGAAGCAATCTTCAACAGACATGGTACGTCTAACCTCACAGAATTTGAATCTTATATTGTTTGAGAAACCCTTTATTTTGACCATTTATATTAATCAAGGCAAATTCAGAATTAGAATTAGAATTCAGAATTAGAATATTACAAACGAAATGATTTAAATTAGTCACATTTTTATCATGTTTTGAAATTTTGATTTTTACCACATGACTCTTTGGAGCCTTCAGACTATTCTGAGAGTTTTAGTGGAAGTTTTCGAGTTTTACTTTTATAATGTAGATGCATAGAGAGCACCATATAAAATCTTGAAATATCAGTAAAGTCTACCATGTCTGTGTTATAAATGTGATTAATTTATTTTGGATTAGTCATGACAAAAATAGTTTCTGTAAAAATATGCCTGTTAATATTAATTTTTGGCCCGTCCTTTAAAACACAATCGGTTCTTAAAAAGGTTTGCGTTCAGCTTGAGGGGATGTTGTTCTCAATGGTCCTTTATTTACTTATCAAATTCTTTGGTAAACTTATTGTAAAAATATCGCCAAGACCTGTAGATCTTTGACAGTGAGTAAACAAGAGGTTCTAGTGAAGCACTCGTATATCTTTTATGTTATAAATAAATGTTGAAATAATGGTCTTGAATGGAAATGAAGGTTGTATAGGGTGTTTCATAATATATGCCCCCATCCACAGACTCCTGGTACATACACCTTTATAATTTAATCTAGATGTATATCATAATAAAGCTCATCTCAAGTCTGAACTCATGGGCCAAGTATCAGTATGATTGATCTTTTAGAACACGTGGGGTTATGCCTACGGTGGTCCAATTTGTTTGATCATTAAATATTAATAGAGAAGCTAGCCTGTATTTATCCTTTAAAACTGTCCGAACAAGCAACTTTTATATCTGCTGAGTTTAATCAGATATGTTTCAAATAAATCCGCAATTTAATTTTTCTTAAATGACATTCGTATGTGACTATTCTTTCTACAAACACCTGTAGAGGAAGACGGTCTTTACGAACCACCCTGTAGAAAAATAAATAAAACTATGTCAATATCACGGTTTCGATTTTTTAAACTACCTTGTTGGGTGGGGTCCTACTGAAACGTTAATCATTCCAAGAATATATATATCAGAGCTACAAGGATATACTTATTATCATTTAAGCAGAAAGAACATGATGGAATTATATTTCAAGTTCAACAGATGATCCAATATAACAGACATTTGTCAAAAAGTGATTTTCACGTGGTATAAATTCTTCGACATGGTAAGTTAAAATACAAACAATTATTGATACGGCATTTTAATAATCTAATGAACGCATAACTGCTATCATGTTAATTTTTAATGAGTTATGACAAAATCTAGTACGAGACAAAAACATTAACTTGTAACTCTCATCCTAAATAATCAATGATTATTGTTTTGATACATTTCCAGTCTATTTTCATTAATGTTTCTATTTTCGATATATTTCATATATTCCAGTCTAGTTTTGAACATTGGTTATCAAAACCAATATTATTATTGTTATCATTTCAAAATCATTGTGTATTGTAAGGACTTCAGTATGAATGAAACGTCCGTTGGTTTTGTGTCTTGGATTGTGATAATGGTACTTGAATGGTGGGGAAGGGTATTAGGCATTGTCTCTTTTCATGATGGATTATGGTTTAGGGATAGTTGGGGTTTGTTTTCCTTATGGCTGGTGTATTCTCAGATGCTTTCCTTTTCTTGCTGAAAAAATATTTTGATCATTTCCTTTGGCATTTGCATACGTATTGTCAATTCATAATGATATGTTACTAACACTGTCAATAGACCTAGACATAGGATCCCATTCCTGATAAGACTCTCTCAGTTAAACTTGATCTACTGCTTGGATACGTAGTCACCAGAAATCAAGATATGCCGGTTACTCAATAAGTACAAAATTAGTACTAAATTAGTACTATACCAAAAGCTCGCTCCAGAGCACTCGAGCCACGAGTGCTAATTTAGTACTAATTTAGTACTAACTGAGTAGTCGGAATATGTATGGGTGCTCATTGAATAATGAAAAATCAACGAAATTAGCGCTATTTTATCACTCATCATATGAGTATTCATTTAGTACTAAAAATATAATAAATCAATACTCATGTCTTAATTAAGTGCTCATTTAGTACTAATATTTACTAAAATGAGTACTTAAAATGCCCTGAGCACTATTTTATTACTCGGCATATCTCCCTGTATAGGGTTTAAATTACAGAAAGGCGTTGTCCAATTCCTCAGGGTCAAATTTTAAATATAGCTGAAATACCTGAAATAGAAAATAAATATAGATCAATAGAGCCACTTATGATATACTTTAAAAGTGCTTTTTCTAAAAATTGAATACCAAAAGAGTTCCATTGACTAGATTTATTATATTATTTCTTCAGCGTCACCTTTCTTATTTACTCAAACAACTTAACGCAAACTTAAAATTTAATCTTGAGGAAAAAGTGCATGTCGTACAAACACTTGTTACATACAAGAATTCATGTTTGTTGTCCTCAAGTTTCAATGTTAAAATGGTAGTTTGATCCAATAAAATATATATCAACAGTGAGGTTATGCTCATTGTCACGCACCCTACTCTGTGGTTCTTTAGTTCAACGGTGACAACTTGTGATCTAGAGGTATTTGCGAATTTGTATGAACTTGTGTTCTACATGTATGTAACTGGATAAAGGAACACTCAATTCAGAAGTTGACTTTTATATCATGGATTGACATCAGCGTAACGTTATTTACTTTGGAGTTTCCAATTTTCAGATTAAGCTAATCATACCTGCTGCATGCTAGCATATTCCTGCCCATATTTGTCATCTCGGTTATCAACTTCTATGACTTGATCCAAGATACATTGTTTACAGTCTTATCAATCTATTTAATGTAACATTTCATAGGGAGATATCCTGAGTACTAAAATAGTACTCATAGCATTTTAGCGCTAATTGAGTATTGATTTCAGTAAATATTAGTACTAAATGAGCACTTAAATAACATGAGTCTTGGTTTATTGCATCTTTAGTACTAAATGAGTACTCATATGATGAATGATAAAATAGCCCTAATTTCATTAATTTTTCATTACTCAATGAGCACTCATACACATGCCGAGTACTCAGTAAGTACAAAATTAGTACTAAGTTAGCACTCGTGGTATGAGTGCTCATGAAAGTGCTTTTGCCAGAGTGCTAATTTAGTACTTATTTTGTACTAATTGAGTAATCGGCATATCCTGTGTATGCAATATTTGCAAGATTGCGTAAGATTACCATTTAAAGGAAAGATGGAAGCACAAACTATCACATTGACTTATTAAATCATTATTTTTATCCCATGGTTGCAAGGATATAGATCGAATATCACACGAAGATATATTTGATATGTGGATCAAGATATCATATTTTAGCAAAAAATTCACAAACCATCGAATATCACTTTTAAACTATCGAATATCACGTCTTAAAGAGTGATATTCGATGGTTTGAAAAGTGATATTCGATGGTTTGAAAAGTGATATTCGATGGTTCCGAATTTTTTCAAAAAAAAATTCTTTTACATTTTTTAATTATTTTCAAAAATATTTTAAAAAAATTGAAAATTTCAAATAAAATGTTTGAACATTTTTTCACTATTTTTTCAATTTTTTTTTCAATTTTTTTCTCAAACTAGATTTTTCAACTTTTTCGCTGATGATGATTTCCCATTGGATAAACGGACAATCCTATGGTTTTTCAAAAATATCAATTATATCCACTCATGGATACAAATATATTCACTCATTCGCTGCGCTCACTCATGAAGATATCAATATCCACTCATGGATATAAATGATATTTTTTCAAAACCATAGGATATTCCTATAACATTTTTTTCAAATTGTTTAAATATCTAATCACAAGTGCCAAAAGGAAAAGACTAAAAGTTCTCATGGAAATGACAGACTCTAAGTGTATACCAGTCATAAGAAAAACAAACCCCTTACTAGTACAGTATCTCAACATACATTCGCAATTATATGCATGCCTTTTTATCACGCAATGCCAGAGAATGAATGAAATAGATATAGCATAATAATATTATCATACATTCATGTTTAGATTCAAATAAAAACAAGATAGATGTACATTGCAGATCCAGTGCCGCTTACAATGGTTCTTGTATGTTGTCTCTCTAATAGTACTTCTAGCCCATATCCAACTGACAGGTAAGTTAATGATGTGCATATCCCCTTTTGGACCACGTCTTGGCGATTTTAATAATTCCACCTTTGTATTTCCAATCTATTCTGTATTGGTAATTGATTAAGATTCAGACAAATCAGCTTTAACATGTTATCCAGTTGAGGACTTTCGTCCACTTAATTTATTGGGGTGTACGGGCGCATTAAATGACTTGGCACACAAATGAGTATTGTTATAAAATGCATCCTGTGATTTAATTAAGCAAAATAATAATAGAATAAAACGAAGCAATAAAACTCTAAATACAAGATTGTTAAATAGTTTATATTTCAAATGACTTGAACTAAATTCCGTTTAGTTTACAGGTATTTGCATGTTGCTTTAGAAATTGAAAACGTTGACATACATAAATGAATGTGTAAGAAGCGTGATGAGAAATCATTCATTCCATATTCTACAAAAATCATTACTACAGTATTACATACGATTGGAATACTATTGTAGTATTTATATTAAAGGTATTCATCGAATTTCTAGATACTGCTAACATAGATGAAGGCTGTGAGAGTGTAGGTGAATGTCCGGCTGATGCCAGGTGTGTCACCAGAGGATGCGATGGGAAAATCTGTGTGTGCAACACTGGGTTTCTACCATCAGAAGACAAGACTACATGTGGACAAGGTATGTAAGCGAAGCTGTCTTTTAAGAAGCTAAGTCAAACAAATGCGAAGGGGAGGCACAGATCGAAGGGTTTTATATTCCGATAAAATATTCAATTCATATAATGACCCACGGTAGAATTTAGGTGACGTTTAGTAACTGATTTGAAACAGTATACGATTTGCACCTTGAGCTCTCTCGTTCCCCCTCTATATAGATCCATGCTCGTCCTAATATTTCATTGATTGATTGTTTCAATTTATTCAGTTTATCATTACATATCATTGCAGCTGCTGATCTTGGGGAACAATGTAACCCAGAAGCAAACGTATTTTGCTTACGACCGAATTCACGATGCCCACCATTCAATCCATTTGTCCCTCAACGTGAATGTGAATGTGAAGACGAGTATTTTGAATCTAGTGGCAGATGTAGAAAAGATCCAACATCAGATGGCACATCTTTCCCTCTGCTTGGCGAGGCTTGTGACAATTCAAAGAAAATATGTTCAGGACTTTTCCAGGATTGCGTATCTAATGTGTGTACATGTAAGGATGGGTACAGAGCTGCCACAGAAGATGATATATCACTAGAACCTTCCAACACATTTGAATGCCGCTTAGATATTGACCTAAGTGAGTACCCAATTAAATCTCATTGTTCACTTTATCAATTTAAAACACAATATAGCCTTTCTATATTTTTGGTTATTTTCACATGTACCAAGATCATAGCCGTAGGAACCGGGGGTTCGGTGGGTTCGGACGATCAGGGTTTCCCAAAAAGATATTTGTGGAAAACCAGAAACATAAAATTCAATTTATATGACCAGTAAATAAAAACATAATAAAGTTGTACAATTCTCTCCAAAAGTTTGGCAACCTTAGGCAAGGGTTGGGATTGTCTAATTTTGAGAAGACCCCGGATCATCATTACATTATGCAAAGAAATAACAATAATTTCGCACAACTTAAAAGCTGCTTCATATCCGGTGAAATAAACCAAATGTCTTAATACTAACAAATTGATTTAGTTTTGCAATATTTCGATTTACTCTTTTTATATTTTTCAAGCAACTGAAAATTTTTCCCATAATTATAAATAAATTTGTTCAATTAATTTAACGTAAAATTTGTTATTTTTTATTTTAACATAAAAACAACTACTTATTGTCTTACTAGTGATGAAAACACATTTTCTTTCAAATCTGTGCGCCTTCGTTTTGTTTTATTTCAAACAAAAAATCTTGCCCGGAGCTGATTAGTCCCCAGGAGCAAATATCAAGTAATAGAAACTTTTTGAAATGAGTTAGTATGAAAAGCACACATATATTTATCATTTATAAACACAAGCAGGGGGGAGCGGGGTAAGACAGGACGCGGGGTGAGACGGAACGACGGATTTTTATTGAATAATTGTTTAAAAGTGGTTAATGAAGTAAACTATTTTTGAAAATATATCAAGTGATCTTTCTGTTCAACCACAATTTTCTTGTCGGCTGCAACTAATACTTTAATAAAAAGCCATCGTTCCGTCTTACCCCGCGTTCCATCTTACCCCGCTCTCCACCATTTGAATGGGTATAGCATTTATTATCCATCACTTCGATTTCTTTTGTGATGTGACTGCTATACTTAGGCCATAGCCAAGATTTCTCAAAAGAGTTCTACTTTTGCTGAATTTCAATGAACATTTGTAACGCTCGTGCTCCCTAATTCACGTGCACACCTCCATATACAGGTTGACCCAGAAAAATTACCCTCTCATTTTAGTATAAACTCAAACATGATTTTTTGATTTATCTGCGTATATAGACTGTTTAAATTCCAAGTTTTAAAATGATCACATTTTCAATCCAGGTATGGTCTAGTGATATTGTCCAAAAATATTGAAAATGCAATTTTGTGAAATTGAGATATGATGCACTGACTGCTTATTAGGTAAATTCCAATGATTTATGCATTTAACTCTATCTACACAAAATAATCATAAAAAGTCCTTTAAAACGGAGATATAGTTATTCCCAAATTAAGGGGTGACGTCACCTGTACTTGGATTTGAATTTTGAATTTTATATTTTCAATTCAAAGAAAGAACAAATGGGTATTTTCAGCACTATAGCAGGTGTCTATTGTTGTAAGGCATTGCAATTTGAAAGAGGTTTAATTTTAGAGCCTACGGAGACCATAGATATCGTGTTATTTCAAGTTGGTCAGTTTGGAATTTCAGCCTATGTTTCATTTTTACAAAACTAATTATCAACTGCCACTTCTATCGTCAAAGAGTATTCACGTAGCTATAAATACTTTTTTGTACTCCTATTAATTGGACTCCAGATTGAAAATCTGGAGTCTATTGTTTTTGCCTGTTTTCTTTTTCTTTTTTCTTTCTTTCTTTCTTTCTTTCTTCCTCCTAACAGATTTTCTCTCCAACTATAATATCCTACTTAATCCAACTTACATGGTTAACTAAAGACTGTATCCGGCTTTCTGGGAAATTAGGTCAAATTTTTATCTAGGTCAAAGGTCAAGAACTAGGTCAAATCTTACATTTTCAACATTCTTCATCATATCTTCGTCAATATTCTCCGTAACTCCTTCATCTTTTTTTTATCGTGTAGCTTAGAAAACGGCGAATCAAAAATATAACATCAGAATTTTGATTACTCTTACCGATTTTGAGATATGGCGTCCGAAATGTAGGTCACGACTAAACATCCTCCAAATTGAATGTGTGAGCTATGAAAAAGTTGTAGAATTTTCTCAGGAATCCAAATCTGCAAACCGAATGTCGATTCGACTTCATGTTCGGAAGTTATGGCATTTTGAAAGCTAAAAAACGCTAAATTTGGTACCCCATGTTAAGTCAATGGGAAAAAAAGATTTTTTGAAGTGTAAAATACTAAATATAGACTGAATACAGCTTAACATAATGAATGCTTGTAAAAGAAAGGGACCTCAAAAGCTACCTAGCTTTAAAATTTGGACACCAAAATGCCTAGGTCAAAATCTAGGTCAAATTTATAGTTTTAACTTATTTTTGCGATTCTGACACTACACTTTAATGATTTGCTTCAAAATTGTGTATACAGGTAGCAAAGAGTGTGCTAATAATATTAGCTTTTTGCCGTCAGAAAGTATTTTGACCCACTTTTGAGATATGGTGTCCGAAAAGTAGGTCAAACTGAAAAGTTCTCCAAATTTAACGTATGAGCCATGAATAAAGGGTAGAATTTTTTCAGGAATCCGAATCTGCAAACCAAATTTCAATCCAATTTTTGGTTCGGAAGTTATGGCGGTTTGAAAGCTCAAAAATCGCTAAATTTGGTGCCCCATGTTATGGCAATGGGAAAAAAGATTTTTTTGAAGTGTAAAATACGAGATATAGACTAAGTACAGCTTTACATAATGAAAGCCTTTAAAAGAAAGGGACCTCAAAAGCTATCTAGCTTCAAAATGTGGACACCAAAATGCCTAGGTCAAAATCTAGGTCAAATTTATACTTTTAACTTATTTTTTAGATTCTGACACTACACTTTAATTATTTGCTTCAAAACTTTGTATACAGGTAGCAAAGAGTGTGCTAATAGTGTTAGCCTTTTGCCGTCAGAAAGTATTTTGACCCACTTTTGAGATACAGTGTCCGAAAAGTGGGTCAACATGAAAGGTTCTCCAAATTTAATGTATGAGTTATGAATTAAGGGTAGAATTTTCTCAGGAATCCGAATCTGCAAATCAAATTTCAATCCGACATCCGCTTTGGAAGTAATGGCGTTTTGAAAAATTAAAAAATTGCTATTTTGATATCCCATGTTATGTCAATAGGGCACTAGAAAATTACAAATTTTAAATAGACGAGATACTGACAGAATAAAAATACAATTAATGGAAGCCTACCATAGAATAGGTCATCAAAAACTACCTTAATTCAACATTTGGACACTGAAAAGGTCAAGAACTAGGTCAAATCTTACATTTCTAACATAATGTCAATTATCTTTGTCACTATTCGTCGTTATTCCTTTATCTTTTTTTCATCATGTAGCTTAAAGAGCTTTCATTATTGTAACTGTCTTTTTTTATTACTCTTACCGATTTTGAGGAATGGCGTCCAGAAAGAAGGTCAACACAAAAAGTTCTCAAAATTCAATGTATGAGTTATGACACAAGCGTAGAATTTTCTCAGAAATTCGAATCTGCAAGCCAAATTTCGATTCAACTTCTGGTTAGATAGTAATAGCGGTTTGAAGTCTCGAAAAGTCGATATTATGATATCCCCATGTTAAGCCAATGGAGTCGAACCTACTTAAGAGTTGTCTAAATGTTTATATTCTAAATGACTCAGCTTATTCTGAATGGCTTACAGTATTTTGGATGACTCAGCTTAAAAAAAGTTTGAAATCTGGAGTCTTAAATTGAACTTGTTCAATTTACATGTCTAGTTATTCTTCAATTCAGTAACTAAATTTAAGGTCATTATGAATGAACACTCCTCTATTATAAAATTATATACCAAATAAAATATTTTGATTTGGAGTTTTTTAGAAAAATCATAATCTCATGTGGGAACTGCATGTTTCAGAATTTGACATCTTTGTGTGAACTATGCATCGTCGGTTCCCACGCTCAATCACTACGTTCTATCCCGAGGTGAGGATAGGTCCGAAGCTTGATGAAGCAAGATGTGAAGTTTGTGTGAGCTCTTAAGTCTATCTCCCTAAAGTAGCTCGTTTTAAAAAGATGCATATGTTCCTTGAAGATGTGTTAAGATTTGCCCTTAAACTTAGCTTAATATATGTTAACTCATCGTGAGATATCACAGCCTTCTCTCAGTTTCCTTCTATTCTTGTGCATAGCAGAGATGGTCTGAGTATCAGAATGATGTTAACTCTTGATTTGAATTTCATTAAACAAATGTAATATTAAAATCATGATCTTGCCTTCAGATTTCAGTAAAAGATTCACCATTATTTTAACATAGAAATCAAATTTTCTAACTTTTTCAACTTCAATTGTATCTTGCCAAAACAAAATGGAGGTATCGGACATGATGTCAATTTATTTTTTCCAGCACTAAAACAGGTTTTTCCTTTACGCTGTACATATTATACGAATAATAATTCAAACATAAGGAGGCTTAAATACTCCATGGGGGAGTTAACGGTTGACACACTTTTGGAAGGGGTGTAAATTGTATGTAGGAAAATTACAAAAATACCCCAATGAAGGGGTGGAGCTTTGTGGATAATATAAAAAGTGAACCCCTGGTCACCAAATCCTGGCTACGCCACTGAAGATTCAGTAACCAAGGTCCATAACCCTTATCAATTTCATGATTTCAATTTGCTTAAATCCAGATGCATTAAATTGATATTAAAATAAAGTTAATACCAAACTATGTGTATTTTAATTTATTTATTGCAGGTTCTAATGTTGTTGTAGGTAAATGAAGCAATTCATAGATTATTGACAGTTTAGCTTCAACATTTTTCTATTTTAATTAATTATTATGATAAATATGGGGGTATGGTGGCTCCAAAAATCACCTCACAATCAATTCCGAAATTTTGTAGTTGAAAATTGATATCATTTAAAAACATATCTGCTCTTCAACAAGCAAGATTAAAGTGTAATAGTCAACTGTTTTAATCGCTAAGATATGTTATACTTTCGAAACTGGGAAGTATTACGCTGGAGCCACCAGTCCCTGAGTCCCTTGCATCTGTGGGATAATTTATCATATAATTGTAAATCCGTCTCATGACTTATGAAGTAAAAGTGTATTTCTAAGATTCATTCTTTGTTTGGTCATTATGCTGTCTTCATCATATGAAAGTTGCATTGAGAAGGCTTATTCAATGTTGGCAAGACCTAATATTCATACATAAAAAAATTCATACATATCAAGTCCAAAAGTATTTGTTTTTTATTACAAATAGTGATTACAGGCTGGATTATGTTCATATGATCTAAAATTACCAGACAAAGAATATTCCGAATCCATTTCTATTTTTCTTCCATATGAAGAATTAAGGATAGAGTAGGACAACATCTAACAGCCAATCCGATCCGATCTGCCTGTTAGATGGTTCAAATATAAATCAATTTTAATCCTTCAATTTTAGAATATCTCAGTAAACCTATTGGTTAGTTTTATCAAGTAGAAATAGAAAAAGTTAATTTATTTGTTTATTTGTGTGTCATTTATTTTAAGTTATTTACTTATTTCTTGTTTCTTTTTATTACTTGTTTCAATCTTTATAAATATTATATTTTAATTTCGCGTGGCATAGGTACAGTTTAGTACTTTATAATTTTAGGATTTTTTGTTCATTTGGTTTTAATTTTTTCATAACAGGGTCTTACATTTTAGTTTGACCCTATACTTTTTTATTTTGCATTCTGAATTAGCTTTATATCTTATAATTTCTCGTAATTTGTTGCTGTGTGGACTGTTCTCTGTAATCAATAATCATATTACATTCTTAGGATAGTATAAAATGAATGAAAAAAGAAAAAAAAGTAATTATAGTGTACTTAGTACTATTTGTATTATTTCAAACTAAATGTTTAACTAATTACAATGTCTAAATCTTGTTTTAGTGAACAATACCCAGGTTTCCTGCCCACCTATAGGTACGTACGAATAGTTTCGTCTTTTGGGGGTAATGTATTTTCAAGATTTGATTACGCATTGTAATGAACTCACCCTATGCAAACAGAGCCTGTGGGAAATATTGGGTGCGGAGCAAATGAGCGGAGGGTGCGGAGCTAACGGTCATTTTTGAATTTAAATTTGGGATATTTCTGAAACTAAGACATTTTGGGACTTCAAATATACCAAGATATGTGTATTTGACACCAAATATCAATACAATTGTGAAAATAGTAGCGCAATTCATTCTATAGCGACGCAGTGTGCCTTAAACCTTTCCCAGACCTATATATTTTGAAATTATCCTTTTAATACTGAGTCCCCAGCATTCATAAAAAAATGGTGTTCAAGGTACACTATCTATACAAATTATTTTTGCATCTTGGAAGCCAGGCAGTATCTGTGTGATTTTATAAAAATTCGGAAATGTTTTTCAGATATGAGCCCCCTCTAAATATTGGGTGCGGAGGAGCTCCATAAACGTACCTCCGCACCCAATATTTAGAGGGGGCTCATATCTGAAGAACATTTCCGAATTTTTATAAAATCACACAGATACTGCCTGGCTTCCAAGATGCAAAAATAATTTGCATGGGTAGTGTATCTTGAACACCATTTTTTATGAATGCTGGGGACGCAGAATTAAAAGGATAGTCTCAAAATATATAGGTCTGGGAAATGTTTAAGGCATACTGCGTCGCTATAAAATGAATTGCACTACTATTTTCACAATTTTATTGATATTTGGTGTCAAATACACATATCTTGGTATATTATTAGTTTCAGAAATATCCCAATTTTAAATTCAAAAATGACCGTTAGCTCCGCACCCTCCGCTCATTTGCGCAGCACCCAATATTTCCCACAGGCTCTGTCTGCATAGGGTGGAACTGAACTCCGTAGAATGGACCAGATATTACAGCTAACAGGGGCGTAGTCAAGATAAATGTAAATGAGCGATACAAAGGGTAAAGAAGGAATACAATTTTCTTTACACTTCATTTTCACAGTTTTTGTTGAAAAATGTCTGCATAAATAAGTATTTTCAGTAAAATCTTGGTTAGGCTGTTGCCTTGCCTGAAACATGTTTGGCTTCTCCCATTGGCAACCATTTGAAGTAACATCGTTCATTGTTTTTTTAGTTAAAATTTATGAGGAATGTGATTCGGAGGAAAACTGTATCCTAAATGCAGCCTGCAAGGCCAGGGGATGCGACGGAAATATTTGCATCTGTAATGTGGGAACAATATCAAACGTTAATAATGATCAATGTTTACAAGGTAAGGTATAGAAAATGGGTGTTATCTCTATCAAATTAGGGAATGAACTGATAAAAGTCTTGCTTGTGCTCCTCCACACCTCATCTCCACAAGGTGGTCGGTGGAGATTAAGAGCCAGGCTGCAAGACTAGAACAATTACATATATTCAGTTTGTCCCTTAAGAAATTTATCAAGGTAAACATTCGGAAGTTTTCCTACTGGCGTCTTAGGCAAGAGAGGTAATAACCCAGAATCTTTACACGGAGTTACGTTCATCTTTAAATACTGGAATGTTGCCTCTCTATGAGCCATTACATTTTGTGCAAATAATACACAAATAATGAGATCATTAGTTTAGAGTTCATAACGTTTAATATCTTATTTTGTGTTTTGGCAGCTCACAAGTGGGAATTTTTAAACTAAACAAATTTATTTATATATCATTCTTTTCAGTTTCTACTATTGGGGGATCATGCAATGACACCATTATGTGTCCCGGGGGTAGGACTGTATGTGTGAACAGTATATGCGAGTGTCAACAGGGCTACATACAAGTGGACGACACACGTTGCAAAGAAGACATCTCAAACTTTAAAGACTACACCTGGTCACTGTTGGGAGAAGATTGTAAAGAAACTGGTGATAACCAAAAAGTAAAAATTTCTGATCCACTCTTCCAAAATTCATGATCAAGGTTAATAATATCGAGGGACAGCTAAATTATTAAGAATAAAACCAGTAAGAAGTATTTTCTTAAAAATTACCTTTATAAATTAACTCCAAATATGTTTAATACAACTAGGTATGTCAAGAGAAAGAACAAGAATGTAAAGATGGGACTTGTCAATGCAAAGATGGTTACAGACCAGCCACTGATGAAGAGAATTCTCTTTCCCCATTCGTTAATATTGAATGTGTTGAAAACGATTATGATCCAAGTAAGAATATTTTACAACTTACTAATGTTATATATTACTTATATATTGCTAAGCACCAAAATGTTCTCCTACCATTCGCAGTAACAGATATAAAAACTATGGATAATAAACTCATGCTTATTTTAAATGTTAGCTTATTTAACCCTGACTTGTGGATAACTCATCCCTGACTTCCAAAGTGATAATAAAAGCTTCATTGGACTTGAATGACTAGTATAGTATTGAAACTTTGTAAATCAAGATGTGGAGAACAATAACAGATCAATTTAATTGATTTCAGGTGTATCAGCTAATGGCGGTAGTTGCCCAAAGCCTGAAGTGTCATCCACTATGCAATCTATTCCATCGATTGAAATGTCATCAACAGCACACATACCCCCAGAAACGTCAATGATAGAGCAAACATCTATTTTACCAAGATTAACCAACTCAATATCGGTACAACCAACAGCAATTGAATCAATGACTGTAGCACCTTCAGCATCTGAATCTCAATCACTATCTGTAACCCCATCATCAGTATCTGACTCTCTATCAATGACTGTAACACTTTCATCTGACTCTCAATCATTATCTGTAACCCCATCATCAGTATCTGACTCTCTATCAATGACTGCAACACCTTCAGCATCTGATTCTCAATCACTATATATAACTCCATCATCAGTATCTAACTCTCTATCAATGACTGCAACACCTTCAGCATCTGATTCTCAATCATTATCTGTAACCCCATCATCAGTATCTGAATCCCTATCAATGGTTGTAACACCTTCACCATCTGATTCTCAATCACTATCTGTAACCCCATCATCAGTATCTGACCCTGTATCAATGACTGTAACACTTTCATCATCTGATTCTCAATCATTATCTGTAACCCCATCATCAGTATCTGACTCTCTATCAACGACTGAAACACCTTCATTATCTGATTCTCAATCATTATCTGTAACCCCATCATCAGTATCTGACTCTCTATCAATGACTGTAACACCCTCATCATCTGATTCTCAATCACTATCTGTAACTCCATCATCTGTATCTGACTCTCTATCAATGAGTGTAACACCTTCAGCATCTGAATCTCAATCACTATCTGTAACCCCATCATCAGTATCTGACTCTCTATCAATGACTGTAACACCCTCAGCATCTGATTCTCAATCACTATTTGTATCTCCATCATCTGTATCTGACTCTCTGTCAATGAGTGTAACACGTTCAGCATCTGATTCTCAATCACTATCTGTAACTCCATCATCTGTATCTGACTCTCTATCAATGAGTGTAACACCTTCAGCATCTGAATCTCAATCATTATCTGTAACCCCATCAACAGTATCTGACTCTCTATCAATGACTGCAACACCTTCATTATCTGATTCTCAATCACTATCTGTAACCCCATCATCAGTATCTGACTCTCTATCAATGACTGTAACACCCTCATCATCTGATTCTCAATCACTATCTGCAACTCCATCATCTGTATCTGACTCTCTATCAATGAGTGTAACACCTTCAGCATCTGAATCTCAATCGCTATCTGTAACCCCATCATCAGTATCTGACTCTCTATCAATGACTGTAACACCCTCAGCATCTGAATCTCAATCACTATCTGTAACCCCATCATCAGTATCTGACTCTCTATCAATGACTGCAACACCTTCATTATCTGATTCTCAATCACTATCTGTAACTCCATCGTCTGTATCTGACTCTCTATCAATGAGTGAAACACCTTCAGCATCTGAATCTCAATCACAATCTATAACCCCATCATCAGTATCTGACTCTCTATCAATGATTGTAACACCTTCAGCATCTGAATCTCAATCACTATCTGTAACCCCATCATCAGTATCTGACTCTCTATCAATGACTGTAGCACCCTCAGCATCTGATTCTCAATCACTATCTGTAACCCCACCATCAGTATCTGACTCTCTATCAATGACTGTAACACCCTCAGCATCTGATTCTCAATCAATATCTGTAACCCCATCATCAGTATCTGACTCTCTATCAATGACTGTAACACCCTCAGCATCTGATTCTCAATCACTATCTGCAACCCCATCATCAGCATCTGACTCTCTATCAATGACCGTAACACGTTCAGCATCTGATTCTCAATCACTATCTGTAACCCCATCGTCAGTATTTGGCTCTCTGTCAATGACTGTAACACCTTCAACATCTGATTCTCAATCACTATCTGTAACCCCATCGTCAGTATTTGGCTCTCTGTCAATGACTGAAACCACTCCAGGATCTGAATCTCAATTATTGTCTGTCACTCCATCATCTGTATCTGACTCTCTATCAATGAGTGTAACACCTTCAGCATCTGAATCTCAATCACAATCTATAACCCCATCATCAGTATCTGACTCTCTATCAATGACTGTAACATCTTCAGCATCTGAATCTCAATCCCAACCTGTAACCCCATCATCAGCATCTGCCTCACTTTCAATGACTGTAACACCCTCATCATCTGATTCTCAATCATTATCTGTAACCCCATCATCAGTATCTGAATCCCTATCAATGGTTGTAACACCTTCACCATCTGATTCTCAATCACTATCTGTAACCCCATCATCAGTATCTGACCCTGTATCAATGACTGTAACACTTTCATCATCTGATTCTCAATCATTATCTGTAACCCCATCATCAGTATCTGACTCTCTATCAACGACTGAAACACCTTCATTATCTGATTCTCAATCATTATCTGTAACCCCATCATCAGTATCTGACTCTCTATCAATGACTGCAACACCTTCATTATCTGATTTTCAATCACTATCTGTAACTCCATCATCTGTATCTGACTCTCTATCAATGAGTGTAACACCTTCAGCATCTGAATCTCAATCACAATCTATAACCCCATCATCAGTATCTGACTCTCTATCAATGACTGTAACACCCTCAGCATCTGATTCTCAATCACTATCTGTAACTCCACCATCTGTATCTGACTTTCTATCAATGAGTGTAACACCTTCAGCATCCGATTCTCAATCACTATCTGTAACCCCATCATCAATATCTGACCAACTATCAATGAGTGTAACAACTTCAGCATCTGAATCTCAATCACTATCTGTAACCCTGTCATCAGTATCTGACTCTAAATCAATGAGTGTAACAGCTTCCGCATCTAATTCCCGGTTATTGTCTGGAACCCCATCATCAGTATTTGACTCTCTATCAATGACTGTAACACCTTTATTATCCGAACCACAATCACAATCTTTAACCCCATCATCAGTATCCGACTCTCTATCAATGACTGCAACAATGTCATCATCGGAATCTCAATCACTCTCAGTAATCCCGTCATCAGTATCTGACTCTCTATCAATGACTCTAACACCTACAACATCTGATTCTCAATTGTTTTCTTTAACTCCATCATCTGAAGCTGAATCTATGTCAATGACTGTAACACCTTCAGCATCTGATCCTTTATCATTATCTTTAACTCTATTATCAACATCTATTTCCCAATTATCAACATCTGTGTCACCATTATCATCATCTGTATCCTCAGCATCATCAGATGTATCCCCATCGTCAACAGCTTTATCCCAATCATCAACATTATTATCCCCATCACTAACATCTTCATCCCAATCACCATCATCTGTATCCCCATTGTCAACATCTACATCGCCATTATCATCATCTGTATTCTCATCATCATCAGGTGTATCCCCATCATCAACATCTATATCCCCAAAATCGACATCTTCATCACCATCGTCTGTATCCTCATTGTCAACAGCTGTATCCCCATCATCGACAATAGCTCCAATTGACAATAGTGTTTCAGATGAAGCTGCCCTTAATAAAGTTCAGTTCCTCACTGGTGAGTTCTATTATGTTAATAACTCAGATGCGAGTAGGCAGTTTCACGAACGGGTGGCTCATTCGGGTCAGGTAGCATGGCGGGTATTGTAGAAAGTTCCCTTTAACTTAAATTTTCATTAGTTTTTAGTGGTTCAATTTTCATATCACCCTTATTAGTCTGGCAGAAACTTCAAAGCTAATCGTTTTTTTCGGATTACAATGTTTTTTTAACTTATCAGCATGAATATAGGGTTGGGACCTCAAAACCATTGGATGCCGGAGCGGCACCCTTGGGCAACTCTCTACAGAGCATTTCTTATACCCCCCTGATAAAATATACAGGGGGTACTATAAGACACCTTCATATCTCAGACACTAATAAATATATTAACTTGAAATTTTCAGGAATTGGTTTTAGTATGATGCTTGACACATGTGACAAAAATCAAGAAAAAATCTTAGTCCGTTGCTATAGCAACAGAAATAGACACTATTTGTTACCGTAGAAATGCATTATTTTGCTGATTTTCATAATTTTCTTCATATTCTTGATTCTTAAAGCATCTGTTATATACATGATTAGAAGTTAAGATGAAATAATTCATCATATGGTTTATGCAATATATCTAGCATTTCAGTTGCTATGGTAACATCAATTAATAATCAAGTTTTTACATTTCACTCTCTTTAAAAAGGTGGTCCAAAATAACACTTCTTGAAAAGGTTATGCTCCCTAGGTAAAAAAGTGCTGCTTTAGAGATAAATAGTCACATGAATTTGAAAAGAAAATTATAATTTAATTTTACCCCACCTCGACAGCCACCAAATCTAGCAAAATAGATTAATTTTCAAGGTTCAAATAAAAAAAATGCCCCCAGTGGCCCCCAGAAGCTATACCATGGACCCCAGTGGCCCCAGAAGCTATACAGGGGCCCCCAGTAGCCCCAAGATGCTATAAGGTGGCCCCCAGAAACTATACAGGGACCCCTAGTAGCCCCCAGAAGCTATATGGTAGCCCCCAGAAGCTATACAGGGGCTCCAAATGGCCCCTAGAAGCTATATAGTGACTTCCAGAAGCTATACAGGGGCCCCCAGTAGCCTCCAGAATCTATACAGTGGCCCCTAGTGCCCTCTTAAAGCTATACGGTGGCCCCGGAAAGCTATATGGTGGCCCCCAGAAGCATATCCAGCAGCCCCTAGTAGCCCCCAGAAGCTATATGGTGATCCCCAGTGGCTCCAAGAAGCTATATGGTAGGCCCCAGAAGCTATATGATGGCACCCAGAAGCTATACGGTGGCCCCAAGTAGCCGCCAGAAGCTATAGGATGGCATCCAGTGGCCCCCAGAAGCTATATTGTAGCCCCCAGAAGCTGTACGGTGGCCCCCAATGGCCCCAAGAAACTATACAGGGGCCCCCAGAAGCTATACGGTGGCTCCCAAAAACTATATGGTGGCCCCCCAGTGTCTCCAAGAAGCTAAACAGGAGCCCCCAGAAGCTATATGGTAGCCCCCGGAAGCTATACAGGGGCTCCTAATGGCCCCTAGAAGGTATATGGTGACTTCCAGAAGCTATACAGGGGCCCCCAGTAGCCCCCAGAATATATACAGTGGCCCCTAAGCCCCCTTAAAGCTATATGGTGGCCCCCAGAAGCATATCCAGCAGCCCCTAGTAGCCCCCAGAAGCTATATGGTGGTCCCCTGTGGCTCCAAGAAGCTTTACAGTGGCCCCCAAAAGCTATACAGGGGCCCCTAGTGGCCCCAAGAAGCTATATGGTAGGCCCAAGAAGCTATATGATGGCACCCAGAAGCTATACGGTGGCCCCCAGTAGCCGCCAGAAGCTATAGGATGGCATCCAGTGGCCCCCAGAAACTATATGGTAGCCCCCAGAAGCTGTACGGCGGCCCCCAATGGCCCCAAGAAACTATATAGGGGCCCCCAGAAGCTATACGGTGGCTCCAAAAATCTATATGGTGACCCCAAGTGTCCCCAAGAAGCTATACAGGGGCCCCTAGTGGCCCCAAGAAGCTATACAGGGGCCCCTAGTGGCCCAAAAAAGCTATATGGTGGCCTTAGAAGCTATAAAGGGGCCCCCAGAAACCATACGAGGGCCCCCAGTGGCCCCCAGAAGTAAGCCCAAATTTTTACTGACAAAAAATTCACGATGTTGTCAATCTGAAATGTTTCATGGCCATTAAATTTCACTGTTAGAGAAATATCCAATTGAATTCAATGTTAAATCAAATATTCACAGTGCCTTTAAAAGCTATACGATGGTCCCAGTGCCCCCCCCCCCCAGAAGCTATACAGGGCCCCCCAGTAGTCTGATTGCTCAGATGAGGAAGCCAATGCTTATAAAATTTTGACATTATGCCAAAATCTAGACTATGCCAACCTCTCTATTGTATAATTACATTAGATTTTATTATGATGCATGTTCTAAATGCCAAGGTCTAGGCTATATGCCAACCTCACTACTGTATGAATTCATTAGATTTCATTTGATATACATGTATATACTAAATATAAAATATGCAGTGTCCTATATACCAGTGTAATACTATATACTAGTTTAAGAATCAACTATACGAAGAAATGTTGAAAATCAGCAAAATAATGCATCTCTACGGTAACAAATAGTGTTCTGTTACTGTTGCTATAGCAACGGATTAAGATTTTTTCTTGATTTTTGTCATACATGTCAAGCATCATACTAAAACTAATTCCTGAAAATCTCAAGTTAATATATTTATCAGTATCTGAGATATGAGGGTGTCTTATAGTACCCCCTGTATATTTTATCAGGGGGGTATAAGAAATGCTCTGTAGAGAGTTGCCCAAGGGTGCCGCACCGGCATCCGGTGGTTTTGAGGTCCCAATCCTATATTCATGTTGATAAGTTAAAAAAACATTGTAATCCAAAGAAAACGATTGAATGTCAAAATACCCTATATTTCTGCCAGACTATATGTATCTAACAGTTATGCAAACTATAAAATGTGTCCAGTGAAAGAAAATATCATCTGTCCAATGCAAGAAAAGATATTTCACTTTTTGTGATTTTATAACATGGGGTCTCTGGGGAATTTCACCGAACTAGAAGTCACATTTAAACTGAATTTTGAAAAAATTAAAACATGGGCTTTTTAGGCCTTAAATTTTCAAAATGTGGGCCCGATTTTGGGTTTAAGAGGCCCAAGCTTGGAATTTTTTAAAGTAATCCAGGCAATATTAGTAAGTACTGAGGTAGTAAACACTACTAACCAGGTTCATTTGTATCTGTAGTTCTACAAAAACGCTACATAACTTTTAAGTAAGATGTTCCGTCCTTTGATTTTATTCATCATATTTTACAGATGGCTCGTTGCTTCCTGTTGCGTTTGCTGGCGTATTGGCTTTGACTGCCGTGGCGTTAATAGGAGCATCTATCATACATAAAAAGAGGTATGTAAATGGAAGTAAAAGAATATAAAGTGTAAAGTGTTTGGAAGCAATGTTTTCAAAAAGTATGGCAATGTTTTCCTTACAATAGTTTTTATAATTGAGGTATTTGATTAGAAATAGGGGATATCGAAGATTCACGACGCATAAATCTTTTGTATCATGACAATTGAAAAGGGACAACGCAGTTCGGGACGCAGTTCCATTGGTAGAGATTGCATGATGTCAAGTACACATTTGATTTCAAATATTGGGCCTCTAACTAAATAATCCGCTGCATGTTTCAGAACTAGCAATGATGGAACAAGGGAAGAACTTAGTGCGGAACAAGATATGCCATCTTTTAGAAGCCCCATAATCACAAATAATCCTGATACTTGGCAGCCCTAACACAATGGTAGTGTAAATTCAAAGCTATTTATATGCTCTTTCTACAATTAGCATGGGAAGATGACGTCTTGACAGATCTAGACTCGGTGATGCGTAATGAAGTGCAACGCTTGGACGTGTTAATGCCGTTGTGTCTTTAAACTGTTCGGGGAATTTTAATGCAAAGTATGGACACTTATTCAACTCCTAATCTTTACATGTTGTATTGTAGAATTCATTGACTAGTCTAGTACATCAGCAATGTAGATTTCTGTCGAGTAAAGGACGATTACTTGGAACGAAAAATATCGACAAACAGAATAGATCGAAGTATCCGTTAATAAGTGTCCCGCAACACTCAAGTGTCAAGCCAAGGCGTTCACCTTCTACTGAGTCGTACACGATCAGGGGTGGATCTGTGAATCCAAAATTGAGAAGGGGTCGAAAATGAAGTCAGGCCTCTCGATCCTCATTTCAGATTTGTACCTAATGATGATACAAATTATATTATAAATATTATGAACAAATCTCGTTTATAAGAATCATTTACATAACTAGTGTCCTGGGATTGAGTAGCAGAAATTTACCTGACAAAAAACTGTAATCAAGATAGTTTTGCCATGTAAAATATTGTTGGCGCTGTGAACATCCATCAAATAATATACCACATTTTAATTAAATATCCAGAATAAAGACAATATGTATTGTGTGTATGTGTATGTATATATTTATTGCCCTTTATATAAAGGAGATACATGTATACAAATTATGTAAATGTTAAATTAAAAATAATCACTATTTACAAACAAACAATATTGCTGTTTTTGACTGACGACGACGCCTAGCTACCGCGTAGACGCACGCCGCCGACCAAAATTGGCCTAGCACCTAATTGTAACGCAATTATAAAAAATGACTATATTTTACAAACATTCATTGTTTTGTTGTTGTTTTTGTACTGACGACGACGCCTAGCTACCGCGTAGACGCACGCCGTAGGCCTAGATAGACCTGTTACCTAACACTCTTGAGATTAATAAATAATGACATTATGGATCTGCATTTTCTATAAAGATAAAAAGGAAGACATAGCGTATCATCATACCTTCCCCAAAGTCGGTACTGTATGAAAGTATGAGATGCTTTCAATATCTTGTAAGTTAGTAAAAGAAATATACAATTTTTGTAAATTGAAGAAAGGTGGTGTTGCCCTATGGTGCAATTCTAAATTATTGTGTATAGTAAGTGTACATAAATATAAATACAAATATGCGAGTAATACTAAAATGTATTTATAGCTGCTTAGGAGATATAATCGTTTGTTGCAAATACGTCAGGCTGCCGCGTTGACGTTGCAACTACCAATCAAGAAAAAACAAACATAAAGCTTTGCTTATTATTGTACCTTCCCCAAGGTCGGTACACTCAGAATAAATACATATTGCATATTACCCCCTGGTCGGCCCATGTTCCTCCCTTGAGGGCCACCCTTTCCCGCTGATAAAGTTACATTAAGTTTGTAAGCCTGTCAAGTACCGTTGACGACACAAATATTGTTGCATAACTATATATGCCATATCTTTTAAAAATACAAGTAGTTGTTCGTTTGTAAAGTGCAACTCTTCAATTCCTATGCCAAGAATGTTTTTAGTGTTCATTTGTGTTACAATTGTAAATATTAGACAATAAGTTTCGAACAGTTATATATATACAATGTGGATGTGCTGAGACCCGTGGAATTCAATATTTACCAAAGCTTGCTGACCCGTATATGAATGAGTGAATGAATGAGTGCAATGGCAAATGCATAACTTCTCTCGATCTATATCACTTTATTCAGACTGTGCTATACGAAAACAAGCGGTGTGGATATCATGTGCGCAAGGTGCGGAAATTAAAAGCAGAATCAGATCTTTGTTGGTGATCTATCTTTCAATACAAATTATATTTGCATTTTGAAAGTTGAAAGATTTCTGTGTGATTCTATACATAATGGGAAACATTAAACAAAAATGTGCTACCTCTAATTAAGCAGTGCGGGTATCCACGAATATCCGTAAAGTGACGGATATCCACAACGCTTGTTTACCCCCCTATCACACCAAACTAGTTCTTACCCGTTCTTGCCAGTCCTACGAAAATATCGTAAAACGGGCTCAATCTGACTGCGGTCGGGATATATGTCTAAAATAATTAGCTACTTCGTTCATAAACAGTCTTCAATACGTCCATCTCATTCGCAGTTCGTTCAGTCGCACCAGGTCGGTGTGCAACGTAGTATAAACCGTCCCTTAGTCTAGAAGGTCATCGTGACCTGATAACAGAACGGTATGGTCGCCATCGAATTTTGAATCGATTCAAAATTCTAAATCACATACCCCGTCCGGGAGAGTCAATGAAGTTCGTAAAGGCCCGGTCACACCGCCCGGACGTTGCTGGAGCGTTCCTTGAACGTTGAAAAAATTCATCAACGCTCGTCAACGCGCACAAAATGGGGAAAAAAACAAAAACACGGGCGTTGGCATAGCGGTGCACCGCTGAAGCCGGCGTTGCTTCGGCGTTGGTTAAGCGGTTGCGAGCGGTAGCTAGCGTTTGTTTAGCGGTAATGCGAGCGTTGGTATAGCGGCGTTCTGCGCATGAGAGCGTTGCCTCGGCGTGGGTATAAATAGCAGCAGCGTTGGTTTAGCAGCATGTCGCGTTTGACTACTGGGAAATTATTTCAAGTGGGAAGTGTTTAAGAGTAAAGACCTTTATTGGAATTTGTAACTTTAACAAAAGTCCTTCAAGGATTAAAGAAGAAATGTTTTAAATGTAAAGTGCTTCTATTAATGTAATATGACATTAAGAATGAATAACATTACAATTTTCTTTAATAATCTCTCATATCATTTCAAACGAACATATCACAATTTAATCGTTGCATTTCCATTACTTGGAACCGATTTACGTTCAAATTGCTTTAACAATGTCAAATAACATTTACAGCAAAGTTATAATCATGACGCATGACAAATTTTTGCATTGCTGTGCGCGCATCAACTTTTTGTATAATACCATGACGAGTGCAACATTTTACAAGCTGCGCAGAAAATTCACAGATAATTTATTGAATTGCTTGACGTGAAAACACTAGGTATATACTATATTTGAATAAAGGTCACAAACTTTGAGCGCTTAATTTAGGAATTTACAATGCAAAAAATTGAAATGCCAGACATGAATATATATCAAATGTAAAATGCACAAGTGTCTCCACAGTGTTCTACACAGTGGTGCATTTCTCCACGTATTTATGGCCAAATTCTGGTCCCGCTCCGACACCTCTATACCAACGCCAAAGCAAAGTTCATCGCCGCCATGGAACGCTGCGACAACGTCCGACACCGTTCCAACAACCCCATGTACGCTGATAAAACGCTAACAACCGCTCCACCGACGTTTGTGCAACGTTTAATCGCCGCCCGGGCAACGCTGGCGAAGCAGCGGTGGTCCAGCGTTTAAGATTTCTGCGTTGGTCTAGCGGATTCAAGCGTGTACGAACTTGCGTCCAGCGGTGCCAAACTTTGACTGGGCGTTGGTGGAGCGGTGATAAACTTTGCCAGGGCGTACAATTGTCCCTTTTTCAACGCTCGCAATATTTTGAGCAGCTCAAACTTTTGGAGCGTTAGGATGGCCACTCGAGAAACATCCGCGTTGGCCGAGCGTTTACAGCGTTGCTTTAACGGATGCCAACTTTTGTTAAACGGTGGTGAACGTTTACGAGCGTTGATGATTTTTTTCAACGTTCAAGGAACGCTCCAGCAACGTCCGGGCGGTGTGACCGGGCCTTTAACAGACCGTTGAACGTTGTAGCTGCGTTCATTCAGTTCGCACACAGTTTAAAACCGATTCGGCAACGTTTTGACGATCACCAGAATTTTTTTAGCATGCTCTAAGTTCTGGAGGACCTACTCGTTCTAGTAGTTTCATGAAGTTTGTAAACAGATCCCAAACGGTTCTTAGTGAGTTCTTAGTACGTCAAATCAGTTCATGCACAGTTTAAGCCCGTTTTCGAGAACGTAGTGAGAACTAGTTTGGTGTGATAGTAGGGTTAGAAGTAGCACTTATCAGATAAATGTTTCCAATTTTTTAAAAATTCATACAGAAAGTTTATGACTTTCAAAATGCAAAATTAATTAATATATTGATTGGTCATCTCGATCACCAATACTGAATGAAGGCTGTGAACTGTAATAAAGCAGCAATTTCAAATTCTGTGATATGGAGCAAGGACGATCTTTGCTTATTGCGTCTTTAAAGAATGAAGAATAGAACTGTAGACAAGATTTCTCTTTTATTAGATCTCCTATACAAATGCATGATTATAATTGAGTACCCAACATGCCTTCGTGTATGAAATATCACAACTTCAAATTCAAAAATGACCGTTAATATCCGCACCAAGGAATATGTAAATACTCAAAATTTAAAGTTTTCTGAACAAGAAAGGATGAGTCTGGGAATGAGTCTGGGTATCGACTTAGAAAATATTGAAAATTTTAATGTCTGAAAAACCAACTCAATCACACATATTATTTAACTTCAATATCTTATCCTTCTTCTGAGATTACAAAAATATCAATTTGTATCACAATTGATGAAGAATATTAGCATCAAAGACAGTGCATATCACTTTGTCTGAATTGAAAAAATCAATGGCAAATATTAAAAGAATTATTTATACAAAAATTTGAAACATATCCTCCGAAACATTGCTTACTTTCTTTGTATAGACATTGAATGGTATTTCTGGATAAGTGAATTGTTGTTTATCTGGGTAATCAAGGGGTTATAGTCAGTCAAAGCTACTGAGCATCCAGTTTTGAGACTTCAATTGTGTTGGTGAAGATACACATATTTCATTCATATCCATGCTGAGCACAACATTTTGGTTTCAATTTTATAATCCCTATACATGACCCTGGTGATGCAGAGTCAGAATCAGTCATAAAACCTAAACCGGAAAACTGTGCTCATTGTGAAAACTAAAAGTGAAGCAACTTTTTTTCTGATATTTCTTATATCAAATGGCAGCCATTTGTACTGAAATTGATACTGATATCATAATAATGATTAGCATAGTATACATGCGTATAGCTAGTCGGAAATCGTCGGCTTTTGAACAAAGGCTGGGCGGGCTATTGAATGCTCTGCGCAAGCTTGACCACAGATAAGTGGTCATGATATTCTGGATAATTTTAGTCTAATTTAATACATTTATTGGTTTTAAAAATTATGTTTTTATTACATTTGAAGAGATTTTTGGGATGTCATTTAAAAAAATACTTGTACTACTATTTTAGATATTCAGAATAACTTTTATGTTGCTGAACCATTTTCAATAGTTCCAATTCCAATTTTCGAGAATCATGTTTCTCAAACATGAGACAATGTGTTGTTTATTTGGGATCTCGCCATTCTTTGTTTTAATTGTTACACCTCGTGTTTCAGTTGTGTAAATATTGCATATGGGTGGACCTTATTCGAATAAAGTAGTCATCGTTTTTCAAAGAAAATAAATGCCAGAGCTTGAGAGGCTGTAACATGTTGAAGCGGTCCTCTTATTGAAACATGTATTCTAATATTGATTTACATATGACCAAGTGATGTGTAATTGTTCTTTATGACATTTTGAAGTGCTCAATGTGTACTGGACAATCACTTAAGTCAACAATACGTAAAACGTAAGTTTATCCTAAAAGAAAATATCATTTCAGGAACTCGAGATATATTTCTGATAATTTCTTATTGGATAGATAAATGATTTTATAGGAGAGGTAAATATACATTTACATTTATCTATTTAAAAAAACAAATACATTAGTTGTTTGTTGTGGGATAGTCTAATATAACCGAAGAGATCTGAAATAATTTGACTCGATTAAAGATGTTTATTCCTGAGAATATCAATGAAAATGCTATGTTGGTTCAATTTTCTTCGTCTTTTTAATGTAACACTTTAAAACGCTTTGAACACTTTGAAATGTTATAATTTGTCAAAGTTTTAGATTCGTTCATACTTTGCCATGCAGTGTGTAAATTTTGTAAAAGTTTCGACATTCTAGTATCGCTCCATAATCATGATGTCAAGGACTAACGTAAAAAACTAGGTCAAAAGCATTGGTCGTTGTTTTGACATTAAAGCACAGTTTTAAAGAAACTAAACTTTCAGATGGAGCAGGTGAAATGGAAAATATATATGGTCTCCATGTTGTGTGTATTTGCCTTAACTCAAGATGTTGGTGAGTACACTCTGGGGTAGCAGTCTGTAATGATCTACACCCCTCTCAATAAGAAAAAATGTATTTTACCCACAATTTTGGAAAATATGTGACACTATCTTATACTTCATTATATTGGGTAGGTAATGACTCTTGATTCATCTGCGGGTGGCAATGTAATTGTAACATTGGAAATTTATTTGCAACGTGACTTAATAAACAGAAATAAAAAAAAGTTTGGCAACTTGAAGTTCTTAACATTTGGCCCAATGTAAGACTAAAAAAACTATTGCAGGGTTGACGAGAGGTGCAAAATTATTAATTGTCATTCAGTTATTTCATCTTGGTATTTTTATCACTCTCGTGAAGCCATGCCTTAAGACTATGGACTTTATAGACTATATATGATAATGAAACAAAAAACAAGTCGAGGAAACTCGAACCTTGGGTGTCAGGGTCTAATGCAAGGCTCTGAATTGGAGAAATAAATATACAATTTTTCATCAGATAAGATCTTCGTGACCCCAAAAGAACCTATTACTCCATTACTGAGAGTTTTAATAGAAACGATGGTCAGGCATTTATTAAAACATAAAATTAAAAATTCACAGTATTGTGATTGGTTAGGCTAAATGATTATCTTAAAGAATGGAGATGGGACTCTCTCTTGAGGAAGCGAACTCAAAATATTGGGTAGGTAATGACCCTTGATTCACCTATAATTTCATATCCGCCACGGTCACTGTCTTCATCTTTTGATATTGTTGTAGGAGCTGCCAATGTAGAAGGAAATTGTACGTCTACACGCGACTGCCCAACAAATGCCCAGTGCATTGCAAGAGGGTGTGACGGAAGTGTTTGTGTGTGTAATATTAGATTTTTACCATCGGCGAACAGTTCAGCCTGTGAAGAAGGTAAACGTTGTCATTATTCTGAATTTACACAGGTGGTTAGTTGACGTTTTTGTGTTTTCCTTTTACCATTTTTAAAATTTGAATACTTAGAGCGATTTTAAACTGGATCGTATTCATAGTTTTCTCTTTCTTCGTTGTTCCGTAGAATACAGTAATGAATATGTGTGATTTTGTAGTTCAAGTTGTCAGTTGTTAAGGTAATCAAAGAATTATGTAGTGAAATTATTTTTTTCAGTTGCCGCGCTGGGTGAGTCTTGTATTGGTAAGCAGTGCCTATCAGCGAACTCCCATTGCAGTTCAACTGACAACGTTTGCACTTGTGATGAAGGATATGAACTGTCATACGATGAAGAGAAATGTCGAAGGGAACCATCTGCGGGTGGAATATCTTACCGTCTTCTTAATGAACCTTGTGACGATAGCTCGTTTGAAGTTTGTTCTGGACTTTTCCAAGATTGTATATCAGGAACGTGTAAATGCAATGAGGGATACAGAGAAGCTACAACTGCAGACATTTATTTAGAACCGTCCAATAAATTTGAGTGTCGCCGAGATGTTGTTTTAGGTAAGTTGCCTGTCACACAAACAAACATTCTTCTGAACACCAAGAATAACCTTTCTTCTACACTCCCCTCCATAAGTTTGGCAACCTTTTTTCCCCATTGGACTACGTGTTAACGCCTCTTTACATTTGAATTTTTATTTACTTAACCGGCGATGAAATACCTTATACTATTGATGGAAACGTAAAGTTGACTTTATTTCCAATACCTCCAAATTTTCTCAATTTTTTTCCTCAATTACAATAGGTCGAAAATTGATGATAAATTTGATGAATTTTTGAAAATCGTCATTCCCATGTAATCCAGTGGGAAATGGAGGGTTCGGGGCAAATCAGAAATCAGGATATCTTTTCAGTGAAAGATTCAGCAAAAAATATATTTGTCTAGCTTTATGAACACTAAGTGTTTAGTTTATTTGATGAATATTAAAGTTACAGCGCTTCAAAGTCATTTTAGAAAATAATTTTTCGCCTCCTGTGTTATTTCAATGGGAGAGGTTTTTTGAAAAACAATTTTGACTTTAAAGCCTTATAACTTTGTTGAACCTGAAGAAACATATCAATTTTTTGTTAAATAAAGTTAGCAAATTCAATTGCCTGCCTAACTCGTATTTTTTGAAAAGACTCGGATGGATGGATATTCTGTCATATCATATGAGTTGCGGCAAACCTACCATTTCCCATTGGTTAACATGGGAATGTCGATTTTCAAAAATTCATCAAATTTATCATCAATTTTCGACCTATTGTAATTGAGGGAAAAAATTGAGAAAATTTGGAGGTATTGGAATTAAAGTCAAATTACGTTTCCATCAATAGTATAAGTATTTTCATCGCCGGTTAAGTAAATAAAAATTCAAAGGTAAAGAGGCTTTAACACGTAGTTCAATGGGGGAAAAAAGTTTGCCAAACTTATGGAGGGGAGTGTATGCACATTATTACTAGTTGAGGCGGAGAACTACATTTCAAGTAGGAAATGCCATATGATTTTGACAAAAGCAATATTATGTTCATGAATCAACAAAAATGAGTAATACGTCATCCTATTCTCATCTAAAATATTTGTGTCACCAACCTCAAGCATTACTTAACCCTACTATCACACCAAACTAGTTCTCACTACGTTCTCGAAAACGGGCTTCAACTGTGTACGAACGGACTGGACGTATTAAGAACCGTTTGGGATCTATTTACAAACTTCATCGAACGTACTCGAACGGGTAGGTCCTCTAGAACTTAGACAATGCTCAAAATGTTCTCGTGGTCGTCACGTTCTACAACTAGAACGAGTGACAACGTACTAACGACGAACTGGACGTACTACGAACGGAACCGTCGTACTTCAATCCTACTAGGGACGTTTTAACAACGAGTTGAACTGTCTGAGGACGTGTTGAGAACGAGGTAGAACTCATTGCAAACGGGTTTAAACTGATTAAGAACGTATTTAACACTGCTTATGAACGAGTTAGCAAAAATATAGCTATCACACCAAACAAGTTGCCACTGCGTTCTTCAAAACTGGTTTTAAACTGTGTGCGAACGGAATGAATGTAGCTGCAACTTTCTAAGGTCTATTTACGAACTTTATGAACGTTCTCAGACGGGAATGTGATTTTAGAATTTTGAATCGATTCAAAATTCGATTGCGACCATAACGTTCTGTTATCAGGTCATGATGACCTTCTAGACTAAGGGACGCGTTCTACGGCGTTGCACACCGACGTGGTGCGACCTGAACGAACTGCGAACGAGATGGACGTATTGAAGACTGTTTAAGAACGAAGAAGCTAATTATTTCAGACATATTTCCCGACCACAGCCAGATTGAGCCCGTTTTACGACGTTTTCGTAGGACTGGCAAGAACGGGTAAGAACGAGTTTGGTGTGATAGGGGGGTAAGTTAATAATAACAGGGTTCTATCATGAATAATGCTACAAGCCACATCCTCATGAAGCCATCTCAATTTTAAAATAATCTCTGGTTGAAGTTTGCGTAAGAGAACATTTGCAATCTATTCTGGTATTTATGTTGATATTTGAATTCACAATGATCAGTGTACGGTGTCTTGTTAAACTACATCGCTCGCGTAATTTCGCGTAATTTTCTCCAATAGGAACGACTGTTATGTAACGTTTTTATCAATCAATGAAAGAACTCTATCTCAGCATAACTACAGTAAAAACTTAAACGAACCCTTCTAAAATGAACCTTTGTAGGTGGAACACCTCCCTAGTGGACCAGTATTTTGAGGGACCAATTGGTTTCCCTGATACTTATTTATTGTTTCCTTTTTTAGTGAATAATACTGAGATATCCTGTCCGACGCCACCGCCCCTGGGTACGTATGACTTCAAATGATAGCACAATCAAAAAATATTAATTACTACGAACTTATTTAAAAGGTTTGATGATTAATTTCTGTTCCGTTGCTATATTTTCTTATGTCGTGTTGTGTTGTGTTCATTCGTAAATGTTATGCTGTGGTGTGTTATAAGGCGAAGCTAGTCTTTTGTTATGTTGTGATGTGTTATGAAGCTAGTCTTGTGTTATGTTGTGCTGTGTTGTGAAGAGAAGCTAGTCTTGTGTTATGTTGTGATGTGTTATGAAGCGAAGTCTTGTGTTATGTTGTGCTGTGTTGTGAAGCGAAGCTAGTCTTGTGTTATGTTGTGCTGTGTTATGAATTGAAGCTAGTCTATTGTGTTATGTTGTGCTGTGTTGTGAAGCAAAGCTAGTCTTGTGTTATGTTGTGCTGTGTCGTGAAGAGAAGCTAGTCTTGTGTTCTGTTGTGATGTGTTATGAAGCGAAGTCTTGTGTTATGTTGTGCTGTGTTATGAAGCTAGTCTTGTGTTATGTTGTGATGTGTTATGAAGCGAAGTCTTGTGTTATGTTGTGCTGTGTTGTGAAGAGAAGCTAGTCTTGTGTTCTGTTGTGATGTGTTATGAAGCGAAGTCTTGTGTTATGTTGTGATGTGTTATGAAGCGAGGTCTTGTGTTATGTTGTGCTGTGTTGTGAAGAGAAGATAGTCTTGTGTTCTGTTGTGATGTGTTATGAAGCGAAGTCTTGTGTTATGTTGTGATGTGTTATGAAGCGAGGTCTTGTGTTATGTTGTGCTGTGTTATGAAGCGAAGTCTTGTCTTATGTTGTGATGTGTTATGAAGCGAGGTCTTGTGTTATGTTGTGCTGTGTTGTGAAGAGAAGCTAGTCTTGTGTTCTGTTGTGCTGTGTTATGAAGCGAAGTCTTTTGTTATGTTGTGATGTGTTATGAAGCTAGTCTTGTGTTATGGTGTGCTGTGTTGTGAAGAGTAGCTAGTCTTGTGTTATGTTATGTTGTGCTGTGTTATGAATTGAAGTCTTGTGTTATGTTGGGCTGTGTTGTGAAGATAAGCTAGTCTTGTGTTATGTTGTGATGTGTTATGAAGCTAGTCTTGTGTTATGTTGTGCTGTGTTATGAAGCAATGTCTTGTGTTATATTGTGCTGTGTTGTGAAGAGGAGCTAGTCTTGTGTTATGCTGTCCTGTGTTGTGAAGAGAAGATAGTCTTGTGTTATGCTGTGGTGTGTTATGAAGTGAGGTTTTGTGTTATGTTGTGCTGTGTTGTGAAGAGTAGCTAGTCTTGTGTTATGTTATGTTGTGCTGTGTTATGAATTGAAGTCTTGTGTTATGTTGGGCTGTGTTGTGAAGATAAGCTAGTCTTGTGTTATGTTGTGATGTGTTATGAAGCTAGTCTTGTGTTATGTTGTGCTGTGTTATGAAGCAATGTCTTGTGTTATATTGTGCTGTGTTGTGAAGAGAAGCTAGTCTTGTGTTATGTTGTGCTGTGTTATGAAGCGAAGCTAGTCTTGTGTTATGTTGTGCTGTGTTATGAATTGAAGTCTTGTGTTATGTTGTGCTGTGTTGTGAAGAGAAGCTAGTCTTGTGTTATGTTATGATGTGTTATGAAGCTAGTCTTGTGTTATGTTGTGCTGTGTTATGAAGCGACGTCTTGTGTTATGTTATACTGTGTTGTGAAGAGAAGCTAGCATTGTGTTATGTTGTGCTGTGTTGTGAAGACAAGCTAGTCTTGTGTTATGTTGTGCTGTGTTGTGAAGCAAAGCTAGTCTTGTGTTATGTTGTGCTGTGTCGTGAAGAGAAGCTAGTCTTGTGTTATGTTGTGATGTGTTATGAAGCGAAGTCTTGTGTTATGTTGTGCTGTGTTGTGAAGAGAAGCTAGTCTTGTGTTCTGTTGTGCTGTGTTATGAAGCGAAGTCTTGTGTTCTGTTGTGCTGTGTTGTGAAGAGAAGCTAGTCTTGTGTTCTGTTGTGCTGTGTTATGAAGCGAAGTCTTTTGTTATGTTGTGATGTGTTATGAAGCTAGTCTTGTGTTATGTTGTGATGTGTTATGAAGCTAGTCTTGTGTTATGTTGTGCTGTGTTGTGAAGAGTAGCTAGTCTTGTGTTATGTTATGTTGTGCTGTGTTATGAATTGAAGTCTTGTGTTATGTTGGGCTGTTTTGTGAAGATAAGCTAGTCTTGTGTTATGTTGTGATGTGTTATGAAGCTAGTCTTGTGTTATGTTGTGCTGTGTTATGAAGCAATGTCTTGTGTTATATTGTGCTGTGTTGTGAAGAGGAGCTAGTCTTGTGTTATGCTGTGCTGTGTTGTGAAGAGAAGATAGTCTTGTGTTATGCTGTGGTGTGTTATGAAGTGAGGTTTTGTGTTATGTTGTGCTGTGTTATGAATTGAAGTCTTGTGTTATGTTGGGCTGTGTTGTGAAGATAAGCTAGTCTCGTGTTATGTTGTGATGTGTTATGAAGCTAGTCTTGTGTTATGTTGTGCTGTGTTATGAAGCAATGTCTTGTGTTATATTGTGCTGTGTTGTGAAGAGAAGCTAGTCTTGTGTTCTGTTGTGCTGTGTTGTGAAGAGAAGCTAGTCTTGTGTTATGCTGTGGTGTGTTATGAAGCGAGGTTTTGTGTTATGTTGTGCTGTGTTATGAAGCGAAGTCTTGTGTTATGTTGTGCTGTGTTATGAAGCGAAGCTAGTCTTGTGTTATGTTGTGCTGTGTTATGAATTGAAGTCTTGTGTTATGTTGTGCTGTGTTATGAAGCAATGTCTTGTGTTATATTGTGCTGTGTTGTGAAGAGAAGCTAGTCTTGTGTTATGTTATGATGTGTTATGAAGCTAGTCTTGTGTTATGTTGTGCTGTGTTATGAAGCGACGTCTTGTGTTATGTTATACTGTGTTGTGAAGAGAAGCTAGTATTGTGTTATGTTGTGCTGTGTTGTGAAGACAAGCTAGTCTTGTGTTATGTTGTGCTGTGTTGTGAAGCGAAGCTAGTCTTGTGTTATGTTGTGCTGTGTTGTGAAGCGAATCTAGTCTTGTGTTATGTTGTGCTGTGTTGTGCCGTGAAGCGAAGCTAGTCTTGTGTTATGTTGTGCTGTGTTATGAATTGAATTCCTGTGTTACGTTGTGCTGTGTTGTGAAGCGATGCTAGTCTTGTGTTATGTTGTGCTGTGTTGTGAAGCGAAGCTAGTCTTGTGTTATGTTGTGCTGTGTTATGAATTGAAGCTAGTCTTGTGTTATGTTGTGCTGTGTTGTGAAGAGAAGCTAGTCTTGTCTTATTTTGTGATGTGTTATGAAGCGAAGTCGTGTGTTATGTTGTGCTGTGTTATGAATTGAAGCTAGTCTTGTGTTATGTTGTGCTGTGTTATGAATTGAAGCAAATCTTGTGTTATGTTGTGATGTGTTATGAAGAGAAGCTAGTCTTGTGTTATGTTGTGATGTGTTATGAAGCTAGTCTTGTGTTATGTTGTGCTGTGTAATGAAGCGACGTCTTGTGTTATGTTATACTGTGTTGTGAAGAGAAGCTAGTATTGTGTTATGTTGTGCTGTGTTGTGAAGACAAGCTAGTCTTGTGTTACGTTGTGCTGTGTTGTGAAGCGATGCTAGTCTTGTGTTATGTTGTGCTGTGTTGTGAAGACAAGCTAGTCTTGTGTTATGTTGTGCTGTGTAATGAAGCGACGTCTTGTGTTATGTTATACTGTGTTGTGAAGAGAAGCTAGTATTGTGTTATGTTGTGCTGTGTTGTGAAGACAAGCTAGTATTGTGTTACGTTGTGCTGTGTTGTGAAGCGATGCTAGTCTTGTGTTATGTTGTGCTGTGTTGTGAAGACAAGCTAGTCTTGTGTTACGTTGTGCTGTGTTGTGAAGCGATGCTAGTATTGTGTTATGTTGTGCTGTGTTGTGAAGACAAGCTAGTCTTGTGTTACGTTGTGCTGTGTTGTGAAGCGATGCTAGTCTTGTGTTATGTTGTGCTGTGTTATGAAGCAATGTCTTGTGTTATATTGTGCTGTGTTGTGAAGAGAAGCTAGTCTTGTGTTATGTTGTGCTGTGTTGTGAAGACAAGCTAGTCTTGTGTTATGTTGTGCTGTGTAATGAAGCGAAGCTAGTCTTGTCTTCATTTCATGTACAAGAAACGTCAAGCGAATTTCTGAGAAATGATGTCTCTTATAACAGTCATTAGACCGTTATTCTATATTGCAGTAAACATATATGAGTCGTGTGAAACAAGAGCAAACTGCATCCCAAATGCTGATTGTACACCTCGAGGCTGCGATGGCAAAGTTTGTGTATGTGATGTTGGTTATATATCAAATGATGAGAACAATAAGTGCTTAGGCGGTAAGATTTACTTTGTTTTTTAATTATCGGTGCCGTAATGCTTACTTTTCTTTGTTTTTAACAAGGTAAAGACCTATACTTTTCATCCCATTGTATTTCCAATGGATTGATAAGTACTTAAATTTGACAGCAACGACAGTTCAAACGGGCCACTCTGGAGCTTACAATCAATTATCAAAAATATATTTTGCAATGCCAAATGAAAGATGGAATGTTATATTCTAAATCAATTATTTTTTCGTTTCTTTGATATTTTCATTAACAAATTCGAAAAGACAATCGTGTTTCGTTTTGTGTCCATTTTTTCTTCTCAGTACGCATTAAGCCTTTTTGAATTTAAGTAATATGGTTTCAAAACATTGTATGAGATTCCATTTTCTTAATTTGATTCTGTCGTTTTGGCAAAGAGTATGTATTTCTTGGTATACATCATTCATTGATGCCTTTTACAGTGTCGGAGATTGGCAAGGGGTGCAATGACACCATCCTGTGCCCCGGGGTTAGCACGGTGTGTATAGGAGGAATATGTGAATGTCGAGAGGGATATGTAAAGGTGGATGAAAGGAGATGCAAAGAGGATGTTTCTAACAAATATACGTGGTCATTGCTAGGTGAAGACTGTAAAGAAACAGGCGAAAACCAAAAGGTATGTTTATTTTAGTACTATGTAATCTGACGTTTAAATCAATCAGTACAATGTTGGCGAATATGTTTGAATTATGTCATACATTTCAGATATGCCAAGATTTCGTGGAGCAAGTGTGCAATGCAACAACTGGGAAGTGCGAGTGCAAAGACGGATATAGAGAGTCAACGGAAAAAGAAAAGGCACTCTCCCCGTTTGTTGATATTGACTGTGTTGACATCGCTTATAGTGCTAGTAAGTCTCCGATCGTATTATGTATCTCTTTATAACGTGTTTTTGTTCTGACAATCAAAGTGTTTACTCTCGACGAGTCCATTTGAAAAGAGGTGAACGGTTTATACAAGAAACTTCAAACTAGTAACACCAAATTGGTCAAGTCAGATAGTAGCAACATAATTAAAGTGACGAAAAAATCCTGCTAAATATGCACTCTATTATTAGGAATAAAAACACGTTTTGATTGAAGAAGTCTACAAGTACATCAATGTTGTAAAGATATCTGGAGTTGAACATCAAATCTCTTTCACTTTTTGGAAATTTGCAATTGATCATTCGAGTCATCCTTTTCGCCACAGCTCATTTATTTTTTGGTTCAAGTCAGCGATTCTTATTGACCGTTTGAATATTGTTCTATATAAGTCCTTTTAATGTTATTCTGTGTTGATCCAGGTATACCTAACGAGAACAACACAGATTGCCCCAAACCGGAAGTGTCGTCAAGTATAGTGCCAACTTCAATATTAGAGATTGAGTCAACATTGCAAATATCTGTCGAGACAACATCCATTCTACCTACATCGTTTGAGTCGATGTCAATTCAAACAACTTCTTTTGAATCTTTGTCAATTCAACCAACTTCAATTGAATCAATCCTAGTTCAATCAACATCCATTGAATCCATGTCAGTTCAACCTACGTCAGCTGAATCTATGTCAATCCAAACAACTCCAATTGAATCCATGTCAATTCAACCAACATCTATTACATCTATGCCAGTTCGACCAACATCTATGGAGTCTTTGTCAGTTCAACCAACATCTCTTGAATCTACGTCAGTTCAACCAACATCTCTTGAATCTTTGTCAGTTCAACCAACATCTCTTGAATCTACGTCAGTTCAACCAACATCTATGGAATCTTTGTCAGTTCAACCAACATCTCTTGAATCTACGTCAGTTCAACCAACATCTATGGAATCTTTGGCAGTTCAACCAACATCTCTTGAATCTACGTCAGTTCAACCAACATCTCTTGAATCTTTGTCAGTTCAACCAACATCCCTTGAATCTAGGTCAGTTCAACCAACATCTTTGGAATCTTTGTCAGTTCAACCAACATTTATTGAATCTTTGTCAATTAATCCAACGTCTGTTGAACCTGTGTCAGTTGAACCAACATCTGTTGAATCTTTGTCAGTTGAACCAACATCTATTGAATCTTTGTCAGTTGAACCAACATCTGTGGAATCTTTTTCAATTCAACCAACATCTGTTGAATCTATATCAGTTAAACCAACATCTGTTGAATCGATGTCAGTTCAACCAACATATATTGAATCTTTTTCAATTCAACCAACATCTCTTGAATCTACGTCAGTTCAACCAACATCTATTGAATCGATGTCAGTTCAACCAACTTCCATTGAATCGATGTCAGTTCAACCAACTTCCATTGAATCGATGTCAGTTCAACCAACATATATTGAATCTTTGTCAGTTAAACCAACATCTTCGTTAGTTCAACCAACATCTGTTGAATCGATGTCAGTTCAACCAACTTCCATTGAATCTTCGTCAGTTCAACCAACTTCCATTGAACCGGTCTCAGTTCAACCAACATCTATTGAATCGTTGTCAATTCAACCAACATCTATGGAATCTATGTCAGTTCAACCATCATCTATTGAATCTACGTCGATGCAACCAACGTCTGTTGAATCTACGCCAACCACAATAGCTACAAGTGAACCAACCACAACAGTTACAAGTGAACCAAACACATCGTTTACAAGTGGACCAACCACATCGGTTACAAGTGAACCAACCACATCAGTTACAAGTGGACCAACCACATCAGTTACAAGTGAACCAACCACAACAGTTACAAGTGAACCAAACACATCGTTTACAAGTGGACCAACCACATCGGTTACAAGTGAACCAACCACATCAGTTACAAGTGGACCAACCACATCAGTTACAAGTGAACCAACCACAACAATTACAAGTAAACCAACCACAACAGTTACAAGTGAATCAACCACAACAATTACAAGTGAACCAACCACAACAGTTACAAGTGAACCAAACACATCGGTTCCAAGTGGACCAACCACATCGGTTACAAGTGAACCAACCACATCAGTTACAAGTGGACCAACCACATCAGTTACAAGTGAACCAACCACAACTATTGGAGATGGGGGATCAAACAATACGACAGGTAAGAATTATGAAGATCATATGAAATCATACATTGCAAATCATTGTTTCCCGGGAATTGTTGTCCTCTCCGTATAGGCCCCGGTACTGGTTGTTGATTGGGAATGGACTGGAAGGAAAAAGAGTTGCAATTTTATCACATTTCCTTTCATTTAGTTCAATACATACATCATTATACATTTGTCCATTTCTTCAAACATCGTAATGTTATACGGATCCGAAAGTAAATATTTTGCGAGTTACCCTTAATTTAAAAAAAGCAATTAATTTGCAGATTCGTGCGATGTATTTAAGTTTGGAGAAATTGAACTCATAAAATAGTTTTTGAGGAGGTGTATTTGAATTACTGTATATTTAAAACATATTCTTAATATTTTATAATTTGATATTGGTAGGTGCATCTTTGCTGCCAGTGGTTCTTCCAGCAGTGTTGGGGGTGACATCTATAGTACTAGTCCTTGTTGCAATTTACATGATCATCAAAATGAGGTAATGTATAGCACATTTATATCGCAGTTTAAAAGTTATTTTGTGTGTTTTTTCCGATTCATTCGAATTAAACTCAACGAAACAGCATGATGATTATGAGAGGGGAATACTCCAATAATTCATAGACGAGCCCATCTTCATATAAACGTGAAACTTTAGAGCTTAGTCTCCATATGGAGGTAGGTCCATCCTGTATGAATAACGGAGTATTTCCTCATCAAATGATTACACCAAGCATCTGACGGATCTACTTTCAGACAAATGAGAAAACGAAAAAAGAATTTGGACAGAGATGCAGACAAAAATGAAGATACTAATGATGCAAATGACTTTCCTCGGTTTGATGAACCCATTGCTATGGTGAACACTGGGGCCAGACAACCATATTATGATGTATATGCTATGAACACTGGAGCCAGACAACCACAGGATGTATATGCTATATACTAGAATGATATAATCATATCAGGCTTATTGTGTTCTAAGGAAATACGCAGTTGTGACACCCACTTAAAGTGCTACCTCACTATTTCTAGACATTTAAAATGTAAATAATTTACATGGACCGTTTAAAAACCGGACATGACCCAAAGGGTTATTTATTATGAGTGTATGTGGTCCTGACCTGGATTGTAGAACACCTCACATATATTCTGTGTGTCAAATGGCGGCTGTCCCCTCATCAGCATAAGTTACTAGTCTACACATGCAATACATCATTGGAAAGAATTCTATGTTCCGGATTAGCTACATGATTTATTCCGCTTTTATTATGATAAGTTACAATTTTAAAAACGCTACGATATACCATGTAAATATAAAAAGATAAACAGCTTCTTGTGTTTTGAAATTGTATGTTGACTTATTTATGATAGTAATAAATGTATAACGATATTAAAAGCAATTGAATCCATGACATCAATCATCGTAATGTTATGAACTATTCTCGAATGATGCAGTGGATCAGAGACATGTCTCTGAATGGAGGGAACCGATAATTATCTAAAAGGTATGTTTGGTGAAAAATGGGTAATATTTTATTTTCCATAGAGACTATAATACCGAACTAACAAACAAGGTTACAATTATATTGAAGGGACACCTTCCTTGACCAGTACTTTGATTGCTTCAACGATTAACAAAGTGACCCTGATGCGATCATTTTTATCAAATTTTGATGCTGAATATTTGAGACATGTTGTGGCTTACTCGGGCTACGATCATGTAACCGTATGTGGGGTGTTTACTATTATCTTTGGCATTGCGTTTCTTTAATATGACATTTCCTTTGGGTGGGTCTCGAATCGGCATGGTTATTCTAAGAAAACATGCCAGAGCCTAAAGGGCATGTTATACATCAAGGGCATTAAATCTTTGTTGAAGAGGCCCTCGTTTAGGTTTATGTCTTTATGATACCACTTTCAAGTGATGTTTCATTGTTTTTGTTACATTTTGACTTGTCAACGTTGTATGATGATCACGAAAGTGAACAGATTGCGAAAAACGCGTACGTTGACATGAGGTATTTACACATTGTCAAAATTGAGGAGTGTAATGTAAAATGCCAGAAAATGACTTTCCAATAGGATAAATTAAGGACTTAAAGGTAATGTAATTTATAAATGAACATTTAATATCTTACTTTAAATAAAAGAAACATTTCTCATTTTTTGACGAAAGGAAATAACACAGTACCACAAATGAAAACTGTTTGTTTTTGCTCAGTATAATGTTGAGTTCATTTAACTTCTAGCTGTTTTGTCATGTTATATCAGAATAATTAATGTTGATATTTCTGAGCGAAATATGTATCGTATAGTGGTGTCCGCTCACAACATTCCATGTTTAAGACTTTATCGTGAATTAAAGTCCAACAGTTCTGAGTTTTTTTTATAAAAGCCTTTATTCGTTTTTAAAAAAAGTTCAACAGTTCTAAGTTTAGATATCTATGGGTTAGCCAAATTTAAAATTTTCATGGATTTGGACTTTTTTCATCACAAATCTTCAATAACTTTCATATTTTATCAGATATTTCTTTAGATAATAAAATTAGGACTGTAAGGCATTTTTCACTCTTAATTCATCGTTGCTACCACTTTCAATATCAAATATTACATTCCTTCAATAATTACACTCTTTCAAACTCACTATTTCAGATGGAGCGGTTTCAAATGAGAATTTCTGTGGTGTGTATTGTGTTTGTGGTTCTTACTCAATATGTTGGTGAGTAGATCTTGTGTACGTATGATTGTGAGTATCACATGACCTACGGGCGAGTGTCAATTAAACAGTATAGTAACTGGAGCGTGGGGAGTGGGGTGATGTCCACTTCCTTGATTCACTTAATATATTAATTCCAACTAGAAAAGAAAAAGCTAAGAAGAGCTATTAAGCAATATTACTTTTATTGACATGTCTATAATAATGGACAATTCAGGGATTTTAATACGCTTTGCAAGATGTTTAACTAAAAGATAGCACTTAGTCTATAATAATACAGAGTGTGCCCATAAAATCTCTAGGCTTTACATTGACTTTGTATTGTGATGGTTTAGTATTTATGGACACCCTGTAATTGATTGGGTCGTATACAATCGCTGTCCTAGGCGTTTCATGGTAGGTACTCGGTGCAGGACATTATGAATTGATATTGTTGCAGGAGCTGCCTATGTAGAAGGCAATTGTACGTCTACGAGTGACTGCCCAACAGATGCTACGTGTATTGCAAGAGGCTGTGACGGAAGTGTTTGTGTCTGTAACACTGGATTTTTCCCATCAGAAAACAAAACAGGTTGTGAAGGAGGTAGGCAATTTCACACCATTGCGTGGACAAATCTCAACTTAGAGGAGTTTCTATATGGCTTTTAAATCTCGCCAATTCTTGTGAAATTCTCGCTACTCTTGTGAAATTCAGTAAAATGTTTCCCACATAAATAACTTTGATTTATACAGTTATGTTATTTAATCATTTTACATGACTTTTCAAGATTCTAAAAGAGTGTGGGCCAAATCTTGATTGATGCAATGTCAAAATTATTTAAAACCTTGGTTTATTCTTTCAATTACAATACGAACATAAAACGGCCATCCCAATTAGTATGCCGTTCGTGTTCTAGACAGATTCAATCAATACTTTTTGATAAATCATGAAGTTAAGTGGCTATTGCAAGTTTTTACCATTGAATCCTACATGGTAGTCTTGTCCCAAGAAAAAACAAGTGCTGACATCTATTCATTCACTTTATTCAGCTATATTGCGACTCACATTTTGGGCGAAAACGTCACAATCTTCGATTTCTCATTTATATTTGGGAGGTGTGAGCTGTGGGTCTACGAAAATCATTTTCAGCTTTTCAATTTCATTTGATATAATTCTAATGATCTAAAATCTAATGATTAAGGAATAAATAATGATAGGCCATTCAATATGGTGAAATTCAGCACGAGTTGGACAGAATGTTGTACAAAGCACGAACCGAAGGTGAGTGCATTTGTACTAACATTCTGTCCAACGAGTGCTGAATTTCACCATATTGAATGGCCTATCATTATTTATTCCGATTCAAACATAAAAATTAGTAAAAGCCGTGTCTGGTGTCTGTGGAACGGGCATGAAGGAAGAATACGCATGCTATCCCCGGACAGAGCCCCAGATGTGCAGCTGAGATGTGACGTCACTCAAAACAATGCAAATTGCAGATTGAATAGAGCATGGTCGTGCATCTATGGAGAATTAGAGAACGTTCTATTTTGGCTATGCTGCATTCTGATTGGTTGAGAAATTCGAATAGAGCACGGTCATGTTTGAATATGAAATAAAAGTTTATAATCTTTATTTCAAAAAGTTGCCCATTGTGAAAAAAAGTTGCCCATTGTAAAGAATGCTTCGAGTATAAACATTCTAATTCTTCAAATGCATGTTTCAGTGGTGGGATTAGACGAGGTGTGTATTGGCAAGCAGTGCCTACCAGCGAACTCCCATTGTAGTTCAACTGACAACGTTTGCACTTGTGATGAAGGATATGAACTGTCATACGATGAAGAGAAATGTAGACAGGAACCATCTGCAAATGGACTATCATTCCGTCTACTTAATGAACCATGTAATGAAGCCTCACTTGCGTATTGCTCTGGACTTTTCCAAGATTGTGTATCTGGAACGTGTAAATGCAAAGAGGGATACAGAGAAGCTACGACTGCAGATATTTATCTAGAACCGTCCAATACATTTGAATGTCGCTTAGATGTTCATATAAGTAAGTAGTCAAGCAAACAAACAATCACATCGAAAGTACATAAAGTTGATGGATTTTATGGCGAACTGAATCAACCATGTTTCATTCTTCTATACACATATTACATGCTTTGGCAATGAGGAAATGCAGAAAAAATTCAAAATTCAAGCCATATGCATTCTCTTTAGTCAACAAGATAAATGTATCACCTTACCTTCCCTTAGCATTTATTTATTTTTATTGTTAACATTTATTTCTGTTGAAGATTTTATTTATGATTTGTAGTTCATTGGAATCATATCTTCAATGTTAGAGAGGCCATTAATTTCATTTTTCGTTCATATATTATTGTCGTTGACGCCCTGGATTTATTGTCACCTATGACCCCTGAAAAAGCAAAACACTTTTATATCATGAAAAAAACATCTTTGTCAATCGTAACTTATGACTAATAGGAATACACTGACCAATAATGTACAATATGAACTAACTACGTGATAATGATCAGATTGTTTCATATACAAGTTCATTTTATCGGAAGAAGACTTTCCTATCGTAAATATTTGTTTAATTTGGTGATACATTGAGAACTCTTAAGTTTAAATTTCAATATTTATACGTATACATAAAGTGAGTTCGTATTCTCTCACTGTTATAACCCAGATGCGAGTAGAAATAATCTTGATTTACGTCATTAAAAATTCAAAATTCAGTCAAAGTAATATCATATTTGAAATCTACATGTAAAATTACATCTAGAAATGTGGTTTTAAAAAGTGTTTATCAACTTTGAAAAATTAATTTTCTTCAAAAATGTGACTTCTAGCTCGGGGAGATTCCCCATAGACCCCATGCTATAAAATCACAAAAAATGAAATATCTTTTCTTTTAGTGGACAGATAATATTTTGCTTTACTGGACATATTTTCATTAGTATAAGTATCAGACGCATAAGGGTTATATGAAAATTGAGCCACTTAAATTGATAATATTCAAGTTTAAGGGAACTTTCTTATATACCTGCCATGTTAATTGACCCGAATCAGCCACCTGGTGGTGAAACTGGTAACTACCTACTCGCATTTGGGTAATTGTAAGACTGCATTTGAGTATACATATTAAAACAAGTTCAAAATCGCCCTACTGGACCCCACCTCAAGGGAGTGTGCTAGCTAGATATAAAAAAACAGTCGTTGTCTCTGGATTTTCATTCCGAACAAAAAAAATGGTTAAATATTATTTGGTTATGAGTAACTATGCATAACATAATTTTATTTCGCATATACTTTGATAGACATGAATAAGATCATTTAATGGGTATCGAAATATGCACTGTGCCACACTTCCTTAATGTATTATAATTTAAACGAATAATTCGATTTATTACAGATATTTTATATTCCAGTGAATAATACAAACATAACCTGCCCGACACCACCGCCCATTAGTAAGTACATGTTCAGTTAAAGGGGTTCAAAACAATAGAGAGTGTTAAATGTTGCAGAAAGTTGAATTCTTGAAAACAATCCTTATAATCCATTATATCATCTGATTTTAGATAAATCTGATCAACTACTAAGATTTAAGATGTAGAAATGTCTAAACTCATCAGAAAATGGGACTTTTCCTATTTTTATAAAATTATAGCCAGATAACCTTAAAATCAAATTATTTTTAGAAAGTAAATCACAATATGGCTCAAGTCTTTCAGTGCTGGCATTAGCAAAAATTGTTTATACAAGTGTCGTTCGAAAGGTTTTGCACGAAAGCTTCTCAGGAGAGGAGATTTTATCATTTTTACATGAAATTTGATGCCGACATAGCATCACCCTTCTTACAAGCATTTAGGAAATTTCAGGACTTCGTGAGATACATTGACTTTAAAATTTGAACCAATGGAACCATGGTCCATATGACGTAATTAAATTAAATGCTCCTCGTGCAAATTTTAAGGAAAGGGGTATGTCAAAGAAGATGTTAAGCCAAATGTTACCCTGGTAGCTCAGAAAAAGTAAAAAAAATTGAATTTTCGCTCTACAAGGCTTGTTACCCATTTAATCTCAATAGATTTTTGAATATAGTTGCGTATTAGCATTCGCCTCCAAAACACGGAAAATACATTTCAGAATCCGAAAGATTTTCCTCCCATGAAATCATAATGAAACCATTCATTTTTACCTTATATTTCAGTGAAAATCTATGAAGAATGTGAGTCAAAAGCAAATTGCGTTCCAAATGCGGATTGTACACCTCGAGGATGTGATGGAAAAGTTTGTCTTTGTGAATTGGGTTTTCTTTCAAATGATGCGAACGATCTGTGTTTGGGAGGTAAGATTAACATTTCATTGAAATGATCCCGTCCTATAACAATGACCGAATTTGTATTTTTAAAAATAAAATGTGCCACACGAGGTTCAAATATTTGCCTTGCCTCCAGCTATAAAATAAAATAAAAAAACGAAATAGTCGTAAGATATAATAACAATAAAAATTTAAAGATGTTAAGCTTTTACTGGGAGGGATTAAATAGCAAAGCGGCAATATGTTATTTACCGAGGGACCGAAGGTGAAATATATACATTTTAGAAAAACAATATAGGAAATAAAATAGGGAGACGACCAGCTGAAGACGATTGTAACTTTAAAGTTATAATACTATTTTTGGAATGGATTTTTCCAGTATCAATGAAATCCCCCAGTGTTATTCACCGAAAATATCGTATTCTGGTATATTTAAGTATTTACTGATTACAATCATGTAGATTAAATATGTATTTATTTGAATAATAAATGAATAAATAATGAATCATATTCATAGACGAACAGATAATTAGATAGGTGATATTTTGATGTCCCCGTTTCGCTCATTAACCCCTCATGGCCTAATGTTGTGTTGTAGTGACAGAGATAGGCATGGGTTGCAATGATACTATCCGGTGTCCCGGGGGTAGCACAGTCTGTATTGAAGGCATATGTGAATGTAAGGAAGGATATGTAAAGGTGGATCACAGAAGATGCAAAGAAGATATTTCAAACATCCATCCTTATACGTGGTCATTGTTAGGGGAAGATTGTAAAGAGGATGGGCTCAACCGAAAGGTAAATGTCTCTTGCTGGTCCATGTCGTCGTGTTCTAATTCAACATTTAAATGAATTTATTAAGCCCATGGATGAATGTAAATAAATGTTAACTTCATGGCTCCATAATATAATTCAGATATGCCAAGATTTCATGGAGCAAGAATGCAATGCAACTGGGACGTGCGTGTGTAGTAAAGGATATAGAGAGACAACAGAAGAAGAAAAGGCACTCTCCCCTTTTGTTGATATTGACTGTGTTGAAAACGATTATAATGCAAGTAAGTCTCCTGCTATGTCTCTTTGATATAGGTATACACATACCTATACATATACTTACACATGCGTGTTTAATTTTAAATGTCGAAATTGACGAATGGTCCTTGGTTTTCTCTTTTCTTTTTTTATTAACGGTTCTTACACTAAACGTGTCTGTTGCCCCTTCAGTTAAGTAAGTATTCACATTGCATAATCGGATGTTCCAAGGTGCTTATAACAAAGTTGAAGTTGGAGCAACTGAAACCTTGTGAATCATGATGGCTTAATCGATCAAAGGTAAAATTAAGGAAGAATATGATTCTATTGCCATACACAAGTACTTTCTACTTTTTTTCTTTTGTTTTTCTTTAGACATACCTGATAATGATAAAGCCTGCACAACACCAACAACTGTTACTACTACTACAGCTACTGTTGCTACGACTACTACTCTTGGTGCAACGACAGCTGAGGCTGAAGTAACTACTCTTGGTGCAACGACAGCTGAGGCTGATGTAACTACTATTGGTGCAACGACAGCTGATGCTGATGTAACTACTATTGGTGCAACGACAGCTGATGCTGATGTAACTACTATTGGTGCAACGACAGCTGATGCTGATGTAACTACTATTGATGCAACGACAGCTGAGGCTGATGTAACTACTATTGGTACAACAACAGCTGAGACTGATGTAACTACTCTTGGTGCAACGACAGCAGAGGCTGATGTAACTACTATTGGTGCAACGACAGCAGAGGCTGATGTAACTACTATTGGTGCAACGACACCTCAGGCTGATATAACTTCTATTGGTGCAACGACAGCTGATGCTGATGTAACTACTCTTGGCGTAACGACTGCTGAGGCTGATATAACTATTATTGGTGCAACGACAGCAGAGGCTGATGTAACTACTATTGGTGCAACGACACCTCAGGCTGATATAACTTCTATTGGTGCAACGACAGCTGATGCTGATGTAACTACTCTTGGCGTAACGACTGCTGAGGCTGATATAACTATTATTGGTGCAACGACAGCTGAGGCTGATGTAACTACTATTGGTGCAACGACAGCTGATGCTGATGTAACTACTATTGGTGCAACGACAGCTGATGCTGATGTCACTAATATTGGTGCAACGACTGCTGACACAACATTGACTGTTGACAATTTATCAACTGATGGTGTAACGGCGACTGTTAGTGATATTACTACTGACACAATAGGGACTGTTGATAGTATAACAACTGATGATGCAACTGTTTATGATATATCAACCGATGGTTTAACTGCAACTGCTGATGGTAGCACCACTGCTGATATAACGTCGACAGTTGATGATATTACTGCTGACACAACAGCGACTGTTGATGGTATATCAACTGATGATGTAACTGCAACTGCTGATGGTAGCACCATTGCTAGTGTAACGGCGACTGTTAGTGATATTACTGCTGACACAACAGCGATTGTTGATGATAGCACAACTGCTGATGTAACAGCAACTGTTGATACAACCACTGCTGGTGTAACTGCAACTGTTGTTGATACAACCACTGCTGGTGTGACAGCAACTGTTGATGATACAACCAATGCTGATGTAACGGCAACTGTTGATGATACAACCACTGCTGATGTAACGGCAACTGTTGATGATACAACCACTGCTGATGTAACGGCAACTGTTGTTGATACAACCACTGCTGGTGTGACAGCAACTGTTGATGATACAACCAATGCTGATGTAACGGCAACTGTTGATGATACAACCACTGCTGATGTAACGGCAACTGTTGTTGATACAACCACTGCTGATGTAACGACAACTGTTGATGATACAACCACTGCTGATGCAACGGCAACTGTTGATGATACAACCAATGCTGATGTAACGGCAATTGTTGATGATACAACCACTGCTGATGTAACGGCAACTGTTGTTGATACAACCACTGCTGATGTAACGACAACTGTTGATGATACAACCACTGCTGATGCAACGGCAACTGTTGATGATACAACCAATGCTGATGTAACGGCAATTGTTGATGATACAACCACTGCTGATGCAACGGCAACTGTTGTTGGTACAACCACTGCTGATGCAACGGCAACTGTTGATGATACAACCAATGCTGATGTAACGGCAACTGTTGATGATACAACCACTGCTGATGCAACGGCAACTGTTGTTGATACAACCACTGCTGATGCAACGGCAACTGTTGATGATACAACCACTCCTGATGCAACGGCAACTGTTGATGATACAACCAATGCTGATGTAACGGCAACTGTTGATGATACAACCACTGCTGATGCAACGGCAACTGTTGTTGGTACAACCACTGCTGATGCAACGGCAACTGTTGCTGTTGCAACCAATGCTGATGTAACGGCAACTGTTGATGATACAACCACTGCTGATGCAACGGCAAATGTTGTTGATACAACCACTGCTGATGCAACGGCAACTGTTGATGATACAACCACTCCTGATGCAACGGCAACTGTTGTTGATACAACCACTGCTGATGTAACGACAACTGTTGATGATACAACCACTGCTGATGCAACGGCAACTGTTGATGATACAACCAATGCTGATGTAACGGCAATTGTTGATGATACAACCACTGCTGATGCAACGGCAACTGTTGTTGGTACAACCACTGCTGATGCAACGGCAACTGTTGATGATACAACCAATGCTGATGTAACGGCAACTGTTGATGATACAACCACTGCTGATGCAACGGCAACTGTTGTTGATACAACCACTGCTGATGCAACGGCAACTGTTGATGATACAACCACTCCTGATGCGACGGCAACTGTTGATGATACAACCAATGCTGATGTAACGGCAACTGTTGATGATACAACCACTGCTGATGCAACGGCAACTGTTGTTGGTACAACCACTGCTGATGCAACGGCAACTGTTGCTGTTGCAACCAATGCTGATGTAACGGCAACTGTTGATGATACAACCACTGCTGATGCAACGGCAAATGTTGTTGATACAACCACTGCTGATGCAACGGCAACTGTTGATGATAAAACCACTCCTGATGCAACGGCAACTGTTGATGATACAACCAATGCTGATGTAACGGCAACTGTTGATGATACAACCACTGCTGATGTAACGGCAACTGTTGTTGATACAACCACTGCTGGTGTGACGGCAACTGTTGATGATACAACCACTCCTGATGCAACGGCAACTGTTGATGATACAACCAATGCTGATGTAACGGCAACTGTTGATGATACAACCACTGCTGATGTAACGGCAACTGTTGTTGATACAACCACTGCTGGTGTGACGGCAACTGTTGTTGATACAACCACTGCTGATGCAACGGCAACTGTTGATGATACAGCCACTGCTGGTGTGACGGCAACTGTTGATGATACAACCAATGCTGATGTAACGGCAACTGTTGATGATTCAACCACTGCTGATGTAACTGCAACTGTTAATGATTCAACCACTGCTGATGTAACTGCAACTGTTGTTGGTACAACCACTGCTGATGTAACGGCAACTGTTGATGATACAACCACTGCTGATGCAACTAGAACAGCAGTTGGTACAGCTAGCACTGGAAAAGCAGATGCTGATACAACTTCAACTTCTTATCCATCGACAACTGAAAAAGGAACAACAGATGCACCATGTCCAGTTGGTTATGGAGGCAGTGGTTGTAAAACGCGTGAGTAAACTAAAGCCTCTTTTTACTTATTCTTTAAAGGCCCATTGGAGAGTTTAAATTACTTCATAGTTATTATGTAGTAGTTAGACTCCAGATGAAATCTGGAGTCTATTGTTTTTGCCTCTTTTCTTTTTCTTATTCTTCTTATTCTTATTATACTGATCGAGTTTTCTCAACAACTATAAGACATCTTTTCAAGACTATTATATGGTCAATATAGGTATAGTATCTAGTTGGTGGGAAATGGGGTCAAATTTTTATCTAGGTCAAAGGTCAAGAACTAGGTCAAATCCAGTACTTTGTCACTTTTTTCGATTTTCTCGGTCGTCCTTCAATATTTTCGATCCGGGTTTTTTTCATTGTGTTCCTTATAAAAAAGTAGGAAACCTAGGGTCGATTTAGTTTTTTGATATCTCAAACTGATTTCGAGATATCAGTGTCCGAAAACGAGGTCCAAAAAAAAGTTCTCCGAATCAAATGTGCAGGATATTAGTCTTATAGGAAATTTTCTCAGGATTCCGAATCTGAAAACGAAATTTAGATCTGACTTCCGGTTTGGAAGTTATGGCGTTTTGAAAACTCAAAAATCGCTAAATTTGGTGCCCATGTTAAGTCAATGGGAAAAAATATTTTTTTGAAGTGAAAAATACGGAATATAGACTGAGTTCAGCTTCATATAATCAAAGCCTTTAAAAGAAGGGAACCTCAAAAGCCATCTAGCTTCACAATTTGGACACCGAAATGCCTAGGTCAAAATCTAGGTCAAATTCATAGGTTTTCCTTATTTTTTCGATTCTGACACTACACTTTAATTATATTCTTCGAAATTGTGTATACATGTAGCCAAGAATATGCTAATAGTGTTAGCATTTTGCCGTCAGAAAGTATTTTGACCCACTTTTGAGATATGGTGTCCGAAAAGTAGGTCAAAATAAAAAGTTCTCCAAATTGAATATATGAGTTATGAATTAAGGGTAGAATTCTGTCAGGAATCCGAATCTGCAAACCAAATTTCGATCCAACTTCCGGTTCGGAAGTTATGGCGTGTCCGAAAAGTAGGTCAAAATAAAAAATCTCCAAATTTAACGTATGAGTTATGAATTAGGGGTAGAATTTTGTCAGGAATCCGAATCTGCAAACCAAATTTCGATCTGACTTCCGGTTCGGAAGTGATAGCGTTTTGAAATTTCGAGAAAAATCGATCTGATGGTATCCTGATAGAAAGTCAAGAGTAGAGAAGAAAATATTGAAAAATTCATCCATCCTTCCTATCTCATCCTACCCTATCCTTCCTATCTATCCTTCCTTCATATCTTTTCCTTCCTATCCTTCCTATCCTATCCTATCCTTTCTTCCTATTCTATTCTATCCTATCCTTCTTTCTTATTCTATCCTATCGTTCTTTCCTATTCTATCCTATCCTACCTTCCTATTTTATTTATCCATCTCTTTCTAGATGACTCAGCTTATTCTGGATGACTCGGCTAAAAAAAGTCTAGATCTGGAGTCTGAAATTGAACTTCGTTCAATTTCCAAAATCTAGTTATTCCTCTTTTTCTTTCTTTCTTTCTTCCTCCTAACACATTTTCTCTCCAACTATAACATCTTACTTAAACCAACTTACATGGTTAACTAAGGAATGTTTCTGGCTTTCTGGGAAATTAGGTCAAATTTTTATCTAGGTCAAAGGTCAAGAACTAGGTCAAATCTTACATTTTCAACATTCTTCATAATATCTTCGTCAATATTCATCGTAACTCCTTCATCTTTTTTTCATCATGTAGCTTTGAAAAAGGCGAATCAAAGATATGACATCAGAATTTTGATTACTCTTACCGATTTTGAGATATGGCGTCCGAAATGTAGGTCACGACTGAACATCCTCCAAATTGAATATGTGAGCTATGAAAAAGATGTAGAATTTTCTCAGAAATCCAAATCTGCAAACCAAATTTCGATCTGACTTCCAATTCGGAAGTTATGGCATTTTGAAAGCTAAAAAACGCTAAATTTGGTGCCCCATGTTAAGTCAATGGGAAAAAAGATTTTTTTGAAGTGTAAAATACTTAATATAGACTGAATACAGCTTAACATAATGAACGCCTGTAAAAGAAGGGGACCTCAAAAGCTACCTTGCTTTAAGATTTGGACACCAAAATGCCTAGGTCAAAATCTTATAGTGAAAGCCTTTTGCCGTCAGAAAGTATTTTGACCCACTTTTGAGATATGGTGTCCGAAAAGTAGGTCAAAATAAAAAGTTCTCCAAATTTAACATCTGAGCTATAAATTAAGGGAAGAAATTTTCCCAGGAATCCGAATCTGCAAACCAAATTTCAATCCGACTTTTGGTTCGGAAGTTATGGCGTTTTTAAAGCTCAAAAATCGCTTAATTTGGTGCCCCGTGTTATGTCAATGAGAAAAAATATTTTTTGAAGTGTAAAAAACCAGATATAAACTGAGTACAGCTTTACATTCTGGAAGCCTATAAAAGAAGGGGACCTCGAAGGTTATCTCGCTTTAAAATTTGGACACCAAAATGCCTAGGTCAAAATCTAGGTCAAATTCATAGTTTTTCCTTATTTTTGCGATTCTGACATTACACTTTAATGATTTGCTTCGAAATTTTGTATACTGGTAGCAAAGAGTGTGCTTATAGTGTTAGCCTTCTGCCGTCATAAAGTATTCTGACCCACTTTTGAGATATGGTGTCTGAAAAGTAGGTCAAAATAAAAAGTTCTCCAAATTTAACGTATGAGTTATGAATTAAGGGTAGAATTTTCTCAGGAATCAGAATCTTTAAATCAAATTTCGAGCCAACTTCTGATTAGATAGTTATAGCGGTTTGAAGTCTCGAAAAGTCGATATGATGATATCCCCATGTTAAGCCAATTGAGTCGAAGATAACATTCTTAAGAGTTGTCTAAATGTCTATATTCTAGCTGATTCAGCTTATTCTGAATGACTCAGCTTACAAGTATTTGGATGACTCAGCTTAAAAAAAGTCTGAAATCTAGAGTCTTAAATTGAACTTGTTCAATTTACATGTCTAGTTATTCATGATATGTAATCCAGATATCTAAATAGTTCAAATTATTTAAGAAATCAACACATATCTAGATGTTAAATGCTCATCTTGACAAAACATACATTCTCTGCTATTTAATCTTTAGGGAATATAAGAAAATCAGCCTAAAATCATCAATAAATCGAGTCACACGTACAAAAACTGCATTTAAAAGTGCAAAGGACTTTAGACAGTCAAAAAGTGGGTATTTTCCTCTTAGGTCATTTGAAACAAATTCACTGTCGTTAACATTCACGACCTTTCCTTTCTTTATAGGTTCACACGTATTCAGCATCCGCATCATACTTCTTGGAGTAGTTTACAATGATGACTTTGATGACAGCAAATCGCCAGGCTTTATAGCGTTCACTGTTCAGTTTATCTATTCAGTACGTCCATTTCATATCTGTCTTGATAGATCAACATTCTGCATCATACAATATGCTTGTTATTTAAACAGTGAATTTAGTATTGTAGACACACTTTTCATTTTGTATAAAACCATTTTGACAATTAGTCGCCAATGAAAACCATATCAAAAACTACTGTGATATAGATTTTGGTTACACTATAATTAAGGCATTGATCCTTGTTTTCGCAGGCTCGCCTTGGGTTTCTATATGGAGCTTTTTGGACCTTTTACACTCCATATATCGAAGTGAACAAGCTTACGAGAGGCTCTGTCGTTGTTGACTTTACCTTAACGTTAGAACCAAGCTCTACTGCACCTAGTACACCGCTGACATTTGATGAGGTTAAATCGGCGTTTAACATCTCAGCAGCAAATGAAGGAAGTGGCCTTAACAATTGGTATGACAAACAGCCAGTATCTGTTGAGGGTAATTTTCTTTGTATTTGTAATTCAGTGTAATCCAATTTCTCTCGCTTGGTCTCAATGTTCATAAATTGGTGCATTAATTAATCGCACATTTAGGGGAAACAATGATCCCAGGGGACAGAATCTGTTCTACTGGGAGTCCTTGACACAGAGGCATAAATAAGTGCAACCATTGATTTGTATATCCACAGCTATTGTCAAACCCTGAAATCAACGTTGAGCACCGGACACAGCATGTGCTTTCGAGAGAAAAATGGTGGTCACAATAAACAACAAAATGTCAGCACTTTCTGGTTGTGCCCATTTTATATGCAATAATGTGTTCCTTTTAGACTACAACGAATGTGTAACAGAAACCAGCGATTGTCATTCGGAGGCTAAATGCACAAATATGAATGGAACGTATGCTTGTGAGTGCAAGAGTGGATTTAAGGATGAAAGTGAAGATGCGTCGTTACCTGGCAGAATGTGTGTAGGTCAGTCATCTAATGATAAAAATGAATAAAAATATCGGATTTATAAATATTTAAAAAGAGGATGTCACATTTGTTTCCTGTGACAATGACACTATGAACGTAATGATGATTTTGTTTAAATATAAGTGAGTTTGGATATTACTAAAAGGTGCCAAATCCAGATCACAAATGATAATTATTTGAATTACATTGAAAGCAGAATTTCATTTACATTATTGTATCGCTATTATTGCCAGTCACTCATGTCACTTCAATACATAAAAACGTAACAATAATTTGTCTAATGTTATTTTCTTCTTCACCAACCCATTCAACTGACACCATGTGAAATGATGAAACAGGATCTGGATCGGACAACCTAAACCGACAGTTTAGTACAGGTGGGTTTGGGGTTTTATGTATGGCCATTCGATTCTATCAAAAACCATGGTTTCATGGTCAGATGGTATCACTCAATCGTTACCATTCTGGCAATGTTCTAGTCCGTGTTGGAAGTTGGGTCTGTACTCGTCTGAAACTTTGAAAATAGGCTCGAAACACATTTGAAGATGCGAAAATCGTGAACTATATCATTTTGACCAACTTTGGGAAGAATTGAGGAACTGCATCCACTCGCTATAATTGTTTATTGTTTCTTTGTACTTTCACTTCTTTGAGAGAGGGTTGTTATCATTGCTAGCTGTTGGCATTAGAGTAATGTAATCAATAAGAAGCAGAATATTAAAAAAAATAAAATAAAAATAAGAAGCAGAATAATTTATTATTTCCACATAAGTAATATTGATATATTTTAAAGGAAAGTAACTTCACAACATGTTTTTATGTTTTGTATGCCTTTGCTAGATGGATCTTTGCTACCAATTGTGTTATCAGGTGTCTTTGGAGTGGCAGTTATATTGCTTATTGCCATCTACATTATTATCAAAAGGAGGTAAGAGTTTTTTATGCAAAGAGTATTAATTAACATACAATCCCTGGTTGCTATAACATATTATTATCAATTCATCATACAAGGATGTACCATACAAAGTAACAGTATGCTTTAATTACCCGAGCCAGAGGTTAACTGGGCAAATTATCCACCTCTGTTCATTGTTTTAGACCAAACGTTTTTTTTGACGTTCACCGCCTATTGACATTTAACCAGATTTGCATTTTGCTTCTTCTTTCAGAGAAAAGAAGAAAAGAAAACTAAGTATGGAAAAAGCCCGAAATGAACTATTAAATGATCGAGCGAATGACATTCCCAGGTTTGAAGAACCCATTGCCATGGTAAACACCAGTGGTTGGCAACCTCTTGACAACACATATGATTATTATGCAGGACAAGCGTGAACGGATCAGACACATTTTCTCACCAGGAAAGACAACTAATTCGCTATAATCCCTCATATAAGCGTTCTACCTCACCCGTCACTATATTCTCAAGTCCATACTTTTTCCATTAGCGCAATAATAACCTTTTCATAAGTGCTATGATCTTGTATTTGATTTTGACGCATTTTCTGTCCTTTACCATATCCACATGGCTTACCCCTATCTCTTCGCATAGGTCGATAGACACAATTGACAATGAGTAGAACTCATTATACAGTTATACATGATGCGACCGCGACTTTGTCCAAATGGTAAACGTTACGTTTTACATATATTTAAGATGTCGAAAAGGAAACTTTTGGATCGACCATGTCCACTTTTTAATTGAAAGCCCATGGTTAGATGAAGCATAAAAATGATTAATTGCACAACTTTTGTTGAGGTTATTTAGGTATTTATTAGGGAATAAAAACATAATAAACTAAGTTTGAAGTAGTCATTCAATGATTTTATTTGGAAATTAATCGGCAGACAGCCATTCAAAATACGTAGTTGGTTGCACTTCGCTTGGGAGGTTCCGGGGGGAGGTTCCACAGGAAAGTCTTTAACCTCTTGAATCCCAGGCTCTAAAATTGGCATGAAACCAGAGAATTTTTCATTTTTTGCCACCTTTTGACATTTTATTACATACCTATACAACTTTAGATGCTCAGCTTAGTAAAATTGGACGGCAGAGATCCTTTCTACACGTTTTAAAACAATTTTTGTGTAAATTGGATGAAAATTGTTCAAATGAGAGCAATTTTTGTGATAAATTTTGTGACGGATTTTCTCGTCCCTCTGGGCACCAGTCTTATTTCATTTGTGACGGATATATCCGTCACTCTGGGTATTCAAGAGGTTAAATGGAGGATAAGTGATTTATGCTAGTTGATGATAACGTCTTTTTGCCTACATCATTGTCTTTGCTTCAAATCGGTTAAATAGTGACATCGTACATGTTAAGTGTACTACGGTATATTTTGTCACTGTACCTTGTCGATCATTAGGCGTGGCAATGGACCGCACGCTTTAGCATAGGAGTAATGTACCCCACGCTTAAGCATAGGAACAATGGACCCCACACTTTAGCACAGGAGCTATGGATCCCACGCTTAAGCATGGGAGCAATGGACCTCATGCTTGAGTAATGTCTGAGGATTATCAATGGATGGCAAATAATTCAACTTGTTTAATAGTATCGATTAAAAAAGGAGGAGGCACCCGGAATACCTTTAGAGGTTCATCTTTACATGGAGATGCATTCTGGGTATTTCCCCTCTTGGATGAACAAAAAAGCTCCAAATCTTGAAAATTAATGATACCTTTAAATAATAGTCTCTAGATGTTGAATCTTTAAACATGTAAGTAAATATGAAGTCAAAATTAACATTGTTTGAAGATTATAAACAGAAAGATTCAATCTTAAAACCTTTCAATAAGTTGTTTGATTTCATGATTTATCAAAAGCTGTTGGTTGAATCTGTTTAAAACATGAATGGTTTATTATTGGGATGAACCTGCTAATGTACATATTGTGATTAATTATGAAAATATAGGTTGTTGAACGAATAAACCAAGGTTTTCAAGAATTTTAACAATGCATCAATGGAGATTTGGCCAATGCATTTTTAGATTGATATAAACATTACTGTATAAATCAAAACTTTCCACTGAATTCAAATATGATAGCAGGGATTTCATTAGCAGCAGGTGATTTTCCCCGGTTGTATTCACAAAATAGCCCGTTGTTTTAAGGACTTTTCAACTTTTCCATGTTAAATTTATGATTTCCATAAATTTTGCCTGTTGTTTTCATTTATTTCGCCTGTTGTGAGAAATTTTAGTGAAACCCCTGTGAAAGGCAATCATTACAGGTTTAATGTGCAAATCTCTTAAAATCTCACAAAACTCAAGAATTATTGAGATTTCAAAGCTATATAGAAACTCCTCTATTAAAAACATGATAAATTTTAGGAGATCACTGGGAAATCAAAGGATAGACAATATGACAATGAATCTGGTAACACTGTATAACACTCATAAGATAAAAATGCGATTACATTTTATTGTACCTTTTTATTCAAATCATCTTTACAATTTACAATACACATTCAAAATTATTTTAGAGCTGAATATCATGAGTAGGTTGTTTTTAATAGTTATTATCTTTTCATACATCATTCACATTGTGATATTGGAAAAATATGTATTTCTGTTCTTGAGAATGAATGTTGGTGGCCATATGCTAAATTTTTCAAATGTTATTTAAAGATGGCAGTTGTGACATCTCCAGATGTTTTAATAAGTGTCATGCCATTTTCATCCTCAATGCATATTATAGGTGGCGTAGTATTATCAGGTTCTAGGGCTTTGGCCATTGCTGCAACACCAACAATGAGACCTGCTTGTTTTTCTACTACCTCACCCATACTCTCCAAGCAGAGCCCATGCTTGTCAGCACAAATGATTCGCTTTACTCCACCCGCTTCCATGATATCCTTCACGTGATGGTGGATTGGTTTTTCCATGATTATCCACGTTAACTCAGTGTAACTGTTTGAACTGCTCAACTATTGTACAAAATACAGATGTATGTTTATTTAAACAGGATAGTTAACTCTTAAGTTGCTGGTGTTTTTCTTGATCTCTTTCCAGAGCGTCTATGTCTCTTTGTTTTCTGATTCGCTGCTTTACTCTGTAGATCTCGTACCTGTTTTTGTCTACTTGTCTTTTGGCCAACACAAATGCGCTTATTCCAGTAACAATGATTGCTCCCCTAAAACAAACATACAGCTGGTTAATTGCTCATTCAGTAACAACATTGCACATCATGGGTAAGAAATAATAGAGCAAATGCAAAGGACCAGAGGCTTTAAATAATAGAGTAAAGGACCAGAGGCTTTATCAAAGTAAGAATTAACCAGAAAATGGCAATTGCAGAGGGCAGCAAATTCTGACGAACAACATATCATTTCTTCAGTAAACTGAACTCTAAATCATTCACAAAAAGATATTAAATATCCATATTAAAGAGGGTTGTTTTGTTTTATTTTTCAAATGTTGCTGTTTTGAAGTGTCTTCTAAACGGCCTCCTAAACATAAGTAAACCAAAGTAGATTCCCAATTACAACAATGCCAAAGTGTAGCAAATCCAATTGAAGAGCAATGGCTGCCAATTTTGGAAATTGCTGCCTATTAGCTGAATTATCATTAGACAGTGAAGTATTCAATATTCATATATGAAATTTTAACAAAATCGCTCCGCTATTTTTTCAGTTATAGCAAAAATGTAAAATAACATATACCTGTACATAAACTGGCCATCATTTTTGAAAATGGTAAAGTCATCCAAAAAACGCAGTTCATTTTTATTTCTTGGTCCAACATTTTTTCATTGCATTTTGAGACACAGACAATGAAACGAACCCCAGTGAGACAGAGGTAATATTATTACTGTTTATATTTCACATTTCTAATAAAACCTGTAAAGCGGAACACCTATGTAAGTGGAACACTTCCATAAGTTCTGCTCGAAAGAGAATTTTTTAAATGGCCACCAGTTTCAAAATCACCACCATTTTAGTGTCAGTTTTACAGTATTTTAGGTACAACATTTAAAAATGCAATAGTAGTTTGAAATGCAAAAAATATAGAATAGGAATTAAGTTGAAAATCTAATTTTTTTTGAAAAAACATGGTGGCTATCTTGCAAAAATGGTGGCCAATATCTTATGCTATAAATTTATGATTATTTTTACTTATTTTATTTATGTTTTTGACTGGGAAAGTAATGGTCGGGAGTGATTTTGTTTAAATTGTATACTGTAGATACGCTTCATTTGACCGAAAAAAGGAGACGCAGCGATGGAAATATACCATCTTGTGAAGTGGTTTTCTCCAACTTCCAGCAGGCGCGCCGGATTAAGTTAACGGTATTTAAGAAGATAATTGAATGTAACTTGCCCTTTTCATGACACGTGGTGACAATAAGTCCTACTTGTTGTGTAATTTGCAATTAAAGTGGAGAAATTCCAAACCTGGTGCGCACCATTTTTAACTTTTGCACATGCATGCACATGCGCATTATACTTTACATGTGCATGGGCATTGCCGCTAAAAGATCATGTGACTATTCATATTTAGCTAGCGCAAGTTATTTTGTAGCAAATCGAAAGTCAAGAGATCTTGCGAAACCTAAAATGCAGAAGTACTTGTTGCCATAAGTCGCACCCTCAAAAACCAGGTTTGCCGTCATCCAAATCCGCCTTTGCAAAAATGTGAACGTTTATTAATTAGGGTCGTTTTTACACAAATGATAAATTAATTTCTTTGCTTCAACTATAAAGTATTTAATCTTACCTTAGGCACGTAAGACGCTTGGTAATTGAAGATATATAAGCATGCTGCTTGAATTTTTAAATTTTCTCATTTTGCATACCAAGGTCACTTCCGGGTTAATCTGATAGTCTAGATGTAAAACTTAGATCAAAACGAAATCATAAGTATTTGTTACACGAAGATTCAGATGGAAGAAACGCAGTGTCATTAAGAAGGGAAATAACGTGAAGAAGTTATTCTTTCAGAAATGAGAAAAGTGAGTAGTATGCAAGAACAGCTTTTGAATCTCTGTGTAATAAAAAATTATGATTCCGTTTCGATCCATGTTTACATTTAGACTACCGGAAACAGAATTTAGTAACATAGCGGGCGATAATGAAAATAAACTTCAATTGATTATATTTCTTTAATTAGCAAGCGTTTTACATGTCTAAGGAAAGATTTAACACTTTGATGTTGGAGCAAAATATTAAAGTGATAATTTGTGTGACTTTGGTTGGTATGGATACCCAGACAGGCCAGGAAAGCGTTTCGCGCAACTTGTTCCATATTATATCTACGACCGTATATGCCAAGAAAATGATAAAAAATAAATATCCAAATAAGAACAAGGAACATCGAAGAACAGCATACAACGGTCGGATTTATATGACTATCTATAGTAATCTTACACCAAGTTCATGCCGCTAGTTTTAGTCACAAGTTCGTCTTCATGGATCATTGGATGTAGACTTCAAGATGTCCCTAGTCCTAGATATCATGGCCATTGTGCTAGGCTACTATTTTTTTCATGGCATGAGTTTGTCGCTAACATGCTAAATATAAGAGTTAGCTGACGTTTGGGAGTCTGACTTACCTTCTAAAGGTTAGAACCCGATTCTTAATGAAACCATATCACCATTGTTGCGTTGATGATGATGCATAAACACAGCATTTGATAGAAATTAGTGTAAATGCTTTTCCGACTTTTTCATTTTTCATCAATGTTGACTTCCGGGAAGGCGTTGTAGTTATCACGAAATAACGCATTGACCCTTGAACTTTACTTTGTTGACGTGTCAACCAAGCATGTCTGGTGTGAAAATTAAAAGAATATTAAGCAATGTTCTACATCCGCCAAGCTAAGTGAAGTAGGCAATATTTAAAATTACCAATTTCAAGTGAAGTACGCAACGAATGAAACTGCGTGATCTGCACTCCCACTATTGGTTTGAACGAAATGCTACGTAGAAATATGAGCCGTCTGCTGTATTAGTCGATTAATAGAGTAAGACCTGTTGGTGATGCTTTATAATTTAGACCAAAACATTGGAGAACAAACGAACCTGTAAATCGTGAAAACAACGAACAAATATTCGGTTTTCACATATGTTCGGTAATTTTTCGTATTGAAACTTCCGGAACTTACAAGGAAATCATTCATTTTCACGGTCCATGATTTACCTCTTGGATGTTGTGGCAAATGCTCCATGGTTGACGGAACAAAGGTGATATGGTTTCATTAAGCAGTCGAAATGTTGAGGCATGCGCAGACCTTTATTTAGTGATATTTTCATTTCAAATATGGTGGCCAATCCGATGTCTGACGACCCTTACAAAGAATCTAGGCAGTTTGCATTTTTACCTCCTGTGAAATAACAAGTGGAATTTAGTAGTTGTTTTGTGATGTGGTGTTGAAATGTCAGCAGAAATACATATCCATACGATAATCGAGTGAATCAGATAACAGATTTTTCGAAAACCCGTCTCGTGCTAAGAGTGTAAAAACTTGTATTAACATGCTCAAAAGTGCCAATGTGCACATCAATGTCAAACTAAATCAATGTTGTGTCTAAAACAGGTACCCGATCTACTCAAAACAGCTTGTCATTCACGTATACACGCTTAGCAAACACGGCGAAATGACCTGAATCTTGGAATTTCGTTCAAGAGCTAGTAATGTTTGCTCCGGTCTTCGTCATAAGTGTTCATCAGACTTCACGCATGCGCAGGAGAAAAACCATCAACCAATAAGGTTTATAAATCAATTTTGCGCATGCGCCTTACAACGGTAAACAAATTCGTATTTATAAACGAACCAGTTTGAGATAACCCGATATCAGTCGGAGAAATCTGACGATCTACGAAACTCACTTCAAAAAATCAAATGCGGACTGACGGCGTATTCTACTATGTTTGGATCTAAGATTTTCGGTATAGATAAAGTCTTTTATGATCTTTCGAATGAGGTAAGTCTCTAGTTCGAAAGACAATCGTATCAACTTGAACAAAAGTTGAGTTTTGACGAAAAATTTTAACATGCGCAGAAGTCCCATTTTCGTTGTACCATATTGACTAAGATTCGGGTTCTAACCTTTAGAAGGTAAGTCAGACTCCCAAACGTCAGCTAACTCTTATATTTAGCATGTCAGTGCATGAAATAAGGATTTTTTTAACCTAGACATTTTGGCAGGCCTGCCTGATTTTAACAAGCCATATCATTTTTTCTCAGGCCAATTTTTGGCAGGCTGTTTCTTCCTTCTCTGGCCAAAAATTTCACTTACCATATTTCTCCACAACCACTCTAAATTGAGATTTAGTTTAGTACAATATTAACAAAGATAAAACTAATTGCATATTGCATGTCATGTATCATTCACTATACTGTACTTGATGACTTAACCAACAGCCTGAGTGTGTTGATCCCCCCCCCCCTAGATTCACCTTGCAAAAACATGAGGAACATGTACATATTGATCAAACTAAATTGTACTGATTTTGGTCGGTTTAGAATTGCTCAGAAATCAGAAGCTTCAAGGTATTCAAAAACACATATAATGTACACAGACTCCACTAAAATTCAAGGTATATATTATTGGTGTCACGGTCAAAAAAATTCGGTACGGTTTGGATCGGTACAAATGGTCTCGGGATACGGTACTTTCGGGACGGGACGGGACAGACAGAACACTAAAAATGATACAATCGTCTGATGATGACAGTTTCACTTTCACTTTCAGTTTCACTTTTCAAAATCACATTCAGAAATACGTCAATTAAATCAAATATAAAGCATCTGCCGCGAATGTGATCGGCATTTCACATAGTCTGCATGGTGTACTATCACCAATTCTTTTACCTTGTGATATCGGAGTCCCAAAATACTTCCAAACTGCCGACTTTTTCGACTTAGATGCCGGCTCGATTTTTCAATTTCTTTCCTACATCCGGCATACTAATAATGCACTCGATTTGCGAACGACAATTAAGAAATGAGTCATTCATAGCCAATCAAAATCACCGTAATTTCAACAAACAACAACAGCCAATCGAAAGTCACGTTATATCTTGTGCTTCGGTACCAAACAAAAATATTTTGAAATGTTTTTAAATCTTCAACAAAAGTCATGAAATAAGCCGAAAACGCAGGGAATTCGGAGTATTTCCGGACTGATATGTAAGTTCTATTCATGGGCAATCTAACGAATGCCACAAATGTCTAGCAGGCCAAAATGACTGGGTGTTTTTATCAAAACAAGCCATCTATAATTTTGTCAGGCCAATGGCCGATGTCGGACGTCTATTTCGCGCACTGCATGTTAGCGACGAACTCAGGCCATGAAAAAAATAGTAAAAATTTGGAACTGTGGAAAGTTGAGTTGAGAAGAATACTCACCAACCAATTGCAATTTTAGTGTTTTTCCCAAGGGGCATGACTTCCTTATCATTCACATGTATTTGGAGTTTCTCTCAACAATGCCTTCGTATGCTCTACACGTAAAGTTAAGAAAATTTATAATATATTTTGCAACCTTTTCTAAATGACCTTGAAACATGACAGACAAAATATGGACAAACTTGTATTTACATTTTATGATTTAATTCTCACGATATAGCAGCATAATTATTTATTAAATGTAATAAAGGATTTTATTAAAAAATCCAGTGTAATTTCATTATAAATAGATAAAGTATTTTTAGAAGATTTGCAAATACATGTAGCTTTTATAATGTGTGTCGTGTTAGCTCTTCAATCTGGAGGTAATTTATTACCCTTCCAAGGTGAGTTGAAAGTTCGCCGCATTTCTCTTGATTTCACAGTGAATACTGATTGGATGACATTATCAATGAATATAATAATGATTTGGTGTTGGCTGTTCCAATGGGTGCACATTTAATTGGATTCTACTTCCGTGTATGAAAGATATTCAATCAATTTCATAACTTCCGGCAACAACATAATGTTTTTTAGTGGCACATGTCATCGTGAAATATGTGTAATTTGCTAGTGCATCATAGTGCTCATTATATTACTGACAATATATAATGGCTCACTTTATTTACAAAGCATTAAAACAGAACTGAGATAATCTAATTACATGTAGATGTTGTATGGGGCTTTTATTGGTCATCAAAAAGACATTTTGTACGTTCAGATCCATTTGTTATATTTAGTACAGTCATTTATGGACATTATCGCAGAAAGTAAGTGATTGATGATTTATAATAATAGTAAGTCGAAAACAAATTACTCTCTAACTATCAGAACTGATTCTCTTTATTCGAGTAAGCAGTTTACTGTCGCAGAAAGTCTTGTCATGTTTACAGGTAAATTGGTACTGATGAATTTATTTTGAATATTGTTAAGAAATTAGACAGGGAGAACAATTTTAGAAGCGGGACTAACATTTTTTACTAATGTGGCAAACAGATGTGTTTATTTATCTGTTTTGAAATGATATGGATATAAAGCAAATTAGGATCAACAGCGGGATTAATTGAATTGAATTCATGGCATATCAATTTTTAACATGTGGGAGTTACTGTTATCAACCACTTTTTATTTTATACTCTTATGTTTCAGAATCCTATGCCCACTCTCGACAAGTGGATCAGCGCTTAACAAATTCTCATCCAGTCAGAATAATATACGTTGGGGCATTTATTGTAAGTATTTTATACTTCTCAAAGCAACATGCATAATCAGAGATACAAGGATCGCAAAATTATAAGCAACATTTATGATTTCTATTGCCAGATGTCATTTACCATATTCCTAATATATTACTAACAATCAATGACTTGGCTGCAGCCTTTACTAAGATATTGAGCTCATGAATGATATTTTATGGCAGTAAAGCTAAAACAGTGAAAATGTTCAAATCTTGTATTTCCTTGAATACATGTAGGTTGCGATGTTTTAAGACTTCAAAATAGCATGACAAGTGGCAAAAACATGAGTTGATATACTGAATAAAACACACCTTTTGGAAAAGATTCTCTCTGTCTCTGAATACCTTTATTTTTTAATAGTTGTTTTAATGTCAATTTTATTCATAGATAGATATTTCGTTGAAAAATACAATTAACTTTAAAACAAAATATGCTTGAGTGATTTATACATGTTAAGCTTTTAACATTTAAAGATTACCTTAGCAAATTGACAGTGTATGTTATGTTCACATTCAAAAAATAAATAAAATGAACATGTGAACTTTTTACCATTAATAAAAAATATTAGAAGAAAATGTCTTCATTTGTATAATTGAAACATAACAACATTGAGCATAAATGTTTCAAACACAGTATCATTTATAGCCTATATTTAGATTTGCATTATATGTCATATATAACAATAGGGAACCCATGTTTATGAGAAACTTAAACATTAAAAACAAACATCTATATTTATCATAAAGTCAAGCTACGCATAATTAATATTTGAGGAATATTATATAGGTTGAAAATGAAAGAATACATAATTTATCCTCTTTTGACTTATGATTATGTGCATATAAACATTTAAATGCATCCATAAACTTGTCAAAAGTTGAAAAGCAATATTCATAAATTCAGTCAACTTTATATATGGCTGAACATCTGCTTTGAGTTGATGTTGTTTCTCTCATATAGCAGGCCTCATAAAAGGCAATCAACTTAGTAGAATAGACTATGCTTTTGTGATTTTAATGTCAATGTGACATTATTTGTTTAATTTGCTTTTTAGATGTTACATTGAATTTAAGCAATATTTAGGTCTGTTAAATGGGTTATAACCATTTAAATATCAATAAATGCATTGAAACATTAAACAGGATAGTTAAATCCTATTTTCAAAGTATTTACTACATGTACATGTACATTGACAATTTAGTACTAAGTTAGTTAATGTGTTTTTAATAAGATATGGTAGGGCAGCTCTGAAAAATATCATTTTGACATATCTTTGAAAAATCTGTATTATTTTATCAGATATAGAATAGAAAAAAAGTTTTGATGGGTGTCAGAACCAGAATGGTATTTCATATGATAATGCTGTTTACTTGTATCTGATATACTTAAATTACCAGTATATCTGATATTGATATTAACATGCTCATAACTATTCTAGTCTAGTACTTTTGTTATATCAAGATTATTGATTGTTTGCCACTCAGTGCTCTATTGCCAATTGCCATACCCACAATATCATTACCAAAGACTAATTTAATGATTATAATCATATGATTGTTTCAAATAGGTATTTCGAGAAGATGATGGCACCTTTCAAAAAATTTATGATCCTTTTAAGGCATCTTGCTCAATTGAGGTACCTGCTATGATAATATACACGACTAAAGGACATTTCTCTTTAGAACTTTATTTGATATTTTAGATAACGAGAGACAAGTATATATAACTGTATTATGAATTAATTGGAGGAATAAAAAATGCATGATATTATGACAGTTTTTATGAAAAATACAATACTTGTGGTATACAGCATAAAAGTAAACAAGATTTTGTATATATTGTCCAGATTTTTCTCAATGCTTGTGTCACATTTGGTCTGAAACTGAAGCAGAGGTTCTGCTCTCCCAAGAATAAAACTATAAAACACTGTTAATATAATAAGAGGCCCCCATAGGGGGTGTCACTTATTGCGGTAATTTTTATCAATTATTTTCTGTTGGCCTTATGGGTGTTTAGACTTCTATCATTTTTATAGAATTCAATAAAAATTAATGGACATTATTCTCCAGTGGGCTTCACACAGTTAAATGACACTTTAAAACCAAATCTGGTCACTTTAAACAAATATTTTGAATTGACCTTTTAAACCATGAGGCCTTTTTTAGCATATATCTTATCCTGGGATTTGCTAATTTGGTTATGTATAAAACAATTTTTGTTCACACACATTAGAAGGACTTTCGGCAGTTCAGGTACCATTTCCCTTCGAGACAATATTCCCTTCAATATAGCCTTTAAAAACAGAATGCATTTGAACTATATTCTTTCCTCAAAACATAAAATACATATTTTTCAGGGTTCTTAACAAAATGATTTTAATGTCTGCATTAGAGACTAATAAATAACAAAATAAAATTCATCCATGGTAATTATTTTACTAGGTTAGCCGAGAGTGTTTTCATTGCGACTGTTTTGTCAATCTAGGGTAATGAATGTAGATTAATTTATTTAGTCAATTTAATATTCTTATGCCATAAATATATTTTTATCACACCATCGGTGGGATATAGTCTTCGTGATCGTGATTGTGATCGCGATTGTCCTGCTTTTTTTGTCATCCCCATTTCAGGAAAACCACTTATCAGATTTTCTCCAAATTCGCACTCATGATAGAGAATATCAAATTCTAGAGCTGATTAACTTTTGGGTGGCCATCTTGTTTTCTGGTGGCCATTTTGAAGGTTTTTCAGAAAATCTTATCATTGCCATTTCAGGAAAACCGCTCATCGAATTTTATCCAAATTCGCACATATGATAGAGGATATCAAGATCTAGAGCTGATTAACTTTTGGGTGGCCATCTTGTTTTGTGGCAGCCATTTTGAAGGTCTTTCGGAAAATCCTGTCATCGCCATTTCAGGAAAACCACTTTTTGGATTTTCTCCAAATTCGCACACATGAAAGAGGATAACAAGTTCTAGAGATGATTAACTTGTGGGTGCCCATCTTGTTTTTGGCAGCCATTTTGAAGGTTTTTCAGAAAATCTTGTCATTGCCATTTTGTTTTCTGATTGCCATTTTGAAGGTTTTCGGGAATTCTTGTCATCATTTCAGGAAAACTGCTCATCGGATTTTTCTCCCAATTTGCACACATAATAGAGGATATCAATTTGTACAGCTGATTAAGTTTTGGGCAGCCATCTTGTTTTCTGGTGGCTATTTTGAAGGCTTTCCGATAAATCTTGTCATCGCCATTTCAGGAAAACCACTTGTCCAATTGTCTTCAAATTTGCACACAATATAGAGGTTATCAAGTTCTAGAGCTGATTAACTTCTGGGCAGCCATTTTTTCTGGCGACCACTCTGAAAGTTTTTTGATGGTGTGATCTCGTTCACGTCATGTGCCTTATTTTAATTTGAAAAATGTTTAGCCTTATCCCTCCAATATTTCTAAATCCCTGAAGATCAAGACACTTGAGGATTTTAAGATAGGCTAATAACCTCCTAAAACTTATGTACCCCATTGAAAATGTGAAATAGGCATATTTTGATCAACATGTTAAGAATTGTAATTAATATCAAATAAAAATTTTCCATCCATAAGATTTGAGAGGCAGAATTCTGGAGAGTTGATATTGGGTTTCTCCCCCATGAAACTATTGGTGTCTCCTCTGGTCATTGCGTCCCCCTTGGCTGATATCAATATTCCCCCTTGCAATATTAATCTAATAAAAAAGTATGGTAGTCCTTCTTGGTATAGAGCATATATGTTCATTCTCAACTTGATAACAATATGCAAATATGTGTAAATGTAATATGATAATATATATTTCTTGGAACCCTATAGCAAATCTTAAGAATATCTTCAACCATTCTAATCATACTATGGTTATATTCATCTTATTTTATGTATGCACTCGCTGACTTTGATAGTAAATTATCCTTCTGCCTTGAGAGTTAAGACATAAAAGGCGAACCTAAACTTTCATGACCAAGATAAATTCCCAATAAGCACACAAGTTTGAATGTTACAACTTATTAAATGGTCTGTAAGCAAAGGAGGTAAAACAGTCCCATGCAGCAATGTTCTAGTTTGGTCAGATTCTAGTCATCAAGGCCTGCTTTGTGGAAATCATCATAAAATGGTTTCTATGTAATTCTCATCATTTGTTATAATAATAATTTATATTTTATACAGTAATTCCATGCATAAAAGTCATTCTTTGGAAATGACAATGTCACAGAAAATGAAGCTAACTATAGAAAATGATGTTACATTAGGAAATTAAATAATTACAATCCATATGGGATTGCATCAGAATCTCCTTTGCTGTGTATTAAACACATGCAATATCTCATTATATAACCAATACAATCAGTTTAATGTAGTGCTATGGAGACTGTGCTATCATCCCATGATAAGCCAACATTCTATATTGAAATGGCCCGATCATAAGCACATCAGTTTTCTATGTTAACTGCATTTTTATTCATTAATTCTTTGGAGGCAGGTCACAGTATTCCTTTATTGTGAAAAATGATGCATAATGATATTTTGTGGCCTATTAATGAATCTATCACAAGTTTCCAGGGTTCCTCCGGTTCAATTACAACATTAGGGAGTTATCTTGCTCTTCAAATATAAACCTTCGCAATGATTGCATTTTTCTCATCATGAATTCAATACACATTATAAGAAAATATAGTGTTAGAATATGTTTCACTCTTTGCACAGAGGGTTAAGTAGAACTTTGCAGACATTGACATCTTTTCAATATGACAATAAGCAGATAATACAGTATAAGAGTCAATGGCAATGTTTTACAACTTGAGAAGTCAGGTACTCATTCTTTACTTAGTCAAGTAGACTCATTCTTTACATAGTCAAGTATACTCATTCTTTACATAGTCAAGTAGACTAATTCATAGTCAAGTAGACTCTTTCTTTACATAGTCAAGTAGATTCATTATTTATATAGTCAAGTACACTCACAC